AAATATTATGTATAATGTGTTATAATCATGTTATAGCACTGTATTACTATAGTTATAAACACTAATAAATGATCATAATGCTTAATAGCAATAATTGTTACACATTATAAAGCATTTTACCATGACTTACAAGTTCAGGTATTATAATGTGTTATAACTGTTAACAACTCACTGACAGTGTCCACATAGATAATGCAATGCAGCTGTTGTTAACAGTTATAACACATTATAATACCTGACCTTGTAAGTCATGGTAAAATGCTTTATAACGTGTTATGATTATTGCTATATGAGTATTTATAACTATAGTTATACAGTGCTATAACATGATTATAACGCATTATAAATACATTTATAATAAAGTGTCAAAGTGTTACCAATATGTAAATTTCAGAAGAATAATTAAGTGGCTTTAAATACACTGAGTGCATAATGTTTAATCACAAAGAGAAGACATATTTTTTACTTAAAAACTGATCGTAAAAAAGTGTTTTATGGATGTGGAATCACACATGCAATATACCAGTCCCTGCTTTTATAGTAAATCCTTTTATACTTAGGATTGAATCAATGCATACAGGCCTGTTATATGGGGTATCATGCTGTGGGAAGGGATGGATTAAATAAAAATAAGAACTTTATCCTGTTCTGATAAATAAAGACTGCATGATTGATATTTTTTGTGGGAGAGTATACTATGCCGGTGTATGTTGCTATGGTAATCCTGCAGCTGGCAGCATTCCAGTAATGGATTGATTTGGGTTTGGTTATTCTATACACTGCACCCAAAGATGGGAGCGGAAAATCTTTCTTTTTTTATGTGTGAGTGTGTGTGTGTGTGCATGTGTGTGTGCTTGTATATCATCGCCTTATCAATCTGCAAGCGCTCGATCGATTGGCCAAAAGATATTCCCTCTAATGTGTGCAGGGATGAGGAGTGGGAGAGAGAGAAAGACGGAGAAGGAGGAGGAGGGGGGGCGAGCTTTCACTTAGCCTCAGAGCTCTTAAGTGACCATCTATCTATCTACATTTCCAGGCATGCATGGGCAGGTTCAGGAGCGGGTATAGGTAGTTCGATCACATGCACTCATACACAGGAGAAAAAGAAGACGATCAAGAATAAGAAGCCGGAATCATTAAAATAGCAACAGCACCAAGCAGCCAACACACCTAAGCAAAGCTGGGGCTTGTTGTTGTTTACACTGTGGGAGGCAAAGAGCTGATACATCTCCGAGAGCTGCTAGTTTGAGCCATAGATCCTTCGCTTTGTGAAAACAGCCAGCAGTGAAGAGAACCATTATTAGTGCCAACAGAGGGTCCTGTATGCGTTTAGTGTTAGCATGCAACAATCTGTCCAGCGTTTTGTTTGGTTTTTAATTAAAGGAGGGGATTGTGTGTGTGTGTGTGTGCACTATCTGGACGCCTCCCACCCTAACTCTTGGGCTGATGTGATGCATGCTGATAATAATGTCTCTCCCTGTTTTTAACACTCGAGTTCCATTTGCTCTCTTCAGGCCTCGAACACAGGTCCCAAGACTCGCAGAGCCACCATTTAGCTCTCAGCAGGCAGAGAGGAGAGGAGGAGAGAGTGAAGGAGAGAGGGATCAGTCGCTCCTCCTCTCTTATCTGTCACTTAACAAAAGCCTCTGATGAAGACAACAAGCATTCCTCCTCTGTCTCTCTCTCTCTCCATTTCTGTCTCTCATTTGTCTGTTGTTCTCCTCTGTTTAACTGTCAGGCTCTTAGTTGAACATGGCAGCCCTGACACTTTTCTCATCTGTAGGTCTTTGTTGCGTGTGTTCTCACATGTTCATATGTTGGTGTACAGTGCTTGTATGTCTCTGCCTGCCAGCATTTGTGCATTGTATGCATGAACCCTGGGCCTGAGTGTGTAGGGGTTCATGGTCTTTGGGAATTGGTCAGCTCATGCGGCAAGAAATGATGCAAACTCGTTGAACTCTCTGCAACTTTGCATTATTTTCCAATTACAACAGTTTTTGTTTAATTTGAACATGTTTAAAGGGATATTCCGGCGTGAAATAAATTAGGGTGAAACACACCGCAACACTCAAGGAAGAACATTTATAGTCACAAATGTTCTTGCTTGAGCTGCGTCACCCCTCAGCAGTCTGTAATGGACTGGCCTGAGGTCTTGCTACGAACAAGCGGCTGCTGGAAGAGAGTGGGTTAGTTGTGTTTCGTCTCTGCTGAAGAAATCAGGCGAAGTTAAAAAGATGTTTGGTGGCTAGTGCTGTGGCTGGGACCCTATATGTACTGTTGATGAAGTTAGTTGCTGTTCTGAGCATTATTTGTGGCTATAGAGTGGCCTTTTGGTTGAGGTTTGTTTATGGCTCCTCAGACCGCTGTGTATTGCTATTGTGCGATTGTTACTAATGTTGGTATAACTAGAGAAGCAAGCGGTCGGCAACATTCATCTCTCGAGGGGGTGTCTAACTCAGTGTTACGGTGTGTTTGAGCCTAAATTAATTTTATGCAGGAATATCCCTTTAAGTTGGTTGTCTACTCCTACTGACTCACGAAACATGAATCCCCTTTGGTTGGTGCTGTCTTGCACTACATCAGAGTATAAGGTCAGTATGCACTCACTGTCTTTGTAATGCAGGACGTTGTAACCTACTTTTTACTTGTTTTGTACAAGCCAGGCACCCAAAAAGACAAGTAGAACAGCAGAACTCTAACAAATGACGTGTTTGGATAAAAAGTTAGTCATCGTCTCTGGTCATGTTTTATTGATTTTATCCGATTTAAACCCTGAGAGAAGATTTTGGTGTTCCTTGGAATACCTGTTGATGCAGAGACAAACTTTTAGTACTATAAAGACATCTTATTATTCAAATATCTTTATTGAATTTTCAAATGCAAAAACAAAGACATCCACCAATATCTATAAAAGGGCACAACATACAAACTTAATACACACAAAAGCTCCAATGATACGAAGTTTTTTTTTTACATAGATTCAGAGAAATGTCATATTTAAGTTCCAGCATCCCTGGAAGGGAATTCTGGTGAAATAATCTAAAAATGTCTGCCAGACCATATAGAATCTTTTGACGGATCCTCCAGTTGAGTACTTTAACTTCTCAAGCTTCAGATGTGCCATCACATCTCCTTCCCTTTGCATGTGTGCAGAGGAGCTGGCTGACCGCCACTCAAATAAAATAAGGCGTCTGATTGGGCCTTAGACACCCCTATCTGATCAGGGACAACACCAAAAATTGCTGTTTCTGGGTCAGGGTTGATCTCCTTGCTACAGATATAAGAGAGCATCTCAAATATAGAGAACCGAAATGTTATTAATTTTGGACATGACCAAAACATATGACCAAGAGTGGCAGGGGCTTAGAGACATCGAGAACAAGTTGGGTCAACATCTGGGGTCAACATATATCCCGGCAAGCCAAGAAAGGTGAAAGGCATTTTAAAAAGAGTGTAAATATTTTTGCAAGTGATTTCATTGACAAATAATGCTTCAAACCCTTCGACATGCATTGTAACTTTGGAACAGCTGTTAAACAATGACACATGTAAGGTTGCAGCAATTCCCTCAATGAAAAGCTCTGTAAAATGCTGATAGATGCCCATGTGTGCTATATTGCTCTTTTGTTTGCCGTGAACGTCTATGTCATCATCTACACACAAATGCATGAAAACACACACACACACACACACAGACACACACACGTCCCTTGCCTACACTGCAGTTTGTGTGCAGCTGTCTGCTTTTCATTTCTGGCTTATCGTCTCCTACTAGCAGCACGGCAGAAGTGGTTCTTAGCTTGTAATGTGGAGGAAATGGGTGAATAGCCTCTCTAATTACACTTCACCCACTGACACTAATTTACATACAAACACAATCGCACTCCAAAACCAAAACCTTCATTATCTCTGGATCCCGTTCTGTAGGGCATGATAATCTGGCTGTTCTATTTCATTCAAGCTCTGTTTCTCAGCTCTGCTGCTTAGTCATAACACTGACTGAGAGCCACAAATAGGGACGTTTTCATTGAGAATGTATCCCATGAAGGTCTAAATGTTTTATACTCAGTAAGTGGTGAGTGAAACGTAAGGGTTGCGGTTTAAAAAAAGTGATTCTTTCTCATTGCTTCTTCTTGTTCAGTGTAGCATCGTCTTCAGGCCTCTCTGTGTTTGCACGGAGCTTAAAGCTGCATGTTGCCCACAGTTGGCCTCAGCATCACCCGACAGCACAACTGCGTGTCTGTGTTTCTCTGTGTTCATACATTTGTGCTCACTCACTCTCTCTCTCTCTTAGGCACACACACCACATGAGCACTCACTAAATAAGCTCTGTTGTTAGGCCATTACAATGTGAATGAGGGGCCCACAGGCTCCTTTGAGATGTGTGTGAGTGAGTGTGTGTCAGTGCAAATAGGTTAGAAAGATTGATGAACTAGTGAGAAGGGAGAAGGGAACACCTAATCAACTTAAAAACACTATGATTGACACGCAGGGTCTGTTTGATTGACATTGTGCAGAGGTAAGCCTAATGGTTCTACTTCATAAGCATGCATGAATGAGAATTTGATCAGAAACGTCTTGTATTTAACTCCATGATTGATCCCATTCTTGATTATGTTTAACTCTACTTTCATACAACAGCTTTAGTCAAGTGTTTTCTTCTTCTTCTCTCCCCCTTCTCTCTCTTTCTCTCTTATCTCTGGCAACTACAACTAGTGCAAGAAGCGCGCAAGAATCAGCAAGCCGCGCCATTAACTCGCACCGGTGCGTATCTATGTGTGCCATCCCTCAGCCGACTTACACCAGCTAACGGTCCGTGAGCTTTTACCGGGCCCGTGATCGCTGATGCTCGAGAAAAAGGCTGTTTGTGTCAATCAAACCGACCCCCTTATCCCTCCCCTTCTCTCTCACTCTCTCGCCCTCTCTCTCTCTCTCTCTCTCTCTCGCCTCCACTTGTGTAGGCGCTCTGTTTTAAAGCAGAGCCTTTACGCACGGCAGTCAGTCGTTAACGGGCAGCCTGGTAACGGTGCACCTCCGCCTAATCTCCACCTTGAAAGGAGCGGAGATTAAGGGGGACAAGTGGGCATAGCAGGAGAGGAGAGGGGGGGAGGCGAAGGTGGAGGAAGACAACCGAGGAGAGAAGGACGAGTAGAAGAGAAAAGAGACGAATGATGAAAGGGGGGAGGAGGAGGAGAGCGGATCATTCCGGCTGCCCGCATCTGCTGCTCCAGTGAAGGGGTTCGAAAGAGAAAAGAGAGGGAGAGAGAGAGGGGGCAGAGGACATGGCACAGCGCTTCGGCATCCAAAACACACGGGAGTGGTACGCCACCGAGACCGGAGCCCTGCTGGACCCACCCGAAGCAGAAACAACACCAGCAGAAGCAGCAGCAGCAGCATTCAACTCACCGCACTCCTGTCACGCCTCTTCCCCGCCAAGTAGCGCCTCATCACCGGTTAGAGGTAAGCGGACGAATCGGTGTTTGTTCTTGTTCATAAACTTAAGCGAGATAAGGAGAGGAATGAAAAACTCAAAGGAAAAAATAATGTTAGTGTGAGTTCATCGTTCAGCCTGTTTTTGTTGAAGGATACACGTGTTTTGAGCTGATTCAGTTCCAGCTTTATAGAGCAGGGTCTCATATTTATCACCACTCATGTCCTTTACTGATCTTTTGGATAGTCTATTCAGAATAAACAACACGACCATTTACTGGCTATTGAAAAATGATTGTAGTTTTCCACACCAGTCATTATTGTCATCACTACAATGAATATGAAAACGGATAAACAAATGTTTTAACTTGCACTTCTTTAGTTTTCAGTCTTTACCTATTATTTTTTCATTTGCATCTCAATGAATGCATGCAAAGCTACTTCTGTTGATGTATTTCATAATCGCTTGTGTGACGAAAATTGGAAAATATTCAGAGTTTTGTAGTTGTCTGAAGCAAAAATGCAAACTTCCACGTGAAGTCTTGTTTTGTATTCATTTCCAGCGCCCTCCCGTGGAAGCCTCCTCCTAGTTACAGATTAAACCAGCACTATAGTGTGGAGACAATCACAAAGGAGACAGATGTGATGTTTTCCTTAAGTTTGAATAATAAGATATTTCTGAGTCAAACAATTCTCAGTGTTTTAAACCCCCTCATTTCTTGTCAAGGTTTAAATCACAATTTCTTTGACTTTTTGTGGTGAAATAAAACTCCAGAGACCCCCAACAGAATTAGAGAAGTCATTAAAGAGCCACTTTTATGGCACATTTATGATTAGAGCGAACAATCCGACTTATAATTCAGTTTCAGGCGTACATAAATCCCATCAGGGTTATTCTCCTCCATTTCTCGCCTTCCCAGTTTCACATTGAAGAAATATGACTGGTGGTCTTTCCTCTATGACCTTCTCTTAGCGTGTGTTCTCTAAAGGCGAGGAACAAGGAGAGAGGGATGGGGAACGTGAGGAAGGACTATTGATATTCAAACAGACAGAAGGAGAGAAAGAGGGGGTGTAAAAAGATAGAGAAAAGGGGGAGAGTGAGGCATAGAGAGAGAAAAGAGGGAGAAAGAGATGCTGTGGGATCTTTTCTTCTCTCTGGCTCCCGGCACATACATTAAGATGCTAATCCTGGTCTTTTTTGTCTCTTTCTATAATTCATTGCATTTTGTTCCTCTCCCTTCTCTTTTTCTCTGTCTCTCTCTATCTTATTTCTTCTTTTTTTTTCTCTTGCTCTCCATTTCCTCTGTTCTGTCATCGGCTCCCCCTAGATTAGTGCTCCTGGCAAAAGGATTCCAACTCTAATTTTGTGGTATTTCAGATGATTAGGTTCAGAAATAGGACAGAAGTGCATGGAGTTTGGCGCAATTAGAGGAATTCTCCGTAGAGCTTTGCGGGGCTGATTAGTTGTGCTCCCATCCACCTCCCCACATCACCGTATTAACACACAACCAGCTGCTGTTTATTCCTAAGGATCGACTTTTTTGTGTTTGTTTGTGCTTTTAACTGGTGTGTCGCTTCGTGTGTGTGCGTACGCCAGAGGTTGGATAAGCCCTAAGGATGCGAGTTGTTTTCAATCAGCTCTGTAGTTACCAGCTGTGCCCTCGCAGTCCCCAGGGTGGCACAACCTAGGTGCACACGCACACACACGCACACACAGAAACAGAATTAAAGCATACTATTCAACCTTGCCCAACAAACTCACTCTCTTTTTTTCCTTGTCCCTTCTCTTTGCAGACATTAATCATCGCTTTCTGCTCTTCTGCATGTGAGGATTAGAAGCAGAGTACCTCAGCTGCATTTCCTCTAAATGAAGACCTCTGTTCCCCGAAATCTGACACAGCTTTCCTCTCCACCTGCCATGGTGACATGACACATCCCTGGGTGCTCCTGTCTCTCACAAAAAGACAATCTCTTGGGATCCTCAAACCCACAAACTAGCGTGCACACTCTTCCTGAAAAACAAAAAAAAAGACATCCCATCCTTCTACACAGGACACCTTTTTCAGCGATGACGGTGGCAGTGCGTTTCCGCCGCCACCTGCGTAGGCTCCTGCTCCTGCTCGCCTCCTGCTGCCTCCTCTCCCTTCTCCTTTCTGCATACTTTTTGTTTACAAACTCCTCTCCATCCATGCAGCTCGGACAATCCCCTGAACCCGCCTGCGCCCAGCCGCTCTCCATGTCCCCGTACCATCAACTTCCATACCCCTACCCGCCAAATCCTCCGCACACGCACATACACACCGACCCAGTGGTGCTGGTGCTGGTGGAGTCTCAGTACTCCCAGCTGGGTCAGGACATTGTGGCTATATTGGAGTCGGCACACTTCCAGTTCCGCATGGAGATCGCCTCAGGGAAGGGCGACCTACCGCCGCTGACAGAGAAAGGCAGAGGACGTTATTCACTTATCATTTATGAGAACTTGTTAAAGTATGCACATGCAGACACATGGAACAGACAGCTGCTGCACCAATACTGCACCGAGTACAGAGTGGGCATCATCGGTTTCTACCGCTCCACGGAGAACTCTCCTCCGCTCCTTAAACTTCGAGGCCTCCCGCTGGTGCTGAGAACCAACCAGGCTCTGTGGGACTGCTGCGTGGTCTCCAGCTCCCCTCTCCTCCACCTGACCAAACCCGGCACAGATCGCGGGGCTTTACCCGGAGAGGACTGGACTTCCTTCTCTTCAAATCACTCAACATACCAGGCCGTACTGCACGCCAGGGCCAAGGATGGATCAGGGGCAGGCAGCGGAGATCACTCTGGGCCTGGGTTTAGTTCAGGCCTTCAAGCGACTGTGGTTCAGGACATGGGGCTCTTTGATGGGGTGAGGAGGGTGCTGTTTGGCCAGGGACTGGGATACTGGCTGCACAGACTCATCCTGGTGGACGCCATCTCTTACCTCACAGACAGGAAGCTAACTTTAGGTCTGGACCGACACATACTGGTGGACATAGACGACATTTTCGTGGGGAAGGAGGGGACGCGCATGAACGCCAAGGATGTGAAGGTAATGGGGTGTGGAGGGTGTGATACTTTGAAGAGAGATAGAAACCTCTTTTCTAGGGTGACCGTTTGTCCTCTTTTACCCGGACGTGTCCTCTTTTTTGGGGATGTCTGGGTCTGTCCGGGGAAGTTTATGAAATCCTTTAAATGTCCGTGGTTTTGTACAGAAGTTTTGAGTTTGTGTCTCGTGGACTTACTGAGTTAGAGGCGCGTAAAAGACATTCAATCCGACCGAAAAATGCTCAAAATGAACTTTGTGCGACTCCGTGACTCTATCGACGATCACTCTACCTTTGCACACATGCACCTCTCTTTTGAAACTTTCCTGTTAATAGAACTTGTACTTGTAAATCCCAGAAACAGTGGCCATTAGTGACATCTTCTACATGACCCTAACCTAAGTTTTTTAAGACGTGATGATAAGCTCGACTTTCTATCTCTTGTTACATAAAAATGTCTGAAAGGAACGTTAAGAAAAAGTCAGGACCTGTCATGTCCTGATGTTGGTCTTAAAAGTTTTTTTTTCTTTTTGAAGAAGCTAGAGTAGGAAAAAAAGAAAATAAATGTATGTCGGGTCAGTGCTGAAAGGTGAGATTCTTTATTTTTGATTGCATCTCTTGAAGATTATATCTAAGAGGTCGATACGAGGATGCTTAACTTAAAGCTGTTAACTTGAAAAAACTTTCTGAAGGACTTGAGCTCAGACATGAATTCATCAAGTGGGTATTTTGGAAAGCTCATGTTATGTTGAGTGCGTGTTAATGGCTCTGTGTGTTGTGCACCGTTGGCATATGTGTTGGGCTACAGCGAGAGGGTATTTATCTCAAAAGGAGGTTTAGCCAGAAGCAAAGAGGCCATTTAAGGGAACAAAGATGTGCAGTGAATGAGAGAAAAGAGAGAGGTGAGAGAGAGAAAGAGAGGTAGTGAATGAGGCAGTGAAAAGATGAATGGCACTTATTCCTCTTTTCCCACGTTCCCCCTCGAAGGGAAACTAAAGGAGAGTCAGCCATGCAGCCCGCCTCTCAAGACAGCTATTGTTTCAACACACACGCTTGCATGAGCAAACACACATACACACACATACACGGGCGCAGACATAAGAGGAAGTGCACCCAAACAGATGAAGTTTTCGCACACGCTCACATGTGTGTAAACCCGTATTTCTGTAGGAATTTAACATTTTTCAAAAGGGGTTTGGTGGAGTGGAGATAAAACGCTTCTGCACCAGGAATTCTGTTTGAAGACTGTGGTCACATTCTCCCGCTGCGTCCTCACTCAGGGCCACTCAAGAGAAACAAATTGTGTTTGGTGGGTTTTCATGTGTGGCACAGTGTGTCTATGTATGTGTGTTTCTTTTGTGTGTGTGTGTGTGTGTGTGTGTTAGGGGGGGTTAAAGGCAGGTGAGATTTATTCTTCTCTGCGGCGATGTGCACAATCTAAACCCTGAGGTGCTTGCCCATCTTTCCGCCGCCACAGGATATGCATGATAGAGATGTGTGTGAATGTGCATGTCTGTGTGTGTGTGTGTGTATGTGTGTGTGTTTCTGAATCACCACTTAAGATTAGAATGTCACTTTACGTCAACGCTGACACCTGTCCCGTCAAGCTGTGGCAGGAAAAAAAGGCCACCTGTCTGTAGCTGAAACTTGGAGACGATATGAGAGGGATGTAGGTGCAGAGCGAAACATGAGGCCAGTGGGTGCTGGAGTGGAGAGGAATTCCACCCTTGAATATAAAAAAGATGCTTGTATCTTAAAAAGGATAAAAAGAAAAAAAAAAAGTGCAGACTCACACACACACACACATCAAAACACACAGCGCACACATGCCGCGCACATACACTGGCACTAAATGAGCGCACACAAGCACACTGTAGTTTGAGTTTTCATTTTAAGTCTGCCTGACTCTTCAGCTTTGTAGCATAAATATACATGAGGATGAACCAGTGCCATAACAGAAGGACCGGGAGATGGGGATGGAGGAAGAGGTGCAGAGCGAGAGATGGAGAGATAGAGCGAGAGAGAGAGAGAGAGAGAGAGGGTCGGAGGAAGCGACAGTGATTCCATTTAGAAACACACTTCCTCCACGTTACTGCTCTATCCTTCAGGAGAGTTGGCAATCACAGAGAGGAAGAGTAGTATAAAAAAAAAAAGGGTGAGGAGAGAGGTGGAGTTTTGCGCCTAAGGGAAGAGCCAGTAGCTAAGTTTGTGATTTCAGAGAAACAAAATGCTTGAGGGAACCAGGAAAGCGAAGGAGGGGAGGTGGGAGAGCAGGAATATGTTGATTTGTGGCGTTACCTCCCCTCAGAGAAGATCAGGTGAACCTGCTGGATCTCAGTTTGAGGTCATTTCAAATGACTCATTCGGACACACGTAAACAACATTTGTTTCTAATTCAAAGAGCTTATTTGATTGTTTATCCTGAATGACATACTTCTGGTTGCTGCAGGGACTTTTCCATAAGTGAATCGTTTAACTTTTTTTCCAAATGGGCTCATAAATGAAAGTCTTTCACATTCACTTCCAGGAAAGTGACATTGAAAAGCCGTTAAAAGGATGACTCATATTTGACTGACCATGTGTCAAGCGCATATATATAGCTTTTAGTGAAGGGCGCTGCTGAAAAGATGTCTTTTCATTTCATTAAAACAGATGAATGCATGTGGAATCCATGGGACTATTTAATCAGGAAGTCAAAATGTTTGCAGACAGCGTTAGGATGAAATTGGGTCGGAACAAATTGACTTTACTGGCAAAAATCAACATTGGAGCACATTCAGTTTTTGATAAAATTATCTCCATTTTATCAAGATATCTTCGAGTGTTTCACCCTCAATTTTGTTGTACTAGAAACTAGTGATGCACGATATGAAAAATTTCAACCGATACCGATAACCGATAATTTTCTTCTTCTCATGGCCAATACCGATACCGATAACCGATAAATTCATATTTTTACATTTATTATAATCTTCATATAATCTGCAGTTTGTGCAGGATGCAGCGATTGAAAACTGATATTTATGTTGCTCTGGCCTATCTAGAACAACAAACTAAAGTTTTTGGCTCTTTAAATGTTTATTTTTTCCATGTCATCACAAAAATATGTGGTCATTAGCTGTAAATAACAATAACAGAGCAAAAAGCAGAACTTCATTTGATCCCCTGAACTGTTCAACAGAACTGTAAACTGTAAAGGAGCTATTATGAGACGTTAGGATTAGCATGCTGACCGGACTAACATCTGACGTCCATATGTCTGTGGTAAAACTCACGTGTAGTCCGTTCTTGTCGATCAGGTTGTGAATGTATGTGGCGACAATATCATAGAGTGCAGGAAGAGACACATCCGAGAAGAAGCGGCGGCGGCTTGGGAGAGTGTAACGTGGCTCCAAGTGTGCTATGAACTTACGAAAACCCGGGTTCTCAACGACGGAAAAAGGCTGGTCGTCGACCGCTATGAACTCCATCACTTTGTCGTTAATGGCTTTAGCCTTTTCGCTGTCTCTTGAGAAGCTTTTGCAGTTTTCAAACGCCCGCTGAATGGGGACATCGATCCTCCGTAGTGTTGTTGTCTTAGCTTTAGTACCGCTAGCAGCTTCGGCGGCTGTCTCATATTCTTTTAATACCGCTTCGCCGCGATGGCGACTTTTCAGGTGAGCTATCAGATTCGTTGTGTTAATACTTGACGTCTTCTTTCCTCCTCTCGGAATCCTCGCTGAACAGGTTTTGCATATAGCAGCTGTTGTCATTTTCTGCCACTGAGAGAAACGACCATGCTGGTGAAGACATTTTATTATCTGTCAGGCAGTGACGGGGTCAGGCTTGGGACCTGCGAGTAAGGCGCGTCGGGCGGCTACTCCGCCTGCAAACGTTACTCGTAATTTCATTAATATATCGGATCTTTCTATCGGAAAAATGCACCTATCGGACTGATAAAAAATGACGTAAATTTCCCCCAAATCGGCCGATATTCTATCGGTCCGATAAATATCGTGCATCCCTACTAGAAACTGATTTAACAATAAGAAAATCTGAAAAGCAAGTTTATGATTAGGAATAAGAGGGAATATATGAAGCGTCTCTCATCCCTTTTTTTCTTCAAAAACATCTCTTGGTATCACTGTATCAAAGTATGCAACTGGAAGTGTTATTGACCAATTAGCAGGACAAGGCCTGAGCTGTGCCAGCGTTTGAAATCCCTTCTTACCTCTGCAGAGCCAACATTCAATCTCCTGTCGGGTCCTGAAGAAGAAGGAGGGAGAGGAGGGAGACAGAGAGAAAGAGGCCAATTAAAATGCCTCCCTCCTTCACGCTGCACTATTCATTAGTCTCACCCCACGAGTTCATCTGGTGACAAACAATACCTACACCCCCTCCAGTCTGCACACACACACACTCGCACACACAGCTGTATTTCTTCTATTAAAATGATTCACAGTGAGGCACCCTGCCGATGACATTTCTCAAAATGAGGGATGGCGCCAGTCAAAAAGTCCCATCAATGATCAGCACATGCCACCGCTTGTGTGTTTTTTTTTTTAATTCATATGTGTAGTTTCCCTCCACGTCTCTGCCTGGATTGGCTGTTAAAGAGGGGTCCAGTTGGCAGCTTTAGATCCCTTTTAATCATTTTCTTCTCCCAGCCTCCTCTCACCTAACTCATTGATCATATCTCAGGCCTATTTGTATTCCTCTCTAATCTCATTCTCAACCATTTCTCACTCTTTTCCACCCTGAGGCGCTCTCTGAGGGGTGTCATCTTAGTTGAGAGGATACACATATGCAAGCACTCCCTTTGCACATAACTTGTTATTGATCATTTTAATATATCTAGGACAGCGGGTGACTGTAAGACACAGAGTTAACACATAGCAAACCGGATCAGGAACTAAACACACTACAGTAAATCTAATCATGTATGGAGAGCTCAAAGTAAGGTTGTGGAGGAGGGTCAGGGGACATGCGGTGACTCGGGTTAGCATTAGCATTCTACAATATCAGCCAGCAGTAAGCAACCAGAAAGTACAGAAAATTTCTGAATCCTCCTTTGGCCATGACTGCCGACACAAGCAATAAATCGAAGTAAATACCAAAGACTCTGGCGGAATAACGGGCGCTTAAAATGGAGGTAGACTGGTCGAGAGCTAAAAAGCCGGGTCAACATCAATGAAGCATAAACGATCGGGATCTTACGGACTCTGTAATTTCTGCTGGACAGGTAAACCGCTTTAACAAAGTAAGACAAGTGTCTGTAACAGAAGTGTTTCTTGTCAAACGGGACCTGCTGCATGTTGTAGCGCCGCTAAACTACCTCAGGTTGTGGACTATGTCACTTTATCCTAGTTGTAGAAGTCCTGCAAACATTGTGTTTGCTGGTAATCTGTTAGCATCTACAGTAGCACCAATGCTGTCTACTTTCACATTGACTGGGCCCCATTTGTAATTATCTGAAGTATTTATCTGCATTATATCTGAATTTTATAGAAATGATATGAGCGAGCAGGAGCGTCTGTTTGCGGGGCTTGCTGGAGCAGAGAGGGAGCGGAGAGGAGGAGCTGAGGGGAAAACTGGTCAGAGGGGGTAATGTTTACATTCAAGATTTCTCCCAAAAACTGTCACTTCCTCAGATCCTGCCTACCCCCCCTTTACGATACGGTATAATGCGATACAATCTTAGACCGTAAAATAACTGGACGTAGTGTTGGTGATGTCACCCTTTTTTTTTTTTTTAAGTTGTTTTTTTGAGCCCATTTTGGTAAAGCTGACTCAACAGATTGTTGGTCAAAGTACAAGTGGCGGTTCTATAGCCTACAGTGTGCCTATCTCTCACTCAAGTCCACTGTGTCTCTGATTTGCCTAGTAACCTTTGTAAACCTTGAAAGCAGAAATTTTGGTCTTCTTAAAGTAGGTACTGTAGGAGCATTAAGTGACTAAGAGCAAAACTGTTTTTTGAACCGGGCTGTAAACGTGTTTACTTGTGCTCTAAAAATGCTCTTTTTTGGCTTGGTGTGTATGAGGTGTCCAGTGCCTCTGCAGCCAGCCTCAAGCAGGCACTCAAGGACCTGCAATTTTTAAGCACTTCCCCTGCGGCTTCATTTCTCAAGACCAGAGATGGCTGCTTGCATACAATAGAAAACGACAAGAGAGGACGCGATACGACGCGATACGACATGACATGACACGATGTACGCGGCCTGCAGTGATGATGATATCACAAGAGATACTGTGATGATTGGTCTGTTGCATGACAGTCTTATAATGATGCAACACGATAACTGATGCACTGAAGAATACCAAATGTGCCCACAAAGGCAATGTGAAAAATGAATGTTTGTTGACTGAGTTTTGTTTTGGTTTACTAAGTTAAAACAGTAAATTCAAAGGAACAGGGAGAAGTTTTAAGATCTGCGAAAAAAAAAGGAAATATTTTCTTCAAAGAGAGGAACATGTAGAAATAGACACATACTTTCGTGCTTGACAGACAAAACCAACTTCTGCATTTCAACCTGTTGTATTTGATGCTGCAAACTTGTTTTGAAGTTGACCTGAATTGCTGTACTTGTACCAGCCGGCATGAAGAGCTGGATCAGCCTTGTCTTTCTTGTGGTTTTGAAAAGTGGTTTGCACATCTCTTAACTACTATTCAGCGCTGTCCTGCTGTCTTGTTCCGCCATTTTCATGTTACCATTTACATGAGCCTCATTCATGTCATCAGTGTCAAGAGTCATGAAGTAGTGGTGCTGTCTAATTGGCAGGGATACTCGTTTAGAGTGTCATATTCTCTCAATGAAAGTATGTCAGGATGATGGATGCTGTATTTATATTTAGTCTCACCCCTGTTTCCCAGTGATGCACTATTGTAGAGAAAATCCACATTTGCAGCAGTCTTTGGGGCACACCAGAAGAGAATTAGGTAACACTTAAAAGTACACAAAATTACAGTAGTTAATGAGGAACTAATCAAGAACTAATGAGGAACTAATGAGTAGTTACTGAGGGATGGAGGTACTCAAACTTAGAGGGACTAAGGTACACAAAACTAGAGCATAGTTAGTGAGGGACTAATAATTAATGAACTATTAGTTAATGATCAGTTCTTCAGGAACTCCTGACCAAATTTCAGAGGAGTAATAATAATAATAATACATTTTATTTAAAAGCGCCTTTCTGAACACCCAAGGACACTGTACAGGGCATAAAAACACAGTTAGAAACATTATTAAAATAAATAAAAACAACATACAAGTGTGAAAGTGGACAGTTAAAGTGAATATGAGATTTGGAATAGGTGTGTTTTGAGTTTGGATTTAAAGTGGGGTAGTGAGTCCATGTAGTTACTGAGGGACTAATTAGGAACTCATGGAGAGGATGTGCCAGGTTGTCCAGGATGGTACGCATGGCCATGATGAAGTAATGATTCAGTACTCATAAACTAGTCCTCATGACGTCTCACTTTACTTTAAGGTACACAAAAAAGGTAGGTAATGATTAAGTAATAGTTAGTTCTTCAGTGACTGATCATCTGTGAGCTAACTGTCACTCTGCAGGGAATTTCATAGCCTGGCTCCAGATACTTCATCAGCTGAAAAAAATCCATCATCCGCAACTATTGACAAAGGCTGCATGTCAAGGGCAAACATTTCAGCTATTAAGTTGCTGATATGTTCACTCTGTGCCTTGTCACTTGTTGTATGTATAATCCCTCATGCTAGCCTGTGAACCGCTAGCGTTAGCACCGATGCCAGCAGCGGTCTCTTCCTCCAACTTCTTCAGGTGTTTCCATCGCAGGTGGTTTCGCACGGACCCCATGCTGTGGTTGTCAGCCAACTTTGCCTGACATGGCCTACACTCAACTTGATTTCCACTTGCAGTTTGTTCAAAAAACTGCCACAAAGTGCTCTGCTTGTTGACCGCCGCCATCGCGTCCCTGAGTCAATGTGAAGTAACGTGACACTGGCTGTGCAGGCTGCAGGATTTATATATATATATATGTTGGTGAGAAATGATCGAGGAGGAGGAGGAGGAGAAAAAAAGACGTGCAAACAGCTATTGATTTTTCTTAACGGTTATGATTTGTTATCTGTGTATCTGTTTACACGTGTAGATGTTGACACCCCTAATAGGTACTTTATCATAACTTCCTCAGTAACTACTCTAATTTTGTGTACCTTAGTCCCTCAGTAACTATTCTAGTTTTGTGTACCTTAGTTGTACCTCCTCAGTAACTACTTAAATTCTGTGTACCTCCGTTCCTCAGTAACTATTCTATTTTTGTGTCCCTTATTGTAAAGTGTTACCCAGAATTTTTAAGTAAATAACAGTAAAACCTGCATCTTCAGTAGGTTATGTTATTTCATTACTTTGTTTAAGCCGAGGAGACAAAGAATTACTTTGACGATGCCAAAAAAGGTCCAAAATGATACGCTTATGGCTCAGAGAGAAGCCCTTTTTAGTGCCTTTCCCTTTCAGATAGTCTTTATATTGTAGTGCTGGAATAAGAAATGGCTTGAGTGTGTTTTCTTGTCCTCATGCTCACTTTGCTCTGACTGCGACCTTAAAATTGAAAACAAAACACATATAAAAAGGGTTTATACAAAATGGGCAATATCCAAACTTCTTTGCAAGCTTTTGGATTAGCTGTGTGGAATTTATTGTGCGGTCCTACTTAAAGTTAATCTTTCGACCTAATTAAGTGTGATGCATTTTTTCCTCCAAAGTCAATGGAATTGAGCCCCTTATCTTTTTATTACTTTGCCAAATTGTATTACACAAGTAATGACGCATGCATAAACTGTGGAGAAAAGATTTGAAAACAAGTGTGGAGAGATGAGGAAAAGGGGAAAATAGAGAACTACGGGATGCACAGGGAATTCTTGTCAGACGACATGATTTATTTAATACATGAAATGGCTGGTGCATTTGCAAAGGGATCTTAAATGTGTTTTTTTTTTTTTCATTTTAGAACAAAGTTGCAGGTTGAAAAGGCAGAACAGGAGATATGCATGTGAGACGGCAGAGGGACTTGAGTATTGTTTCAAGCATGATGCCGTCTGACATCTGCTCTCATTCATCTTCCCGATCTGGACAAGTTAAAATGATCACAGGCATCCCTGCAGGAGCTCGGGGAACATTTTTACATTACTGTTATTAAAAAGAAAAGAGGTAAACAAATGTTTTGCACCAGTTTTCAACTATTATGATTTTTTCTGGCATACAGTTAAAGACTCTGTCACCGTAATGAATACTCCAAGACAACATCTGTGAAAGGGAAATTATCTTAATAACTTTTTTTTTTTGTTCACTTAACAATTTTTGTCAGTGCTCTTGATTTTTTTCCAAACCCACTTTGAGAGTGTGGCAGTGTGCCATGCATTTTCTGCCACAAAATGAGGCAGGTTTTGCGGTCACAGCAATCACTGAAACTCAAAATCCTTGAGGTGCTGCCAAGTAAAATTTAGTGTAAGTAAAACGATGCCAAAGCAATCACAAGTACCTTGGATCTGTAAAGGCAAAGTGAATAGATGATTTTGTAAAAACGTTCCAATATTAAAAAAAAATAAAGGGCTACACTGACTCGAATCTGACAAGCGAGACTGGAAGAGAGACAGAGTAAGGACAAGGAAGAAGACTGGCATTAACTGGTGAGAGCGCTCCTCCTGCTCATCAAATAGAGATGCCTGACCCAGTTAAATTTGCTGGTCTGGTGTTCACATTACATGCACAAGTACACAGATACTGAAACACATACACTTGTGCAGATCAGGCAAGATCTTTGACCTGCATTTGCACCGAGAAAGAAACCTGCCTACTAATTTATGTCCTCGCTACTTTTGTTATTGAAGGTAGCCCCGCTTATGGCTCTGAAAGGAAAGAAACAGAGCAAAGGCGAGAAAGACAGAATGGGAATATGGTGGAGAGGTGGTTGGTCGGTGTGAGGGGTTTGTGAAATGCAGTGAATGCCAGCTGTCCAGATGCCTGTCTCCCATCTGTTTGAACCCCAACATCCAGTTGGCTCCTCTTCCAGTGCAAACCACACACATGTGCAAGAACACACATGCAATACACATATACGCGGAAACAAACACACACTGTGGCTCTCATGTACACAGAGACAAACTGGCATTACTTCTAACACCAGCAGTGTTAGGCAGCTGTGGGATTGGGCACAGAAATGAGAGCTATCACTAACCGCTAATCACAGTGTGTGTTTACCTACATTGCTAGGATTGTCAAGATCTCAAGCATGTTACACAGCCCCCCCCCCCCTCCTCCTGCTAATCCAAATCCCCCCCCTTCTTTCTTTTAAAGTATGTCTTACGGCCCATTTCAAAAACCAGATCCAGCTTCGAGCGCAGTAGCAGTGAACAGATTGGCTCCATATTGTTTAAAGGCCTCCACTCTTCCAGATCTGTTGTCGTCACACTCCGAAAAACAGTAGGAGGAGACTTCAGTGGCAGGTTTTGTCAATTACTCTGTGTGAATGTGTCTGCTCAAGGCATGGACTCCTCTATTGATGGACATGGTTTTTACCCATAGGTCTGTGTGGGTCTTCACGGTGATGTGCAGTAGATCTCTTACAAGGTTTTAATCCTTTAAGAAAGGTCTCCAAGTATTCTCAGGGCTTTAGTCAGAGGGGGGGGTAAAATGTCTACTACTTTATTTGTTCACTGAGGTGTTAAAAAAACATCCTGTTTATTGTGGGTTGTGGTTGTGGTTTTTAGTTGATTTAGTACTACAGATGTTACTGCTCTGTCTTTGCCTTTGACTCACAAATGGCAAACAAATCATACCTCTACTTTCTCGAGAAGTGAATATGACATGATTTGTACATCTACTTGCTGAAGTAAATAGTTATAAGAGGGAAGATTGACAAGATGAAGAAAACTTGGATATACACCGAGTGCAATTTCAACCTTTAAGGTTGACATGCCGACATCACAGATCCTGATAGATTCCAATTTTCTTTCCCCAAAGAACCACAATAAACTGCAAAATCCAACTTCAGGTGCAACTTTTCTCTCATAAAACTTGAATTTTTTTGTGTAAAACTAAATATTCACTATTCTGCTGTGTTTTTGTGTATTTTTGCGCCATAGCTAATGCTGGAAGTGTAGTTAGTGTTTATGTAGGCTTCAAACATGTACGTGTAAAGCTGGGACTGGCACAGATTGGCTTTTTATGAAGGGACTGGCTGAACAGGCTGAAAATGTCTAATTGTAGTCTCCAGCTGGTTGATTGATGCTCCTCTAGGAAGAATGTTGCCGTTATTTCTCTGCTTTTCTTCTAACGCAGACAGAATGTCAATAAAGTCTTGGTAAATTAAGATCAAATAAGACAAAAAAAAACTATGAATAAATCATTGTCAGCCAAAAACAGAATTACTTGATTTTATTCCCAGCTTGTTAAATAAACAAAATTATCTCAATACTTATCTTGAAATCACTGTTCACGTCCAGATTCCTGCATAAAAGGCTCAGCTGTACAAAGTTTTTAGTTTGATCTCAAGCTCCTGGGGTCCTCGTGTCGAGCTGTCCTTGTGCAAGACACTGAATCCTGGATTTTATGGTGTTGCCTTCAAGAATGTAATGGGAGTTTTAGCGCAGCATCCTCTGCCATCAGTGCCTGGAGTGTGTGAATGTGACATACAGTGTGAGAGTAGTTTCAAGAGTAGAAGAATGCTTTGTTGGTGTAGTCCATTTTTTTGCTTATTTGAACGAATATGGTACAGGGTTTTTTATACTTTATGTATAGTCACCAATGAAACAATCTACAACACAAAAGACAGGCAGTTATGGTAGAAATGCTTGACATCATATGAACTTTTACATTTAAAGAAGAGAACAGAAAAAAATACTCTTTCATTGGGATTTTATGTCCTATTCTTGTTCTTGTAATTTCCCCAAATGCAACACTTGATAACTCAAAGTGAAAGAGGACTCATAAACTCTTTTGGTCTTGTGAAAGTTGTCTACAATAAACACCAGGTCTGCTGAATCATTTGAAAAACACTTTGCAGATGCTTGAAACCAGCTTGAGACAGTTTCATATCAATCCTGCGGTTGTGAATTGGGTTTTTGAAAAATACCTTTTTTTTTCTCTGTTAGATGCAACGGCTGAAAAACAACTTTTTCACTCACAATTTTTTGAGTTCACCTTGTATTTTTTTATGTTTGCTTTTTGGCGTTTCATATTTTTCAGCAAAGTACCTTCATTAGAGTAAATAATGGGCCGAGGGTGACAGAGCATCCACAAATGCAAGCCTCAAGAGGAACCTAAAAAAGTCTGTGCTGCACAATAAAAAATAAAAAATTTCCCAAGAAAGACTGAATGTTCAGGGAATATGTCAAAACATGTGAGACCCCCTATGTGGGCACATTTCCTGTAGAGCGTTTCCATTTTCTGCTCTGGATGTGAGGTTGCAGAATACAAATGGGGTGTTTAAACTAATATGCAGCACACTTGGACACACACCTACACTGACTTGCACAGAAACCAAGACTAACATTAATAATGCATTTTGACCAAGTGCATCAGGGAGTGTATATTGAGTTACAATGCAAAGCACCCAGCTACAAACTTAATTTAATGTTGGAGTCTTTGTATCCGCATGTTTGAGTTTGTGTGTGTGCGCGTCTAAGATGTAGAGGATGTCATAACAGAGGAGACAGCAGATCAGATTAGGGAGCTACGCACATCTGTCAGCATGCAGCCTTCCTCAACACCATTTGATTAGAGCTAATGAAGACACTTTGTGCGTGTGTTTGTATATTTGTTTGTTGTACGCTCACGCACTCATACTCGCAGGACTCTTGAATCAGGCTGGGATCGATTAAAAGCAGCATGATGAAGATTGGTAATAGAGCTGTGGAAAAAAAGACCGACAAAGTTTCAGAAATAATCCAAATATTTGTGCGGGGAACAAACAAGCAAGAAGTGCAACAATAGCAAGGAGGCAGGGCGGGTGAGTGCACACGGAAAGGCAATGCAGGAAGTGTTACAGAAAGAAAGAGAGTGATCTTTTCCTCCATGCTGCTTCAGCCTTCCTTTCAAATTAAAACAGCCCTGTCTCCTGAGAGTGTGACATTTTCATGGAGCAGGCGAGGGCAGAGATGGAGAGAGGGAGAGAGAGAGAGAGACGGAGAGTCAGAGATGGGTGGGGTTAGAGACAACCGGGGAAGAGGGGAGGGGCGCGGAGAGGCGACTGCAGGTTTTCAGAGGCAGGAAGATGGGAGAATTGATGGAGACTGAGAAAGAAAAGAGACAGTCGCAAGAGGAGGGGTTGAGGGTCTTACTCGGTGATGTTAGGGATGGATGGAGAGAATGATGAGAAGGGAGGAATGTGTGCGGGGGTTATTAGTCCAGCCTCCAGAGGCTACTAATGCACTGACCTTCATTAACTCGCATTACTGTCGGTGTGTGTGACTGTGTGCGCGAGAGTGCAACTCTCTTTAGTTAACACTCATTACAGAGTCTTTGTTTAAAGGCCAGTAAACTAATGAAGTCATTAAATAAGTGCAGAAAATCCTGATTCAAGTATTGAAACCAGAGACTGAGGTAACTCTAAGGACAGGGGCTGCCACTTGAACAATGCATACAAAGAAAACACAATAACGGACTGTGATATTCTAATCTTTCTCTCCCTATCTCTCTCTTTCTATCAGGCTCTCCTCGACACTCAGAAACAGCTTCGTTCTCAGATCTCCAACTTTACCTTCAACCTGGGCTTTTCTGGAAAGTTCTACCACACAGGTTTGTAGTACTTGCGTGTTATTCCACCTCACATGTCTGTGTCAAGAACCCCACTAGCGTTAAGACACATGATTTGAAAATTATATAGGAGCTTACTGAAAAAGGTCAATTGGTAAAATAGCACTGCAATGGCCTTTGCATGTAGAAGCTTCACCTTGTTTCTGATAATGATGACAATGGTTTAAGACGGATGTGATAATGTGTCTTTATTGTTGTCTGTCCTTGTCTTGAAAGTAGGGCTGGGCGATATGGGAAAAAGTTTATCACGATATTTTTTTTCATATCAGTTGATATCAATATATATAACATAAAAAATGAAATTTAACAGTGCTTATTGGTAGCATGTTGTTTGCATTACCATAAGCTACTGCATCTGTGAGGTCTTTTTGTCTCGATGTTTTGCCGAAAGGCGGTGCACTAGAGAAAGCGAACTGAATGGTCGGCTGTTTTGGCTGCACAGGTGCCATGGGCTCCTTGCTCCACTCGGGGTTTGTAACCGTTTGTATTGCTCGTGCTCTGCCGCTTGGCACTGCTTCAGGTAGTGGAAAAGGTTTGAGGTATTCCCAGACTTTAAGAGAACATGTACTCGACATGATTTGCAGTGCTCATTACTCTGCTTCATGTCCGACCTCAAAAAAACAAAATACCTCAACACCACCGACGTTTTCGTGCCAATGTTGTCGACGATGTCATCATCTTGTGAGTCTTCATCTGTAGCACTCATTTACTTTTTTTCTCACAGACAGTGCTATGGTTGTGTGTAGCTGCAGCCTGCTACTACAAAGTTGTTTGCTACTTGGTTCTAATTCAACACACAATTGGTTCAGCGTGAAGCAGACCTTGAGCAACTCCCATTTCCTTTAGCTGTTCGTATAGTCTACCATAACATGGCACAATGCCAACTATCAAAAAGCATATTGTCCATGTTTTATATTGATATTGAGGGAAATTAATTTTCGATAATTATCGTTATTGTTTTATCGCCCAGCCCTACTTGAGAGGTTCTACTATTTTCGATTGAATTTGTCTTTGCTGCGTTTTCTATAATTGCTTGAATGGTTGTCTACACTGCTCGACACTTCCCCGACAATTTCCTGTTATGCTGTGATGTTTGATCCACATCCATAAGCTTCATCCGTGACCTTCCTCTCGTCGTATCCAATATTTAGGAAAATCGACAGAATTGATCCTGAGTACAGGCAGAAGTCTAGAGAGTTGGTTCTAGACTTTATAAGCCTTCACACGTTGTAGCTAACCCAGTATTTTAACTCAAAGGAACAAGAAAAGATTTAAATAAAGTATAAAAAGATGATGCTCCTCAGGGCAACACAAATTCAACTACTGTGTTTTTTCCAATGTGAGCCTTTCTCTTATGAGCTACATGGTTATAATTATACAGGCAAATCTGTAAGCGTGAACGTACTGCTGTGCATTCTACACTCTGTTGTGGAGCCAACGACATGTTTTATTAATTTCCTCCCAGTTAAAGTGTCTTAATCTGCACCAGGAGAACAGCACAGTAGGTTATGCTGCTTTAGAAAATTAAAGTGACACCGGTATCATAATTATATTTAGAAGAAATCTGATAGAGATGAGAACAAATTACCACAGCACCTGGAACTGCTATGGTCACTTCACGTTTCATCTCCATGGTATCACACTGCAGTCTATTTCAGCAACAGGACCTTAAAACAACCCCGTTGCTTGGTGATGTATTCTAATCTGAGAAGTTTGTTTTAGTTTCAAAGTGCTCTTAATCTGCATGAATCAAACGTTCATACATTATACTCTTTGTCTTTTCGTCTTTGCACCCCTGTGCGTGTGTGCAGGCACGGTTGAGGAGGATGAAGGAGACGATCTACTGCTGAAGTACGTGGATGAGTTCTGGTGGTTCCCCCACATGTGGAGCCACATGCAGCCTCACCTCTTCCACAACGAGTCCTCACTGCTGGAGCAGATGGTCCTCAACAAGGAGTTTGCTCTGGTGAGAGACACACACATATGTACATATACACATTCATGCACATTTCTTACATTTTTTTTTTGTCCTTATAGTCCTGCTTTCCTCCCTTAATTGCATGTCCTTCAAGGGCGTCTTTTGATGTTGGCGATTGTTATTTTCTTACCACGGCACTTTGCAGACATGATGTATGTAGGGAACTGAATCTGCTCTCACTGGTTTAACAGCAGTAGAAGGCTGGGTGCGACAGAAGAATGCACTTTAAGCACATTTCCTCCCTGTTGTAAAGGACATTATTCATACTTGCTTTAAATTCCCCGATAAATGTTTTTGTTTCCAGCCTTGGAAGTGTGATATTATTCTTCAGCAGTACACCTTTTAACCATGTTTTCGATAAATTTTTGTTTGAAATGTGTCTTGGGGTTCCACTTGCCGACACTCTGGGGAAATCATTTGAAGCATATTGCCATACCAATGCTCTGCTGTTTTGCGCAATATATATAGAAATGTCCTTGTTATATTGATGAAACAACATAATCATGGTAGATTTACACTTCCTGCAGTGTATTTGCTAATGCAAATTAGCTGCGTATGAACATCAACACCATCCAGCAAATAGATTGAGCTGTAGGAAGACTGCTTTCATAAAATCTCGCATTATTTACTCGTTTTCTCAAAGAAAAGAAGCGAAATATCAATTCCCTGATTGGGAGTTATCTGATGGACACACCTGAGCCCTGTTTAAAAGTCTCCTGTTTCATCGGAAGTCTACAAGGTCAAGTGTTTTTGTTCATCGGCTCTGCCTGCTTTTTCCTGGGATTTGTCAATACGTGTGTGTGCGTGTGTGTTTTTGTGTGTTAAGTGAGTGGTTGGAGATGATTTGTATGGCTGCACACACAGGAAACAGTGTGCGTGTGGGGGGTCATGTTGTTGAAGGTGAGCATGATCATAAAGTGCGATCCCTAACCTCCATTGTATACACACACACACAGACACACACAAACACAAACACACAAATTCACTTGCTCATCCCCCTGACCGCTGATGCTTCTCTTTGACAATGTGTGTAGGTGTGTGTCAGAGCGAAGGACAACACCATCAGTCTATGAGATGCACCTGGCAACCATCCACCCTCACAATTCACCACGTAAACATGCTCACACAATATATATTTTTTAATCTCCAACCCTGAAGGCCAGTGTCGTAACAAACACAACATACGGCACGTACTTCTCCTACAAGGTCAAACTCTTCACATGTGCCGCCCTGTCTTCTGCCTGAGTCGTATAGATGCTATAACTTCATTAATTACGTAGACAACCCACTCATAGGTGTCTCTGTCTCTGTGTTTGTGTGACTGCCACCTACAGGAGCACAACATCCCGGTAGACATGGGCTACGCCGTGGCGCCTCACCACTCGGGCGTCTACCCAGTTCACCTGCAGCTCTACAAGGCATGGAGACGCGTGTGGAACATCCAGGTCACCAGCACAGAGGAGTACCCCCACCTCAAACCGGCCCGCTACCGCAAGGGCTTCATCCACAACAACATCATGGTGAGGGGACAGACGTTGCTACAATCACACATCTCTGTAAAATCTCAGCATGGCTGCATGTGAACACGTATGCAAATGTGCTCATCCATAAATGCACTTTGATCTATTGACATGTCTCTGTACATACATGAAAATTGATCAGCCTCTCTACAACTGCCTGCTGGATCATTCAATATTGAACATCTTATTTATGTTTAGCTGACTGGCAAAAAAAGCATGTTTCAAGTCTTGAGTCTAAATCTTTCTATCGGGGAAACATCGCTGTGGCGACTGAATATTTTTCATGACTTTTTTTTGTTGATTAGATTTTAGGTTATCGATCTTCTGCAGTGGTCAGGGTAGTAATAATTTAGCACTGTTGGTTTGGGATGACTAAAATACAAGACTGTTAGTGCTGTTTGTAGATGCTTTGAGTTTAATTTTTTGGCTTGTCAAAAAGGAAAAAGAAAAGAATGAAGGTGTTTGTTGTCCTGCAAAAAAAGATTACAGACAGGTAAAATTTGGTCGAGGTGCATATATGAGGAATTTCTGTTTATTATCTTGTTTTCTTTGACAAAGCTCCACCATCAAGCACAGATCCTGGATCAAACATAGCATCTGCCTGCCAAAAAGAAGAGAAGTGATTTACTTAATTCTTCTGGCTGAAATTAAAACCATGAAATGTAAATTCTTCAAGCGACTAAATTAAAGCGTGCTTTAAAATGCAGATTCATTAAGTCAAAGAGTCTGTTCGTATCAGTCGTGCTCTTTTATCTTACTTGGTAGAGTTGTTTTTATCTACTCTGTCTTTGTTCAAATAAGTGTTTGCTGAATAGTAAATTGTGTGCTGATTGTTTCTCGCGGTCTAAACAGAAAATCAATGATTCTGTGCGAGGTGTGTAACCAGTGTGTGCATCCTTATGTGTGTGTGTGTGTGTGTGGCGTATGAATTCTCTGAACTGTGTCTCACCATAGCATGCACAGCTCTGTGTTGGTTAAATGTTCAATGTCAGGTAAAAGGCCGAGTTGTGCTTTGTTTATTCATCCGCGTGTGTTTGAGTACATACATACATACATACAGGGTGTGTGTCATAGAATCTAGAAATACTTTTACACTTTAATCACTCTCTGAGTCTTTGAGACACCAATACAATAAAACTCTTGTTGCCTCTTTATTTTATTTTAGCAAGTTGTTTTCATCCCACCTCCTCCTCCTCTATGTCCTCCTCCTCCTCCTCTTCTTCATTCACTTGTCAGTCAGGCTCTTTGTCAGTCTGCACAACTGCTCCCTTATTGACAAAAGAACCAATCACATCTGACACCAAAATTACCAGTCCATGTTGTTCTGCCCTATTTGGATCCTGAGCAAACAATCTGAGCAGACAGCTCTGTCAATTTCTTAATCAGTCCCACAAGTCTGCTTTTATTCCTTGACATTTTGTTACAGCGTCATAAAAGACAGCCACTTAATCGTACTTCCACGTAACACAATAACAAGCTGACAACTTGACAGGCTATAATGTGTTATTAAACATGATCAATAGTAAGGTATTGAAGGCACCAATGAATCACCAAATTAAATAACAAGCCACAGAACAAAAACATGTATTCAACAGTCAATACATCATAAAGAGAGGCGGGGAACAGAGGAAACAACAAAGAGCAGCTGCCAGGAATAAAAAAAGACTTTCTTCTTTGTTTCATACAGGGAGAGAAGATTTTTTGATGAAAAACTGGAGAAGGAGTGGCGGCAGAGACATAATTAAATCCCAACAAAAATGACAATCAAGTTTGGCAGTGACAGTGACGACGCCTGCAGATGTTTTCTGAGCATTGCGTGTGAAACTTTCATAGGATAAATAAGGCTTCAAGAAACTTCTTCAAAAACTTTTGAAAATAAAAATCAAGTTATGGTAAAATATTGCAATACGTGCATCTTGAATTATACGTAGTGATGACAGTTTTATTTCGCCTGTGAAATAAGTTTTATATTCTTGCAGAGTTTTCCCTTTAGTTCTGTTCGGAGCTGGAAAGAAAAGGTGATTTGTTCTGTTAGATTTAGTTTTTTAAAAAATATAAATAAAAATACCACAAAGTTAAAGTTCTGTGTTCTCCAATTAAATTTGAATATAAATCAGAAATATCTCCTGTGTTATAAGTTAATGGAAACTGTTTTTGCCGCAGTATCGACAGGCAGTGATGATTTCAGACCCCTTTGGATCGATGTAATTTGACGGATGCAATGAGGTCATTCAGTGTCTCTCGCTGTTGAGAGTTAATCGCTGTTGTTTTGAGATGTCGATCAATCAAATATCAAGCATTTATCATGACTGGGTAATAAAATGACTGAAAAGTGTGATATGATAGGCGGCCATTTAAAGGTAACTTAAATGTGACATTATAGTATCCTTTTATAACAGTGAAATATCATGGACATTAGGGATGGGCGATATTGGCAAAAACAAGTTATAACGATGAGATTTCTGGTGATAACGATAAAAGTCCTGATAAAAAAAAACATTATAATCTCAGTCTATATTTTTGACTCATTTTGTCTTGAGAACACCAGCTGGAATAGTCAAATAAGATACTTAACCACAAGTTTGAGTGGTAGGTTACGGAGAAAACTAATGACATCAAACAAGTCTCAAATGTGAAAACATTTTCAACATTTGTTGAAAACTCTTATTGCACAGAGTGAACAGCAGCAGATCTACTGTCCGATGTCAGGCATACCTGATTGTGCTCATTTTAGCCCCAATCTTAAAGGAAATCCCTCATGTGGAGCCTCGTTCAGTAACGAGCTGCTCAGAAACGTCTGCTTTGTGTGGGCTATGGCTGCGAGTCCGTCGCTCGCGCTTACGTCATCAACTTACATTTATCGTATTTATAATGAGATGGCAAATATTTATAATGGAGGATTTTTCTGACGATATATCATGAATGATAATTTATCGACCATCCCTAATAAACATGTATCAGTAATCCTTATTAAATGTATTTAGACAGTGGAGCCTCGTGGAAGCGGTGTAGGGAAGTAACTTTGTCTCTTCCTCAGCTACATTACATGCTGCACTAATAGTAGTAAAGGGAGGCGAGGAAAAAGAAAAGTAAAAACTTAAACTCCTAGAGGCAGATCGGTTTTCTAAGAAGCAGCTTTGTGTGTGAGAGTGTATAAATGTATGTGCGCCTAAAAAAATTCACAATAAATCAGTTATTAGATCCTTATAGTGGTAATTCTTCTTTATGACCTCTCCGTAAGTTTCCCCAGCTCACAACCTTCATATTTCCTTTACCTTTCATTGGCTTTCACTTTAAATTTTTCTCACAACTTCTTTCCATTAATCTGTGTCCTCTCTGCTTCTTGCCACATCTTTGTTTGTTCACAGGAGGACAGGAAGTTGTCTGAGGGCTGTAAAATTGGTCTTTGTGTGTCTCTGTCAGCAGATTGAGAGCCACCCACTGGACCCACAGTATCAAAACAAATCAGACTGAGATATAGGATTGTGCTGCATTAGTGTGTGTGTGTGTGTTTGTGTGTGTTTGTGTGTGTGCGTGTGTGTGTGTGTAAGACATACGTGTGTGTGCGTGGGCTTCTTTTTAAAATGTACTATATCAGTTTGAGCTATAGCTCTGTGGATAATTGGTTTGGTGAAATAGTGCTGAGTGTCTGTGGCTCTGGTGGCCTTCTCTCTCTCTCTCTCTCCCTTCCTCTCACCCTCTCTCTCTCTCTCTCCCTCCTTCTCCCCCTCTCTCTCTCTCTCTCTCTCTCTCCGTCTCGAGTGTGTTTGTGTGAGTGTGAACGAGTCTGCAGTGTTTTATAGATAAACCAATATCTGCACTTCCTGCCTTTACTCTGTATTTCTCACAGAAGTGCTCCACAAGGAGTTCCCAATAAAGACCTTCTTCTTCCCCTCTCATCTTCTTCTCATTTAATTTCTTTAATGACCTCATAAAAAGCGATTAATTCATCAGCTGTTCAACATTTGATCCAGGGCTCTCTTAATCTGTCATACTGGATATTGCTTTTGGTTCTTTACAGCGTGAATGAATTTAAATACATGTTTACATCAAACCTTCAGTGTGTTTTACTCTTTTCGACTTGCTGTAAATGCTCTGTAATGAATAGCACAGATTAGATGATTGGTCTGATATAAAGCTGAAAACAATGTCATTACATTTCCATAAATAACTACTTTCTATAAATTGATAACATCTTAAGGTTTACTAGAAGCTTGTATGGAAAGTTGACCTTGCTTTCATTTGTCTAAGCACAGGGTTTTTCATTTCAGAAGTCATCTACTTTCATCTCCTCTCGCCTCAGCAAACTGCAAAATACCAAACCGATGTAGGTGGGACCAAAAAAATAAAAATACCAAACAGCTTCCCAGAAATACTTGACTTCACTCCTGCAAATCAGTAGCTGATGCTTGGCAACTGCGTGAAAATAAAGTCTCCACTGCTGGAGGGAGTTATCTCAGTGGGACAGCTCTGGCCCAGCCGTTAATGTTGTCTCCTTGGACATCCCTAATTTCATCCTACTGGCTATTTTCGAAGCATATATGTTGACTTTTCCAGATGCGTACATGACAAATACACGTAACTCAAATAATATTTGATGACGATTTTGTTCTCCAGCAGCTCAGAGGACTAAAGTGAAACAGAGCAATTATTTTCTTATTAGTTACAACTACGCTTTTTTATGCCAAGTTCAAATACCAGCTGTGAAGTACAGGTCCTTGGCACTCTGTGAGAGTGTGGGATTCACACCTGTGGTTATCTACTGTGAAAGGGTAACTTTACCATATGCTCGATGACACAGCACATCAGAATATTCCTGCCCTGCTCTGCTGTTTGGCTTTTACTATTTAAAAACTGCAGCTTGGCTTTACCTTTCATCCTTATCTCTTATCTTCAATGCTACCAAATGATTCATGATTTGGTTTATTTGCTCTTTGGCCTTGAAGTATGCAGTTGATAAGAAGTTATTTTGCACTGCTTTAAGGAGGACTCTGCTGTTTTTACCAAGAGGAAATCTGGTGTTGAAAAGAGGCAAACAAACAAACAAAAAAAGATCATTTCCTTGAGTGTCTGTTTGAGACTAGCTCCAAAAGCTGAGAAATTCCTGTTGGGGCCAAAAAGCAAAATTTTGTTGCACCTAATGGAAATAATCAAATTATGAACAGTGTCCATTAGACTGCTTGCAGAACACCTAAAGTTCATAAATGGCTCTTGGGGTTTAAAGTTCAATAACTGAATTTGATTGGACTCTTTATCACCGCCTGAGGTTAGTTACCCAAGATTCATCAGCTGCTGCTATCTGAGCTGCTACACCTTAGCAATAGCTGAACTCATAACTGGTGAATGAATTTTGCACTGTGTGTAATAGAGGCTTCAGTTTTTTAGGAAAGAGGATTAGGGCCAAAAGAAAAGAAAAAAAATCATTACATGGGGGAGATTTTTTTTATTTCGAGGTTAAAAAAACAAAATTACGTGAATGAAGTTGAAATTTCGACTTCAATCTTAAGATTTTAATTTTTTTATCTTGAATTTCTGACATTATTCACATTGTTTTGATATCTTGTAATCTCGAAATTTCGACTTAAATGACAAAAATTTCAATTTTATTCTTTTATTTTAGACTTAATTGACATAATTTGATTTGTTTGATATCAAAATTTCAACTTTGATCTCATTCCTTTAATTATCTTTTTTTCTCTTCATGTGGCCCTAATCCTCTTCTGTAGTTTTTACTTTGAAAAAGAGGAATTTAGGGAATTAAAGAAGAGAAATGCACACTTTGGCCTCGCTGATCTTGACCCCTGTTATAACCAATCCTTGTATAAGAAGCTGATGTCGAGGAAACGCTCTGGATTTCAGATAACACAACCAGCTGATCATACTGTTGGTCGCCTGTTATAATCTGTTTGTTAAATTGCATTACCTGTCCAAACCGAGGTATGAAAGCTATTAACAACTCCTTCATTTTTGTGTGTGTGTGTTTATAGGTGCTGCCTCGCCAGACGTGTGGCTTGTTTACTCACACCATCTACTATAAGGAATACCCTGGTGGCCCTAAAGAGCTGGACAAAAGCATCCGTGGGGGAGAGCTGTTTCTCACTGTGCTACTCAACCCAGTGAGTCACAAACCACACACACACACACACTCACACACACTCACACACAACATCAAACACACACTTTGCACACGCTAAGGGATATATAAAGTAAGAACAAGGAGGACTGTTACTTTCTATTTTGATTTTTGCACCTTAAAAGGCACCAACTGGGTTTTCTACACTCTCAGTTAAGGTAACTTCCTCCTTGTCTGGTTCATTCTGTTTCATTTTTGCTTTGTGTGTGTGTGTGTGTGTGGGTAGGTGTGTGTGCGTGTTTGTGTGGGTGTGTGTTTGTCTCTTTTCCTGTCAGAGGCTGCTTCTCACTGTGTAGCTGTGTTCATCTCCCCACTTTAAATTAGGTCTCACCACAGGGGGTTTGCTGTCACACACGCGCACACACACACAAACACATGCGCACACGTCCACACGTTCTCCTCCCTCTTTTTGCTTACCCCTGCTGTGTGTGTCAGCTCAACTCGATTCTGCTTTGAATTAAGGAACAGAATTAGGTTTTGGTGGCAGTTCAGATGCTCATCCGAGTGAGCACATGCACGCACACTTTCAAAGGTAGGCACAGAAATTCCCAGGAAACATTCCCAAACAATCTCTCTCGAGCTGAAACCACACACGTGCGCTCGCACAGACTCACACAAAGATGCTCACAGACCAGCAGCAGGGCTGTATTGAAGTGTCAGGTAGAGGAGTGCTGAACTAGAGAAGCTGTCAGAACTCAGTGAACATCATAGACTCGAGCACAGCTTCCTACTACAACCCAATCTAGCCCTTTCTTCTCCCGGCACCACTTTGTCTCTGTCGTTTCTCTTTTTGCTTGTCTATTCTTATTTTATTGAATTTGTTTGGTTTCCTGACATCTTTGTCTTTGTTTCATTCTTTCTTTGTGTCTGTAATCCGTCATCTATTCTTTTATTGTTTTATTTAGTTGGGTTTTATTTTCTTTCAGTCTGTCTCTGAAGTCGGCGATCCCCTTTTTCTTTCATTTTGCGCAATCTTTCGCTGCTTCAGATCTGCAGTAATGCATGTAATATGCATAAAGATTTTGTGTGAACTTGTTCTTCTACCCTCAGTTTAAAAATCTGAATCTGAATGTTAAAAAATCTTACAAATGGCTGTTTTTGCTGTTCTTAACTTCTCTGCAGGTTACAAGAGAAACAGTCTCTTGTTGTATGATTTCCACCAGCTGCTACAATGATTTCTCTAATAACAGAGAAAGAAGGTGGTTTGCCTAAAATGATTGTATATTATTTTTCCATGCATAGGCTCCGGTTGTATTTGAAGAACATCCTGTAAAGTATTCTTCCAGTTAATAATCCAAATTTGTATGAACATAGACAGTGAAAGGGGGAAGCTGTTCCTGACAAATTGTTACCTGTGCTCACAGACGTCCCTCGCAGAGCTGTTTAACATGCACCATAAACTCAATTCTGATGGTGGCGAATGTTTTTGTGACCTTTTGCAAAACTCTGTAAGCATGAGTGAACAAACACAACAACTGTTGAAGAGGGGCAGTCATGATTTACAATATGTTTAGATTGAGGATTGAGGATGGTATTGAGGCCCTATAGAAAAGAAATACAAAGCTTTTCAGTTCCAGCAGGATGCTATAACTTTTAACTGACTGCTTTTATTGTATTTTTACTAATGATTTTGGGACGATTAGATTAAAGATGCCAAATCATCAAGGCATGGGGCATACAGTCTGTAAATTATCAGTGACATGATCAGTTTAAATGGTGAATATTCAACTTATATGTGCAAGTGATGCTTTTCTGTACTTAAAACCACCTGGTATACCATAAGAGTTATTTCTCAAATTTCACCAGCTTCATAATTTCTTGATGCAAAATGGTCCAAAAAAAGGATGATCCAAACAACCTATTTAGTGATTTCTACCCCTGAAATTCTCCTAAGTTATTGCACAACTCTCACTATTTGCATAAACAAGCAGTATCAGTACGAGTGTATGGGCAGGTTGCATTTCATATTAAGGAAGTTTGACATATTTCAGTTGAACTGCAGAGCTAATATTGTGTAATTGTGATTCAGTAAATTCCACTTTAAGATCAGCGTTGAATTGTTAAAACAGCAGTATGTAACTGTAATAGTAAACACACTCTTCTGACCTAGTTTCCTTATTTGATAGATGGCAGAATGTAGTTGAAACACAAATCAAAATTAGCAACATTAGAGAGGGAATGTTGAATAAAATATGAGTAATTCAAGTTCTTGAGTATCTGTGTCAACATTGAAAAGCTACAATAAAATAGGAAAACTACTCCATGAAAGAGATTGATTTGCAATAATAAAGGCATGCTGTAATTAAGAGAGTAATATATACACTGTCTATGTTACTCATTTTGCAAAATCCAAATACGAGCAGAACGAAAGGTAATTCTGACTCAAGGTCCCTACATCAGTCAGAAAACATGCAGTGTAGCTACCACACATACTTCATACATAGTGTCATGAAGGCCAATGAAACACTGGTTCTGTAGTGTGACTTTTCACATACTGGCTTTTTCTGCCCGTGAACATATTCAGTGTTTACCTGTATGTAAGTGTGTTTCCATGAGGAGTTGGCTGGGCGGAGCGAACAGCACAATCACTGATAATTTCATCTATTGGAAAAATGTATGCACACTTATATCAGATTTTTTTTTCAAAGATTCATTTAAAATAAAAATAAAATGGGTTTTCCATCAGTAGCTTAACATAATATGGTCCTGAAAAAATAATATATGTTTTTTTTATTTCCACTAAGAAGCTGGTGTCGAACAGTGTAGTGTTCTTGCATGTGTGTTTGTGTGCAGAATTTGTGTGTATAAGCGTGACAGCAGTGGAGCATGAGGAAGAAGTTGCAGCTATATGGAAGTGTATCACATCTCAGCAGTAATTTTTTAATGATCTGACTAATTTGGTACCGGATTTCACACATTAAGTGATGAACAGCCCTCCTAAATGTACTCACTAATTAAGAAATCTCACATTTTGTGTGTTATTTTACAAAGTGAATTCTGCAGATAATTTTAAAATGACTTACTCTTCTTGAACTGTTTTGTCCAATACTTGCTGTTGTAAGATCAGTGTTTTTGTATAATATTTACTTGTATGAGAGAGTTTTAGGTCAGAAAATAACACCAGATTTTTGAAAATGTTGTTTTAATTGAAATCCTTTAGACATTTAATATACTGTACTATTAACCAGAGTGAACTAGTGCACTGAAAGGCTTTACTAACTCTTTGTCTTTTGATGGATTACATGATCTTTAAAGACCCACTCAGAGGAAAATCATATTTTTCTTGTTTTTTAATTGTTCATATGACATTTTTCTGATGCTACAGGACATACCATGAGATGTGCTTTTCTGAGTATTTCTTCATTCAAATCGCTGTGAATCTCTGGCAGACCCAAACGGCAGGTTCAGAAACAGTGAGATGTCATACGTAAGCAATCCAGACTCCGCCCCCGGAGCTCCACTATGCAGGCCACACTCTGCATATAGAATAGAAATACAGAGGATGATCGCGGGACAAGCATCTGCGTTAGCGGATTGCAATGCTCATAAGAAAGCTAATTATTATATTAGCTTTTATTGTGTCCCTAAAGACATTAGTGTCCGAGAGCTGAATAGCTCCTATGTTACCTGCCACTTCTACTACCCCGGCAATATTAGGCTGCAAGCTAATGTGAAGACCAGTGTGCAGAGCAGAGCAGTCTCCGCCCACAACTCAGTGGCGAATTGCTAATGATCTACTGGAGCTCTGCTGAAGAAAAGTGCTTGAAAATGACACAGGTAATGCAATTTTTGGTAAAAACTTCATAATCACAATTGGAGTGGGACTTTAAATTCCCCAAAAATATTGTTTTTTAAATTTTTGGGCAGGAAAAAAAAAAAAAAAAATCCAATGAAACGTTAATAATATAATGCAGCACCTCACATTTCCTCCTCTGTCAAAATAGGTCACCCAATCTTAGTTTCATATTGTCATCATTATATTTTCATTGTGGCTTTTGCGCTTCTGTAAAGGGCATTAATGACAGAAGCCTCTCTATGAGGTTTTTTTTACACCTGCATAGGTGTGTGTGTGTGTGTGTGTGTGTGTGTCTTTTGATGATTGCTCAAATGACGAAGAACCTAACAAGGTATCTGCGCTCATCACTGCTGATGTCATCTCGACATGAGCTCACAAGCCACAAGGGATACCTCTGCGTGCCCATCTGTGTGTCTCTGTTTAACACTCACTCAAACACACACACATCCTGGCTAATTACATTTTTTTCTCTTTCCTCAATCTTTTGTCCTCTGCCTCCCTTTTTTTACATCCGTGAAATAAGATAAATGAGCTCTCCTCTTGTTGTTTCGCTTTGTAACATGAACTCTTTAACTTGAGAGCGTTTCAAGCGCCAAATAAAAGCTGTTCGCCATGACATACAGTCAATTCACACACTTGCATGATGATTTATTTTCACCTCTTCCCACTATGTTTCTATCTTTAGATGAAAAGCCGTTATTAGTGTGACCACTTTGTGCGCCTAATCAATAGTGTTGTGTGGCTCACTGCTTTAGTCCTGCGGGAGTTTCCTATTGTTTTATCATCTGCACGTTGGTAACATTGTCACTTCCCATTCACTGATTTTTAATCACATTTAGCCTGTGGTGACAGTTCACTACTGATGACAACAAACTGATTGAATGTGCGTGCGTGAGCCTGTGCCGCTTGTTTGCGGGCGTGCGTGTGCATGTGTCCGTGTGTGTTTGGATACTTTAGCATCATTCCAGCCTGCATCAGCGATCATCGAACTCGCCGTCTCGCATAAGCTCGGGAATCGATTCGACGACCTCGCCTCTGCAAACAGCCAATAGGGCACAAGTCAGTCCCCAATAAATGGCCAAAGAGACAGTGAGAGAGAAAGAATGGAGGGGGGAGAATAGCGGGAGGAGGAGGAGAGGTGGGGGGGTGAGGAGGTGGCAGACAGATTGAGATTTAATTTTCAGGTCACGGCATCTTGTGTCACTTGAGAATCCAGACACATACAGAGAGGAAGTGATGCACATACGGGCGTGCGCACACACATATCAACAAACACACAGCCGTGCGTGTGCTTGTGTGTCAGCACCCCAGCATCTGCGTACGTGTGCATGAGTACGTTTTGTTTAAATTTGTGTCGAGCTGACATAAGCAGAGCTGTAGACATATATCAGGCCTGACATTTAGCGCTTAGCTCTGCCACTAAGCTTATTAGCCAAACACCAAATATCAGCACAATCTTTCTTCCCCCCCAAGACCCTCTTTTTTTTTTTTTTTTTTTACCCATCACCCCCTCCCTTTCCCCTCTACAGCTCCTACCTCTCTTCTTCTTCCTCTTCTTTCTTTCTTTCTAGAGCTCTTGTGGCTTTTCCTCTCTCCTTTCCTTTTTTCTTCTCCGTCTATTTCCTTTCATTTTAAACCTGCTAATGTTGACTTTGCTCACGAGTGGATCTCGCCTCACTTTTTTTTTTTTTCATTTCACTCCTTCTTTCTCCGGAGTCATGCTGATTGCCACCGAAGGCTTTGGCAGCTCATCAGCACATACAGACTCTCTCTCTCTCTCTCTCTCTCTCTCTCTCTCTCTCTCTCTCTCTCTCTCTCTCTCTCACACACACAATAAGCTGCAATCCAAACAGAAGGAGAAATTACAAAGTGAGAGTAAAGCACTGAAAGACGAACGGAATGGAAAGGGCCAGAAGATGTTGACTGGAGCAGGCTGAATAAATTGAATCGCAATCATTTGCCGTGTTGATGTTCAGCTTTCAATTATCCACTGATCAGAAAGAAACAAAGATGAAGTGAGAGAGAGGGGGGAAAGGCAGAAAGGGAGAGAGTACCATGATGATGGTGGTGGTGAAGGAGAGGGGAAGAGCAGTGGTGGTTGGGGAGGGAGGGGGGGTCCTTTTAGTAGCAATAACAGTTCAATCAAGGAGAAATGTATGTGGAACTAAGTGGTCTGTAATGGGAAATGGGCGGCTTCAGGCGGGGGAGAGTGGCAGAGAGACACAGACAGGGAGTGAGAGAGTGGTAGGCAAGAGGCAAAAGGGTACACCGATACAGATAGAGCAAAGGCCACTGAAACAAGTAATATCTCAAAATTGCAATCATGTCAGGGAGGATTGGACCATGTCACAAACTCAAATACAAGACCAGTGGGTCCTTTTAATCCTTCAAGACATGGTATTTGTGCGGTTTCTGTGCACGCGTGTTCATGTGCACCCAAATTTTGGAGAGCATCACTCCACAAGCTTCATCAGAGCATCTAGGTCAGCGTGACAAGGAAAAAAAGGGACCTTTTGGAGTACATGAAAGAGCGAGAGCAAGACATTAAAAGGATGAGAAAAGACAGGGGAAATGAAGCTATGAGGAGAGAAGACAAGGGACAAAGATTAAAACAGGCTGTGGAGTTGGAGGGGGTTTATTTCTCTTGTTTTTTTTTTTATAACACTTCTCTCCCCGCCAAGCTCCGAGTATAATTTGAGCCCAATTCTGGTGTTAAATTATTAGTACAGTATTCTTTATTAAGGACGCATAGGGGGACTCAAAGCAATCCAATATTCAGGAAATGAGTCGTGGCACCACATGCAAAGAAAAGGTTTATGCAGCTCAGTTAATTGAATTCTTAGCCACGGTGAGTTCCTCCACCAAAAGGGTCTAGAATCCCTCTGCGTCTGAGATTAACACTCTCTCAAGTACAGTTTTTTTTTTTTTTTTTGTTTTGTTTTTAATTCAGACTCACCTACCAAGGTTACACTCATCATCGTTCCCTTTGTTATTCCTTTCTCTGTACTTTTTTTCCCCCCTCTCTTTTTCTGCAGTCTTCCAATTACAAATACAAATCACCCTCTCTACCCCCCTTTGTTTAATTTGGCAGCGAGTGTCTAAGCTCTGCAATGAATGTTCCATGTTCAATAACACTCGGATTCTCCTTCTCATTCACTCCTTCTCTTCATACACACACACACACACACACACACACACACACACACACACACACACACACACACACATGCACATGCATATATATACAGTATAATACCCTGTAACCCCTCATAGCCTGAGTCACACATCATAAGTCATTGAGAGGCTTGGAGGATGAAACAACATTAAAGGGATATTCCACTATAAAATTAATTTAGGGTCAAACACACCATAACACCGAGTTAGACACCGCCTCAAGAAATGAATGTTGCTGACCGCTTGCTTCTCTAGTGATACCAACGTTAGTAATAGCCGCACGATAGCAATACACAGCTGTCTCAGGAACCATGCACAAACCTCAACTAAAACGCCACTCTAGCCACAAATAATGCTCAGAACAGCACCTAACTTCATCAACAGTACATATAGGGTCCCAGCCATAGTACTAGCCACCAAACATCTTTTTAACTTTGCCTGATTTCTTTAGCAAAGAGACTTAAAACAACTCACCCACTCTCTTCCAGCAGCCGCTTTCTTGTAGCGAGACCTCAAGTGAGTCCATTACAGACTGCTGTGGGGTGACGCAGCTCAAGGAAGAACATTTATGATCATTTCTTCCTGGAAATGCAATCAGACCGAGAAGCTGAGGCAGAAGAACTACCGCGTCTGCAGTGCGAAATGATTAATATGGTGATTATTACTTCAAGGAAATGATAAAGTAATTATCATAAATGTTCTTCCTTGAGCTGCGTCACCCCGCAGCAGTCCGTAGTGGACTGGCCTGAGGTCTCGTTACAAACAAGTGGCTGCTGGAAGAGAGTAGGTGAGTTGTGTTTAGTCTCTTTGCTAAAGAAATTAGGCAAAGCTAAAAAGATGTTTGGTGGCTGGTACTATGTCTGTGACCCTATATGTACTGTTGATGAAGTTAGGTGCTGTTCTGAGCATTATTTGTGGCTATAGAGTGGCGTTTTGGTTGAGGTGTTTGTGTGTGTGTGGCTCCTCAGACCGCTGTGTATTGCTATCGTGCGGCTATTACTAAAGTTGGTATAACCAGAGAAGCAAGCGATGGGTAACATTCATCTCTTGAGGGGGGGCCTAACTTGGTGTTACCGTGTGTTTGACCCTAAATTATCTAACTTACCTATCCATTTCAAGGGGTAGGTAAGTTAGTAGCATCCTATCTGCTTGGGTTAGATTTGTTTACATTTAAAGTGTATGAGTCCAACACCTGTATATTTCATAATATGCCTATCCTGCTCCTTTTTGCCTTGCCTTAACTGCTGCAGCAAGCTTTGGGAAACATCCCCTCTCACTCTCAAATGTGAAAAGATGTTTCCAGTGAGACACTGTCGAATGTAATTTTACACATTGCCTAAGAGTAAGCTCTGCATTCATGCTTCAAAGAGGGATGTTTGGGGTTTTTTGACATTACAATTTAGAGCTGAAGAGGAGTGAGCGAACATTTCTTCCTGGCTCTCATAGCTGTTGTTCCTGTTTGAGCGCTCGGTGAAGCCTTGACAGCGGTTCCACATTGCTGCTCTAACATCAGCCAGATTGATATGAAGCAGGCGAGGCTGGAGGGCACACTGCTGGTTTGCTTAGAGTGAGCGCAAGATAAGAAGGCGGTGGCAGATGCACACAATTGCACTGGCATAAACAATTACGCACACACACGCACTTAAAAAATGACTCTGACATGCATACCCTTGCTGCTCTCTCTTCTTTCTCTGTTGCGTTCTTTGTCACCAAGACACACACAAGGAGCCACACACATCTGTCTTCTTCCTCCTTCACCCTCCCACAGTGTCTCTCACACACACACACATTCCTCACATCAGTATTCTGAACAGCTTTCCAGGTCGACCGGACACTGATCCATCAAACCCCGACACTGTGTCGCTTTGTATCTACGGGAACCTTCAGCATTACAGCGGAGCAGCGACAGCCCTCTGTCACCAAGAAATTCACTGTGCATGTATGTGTGTGTGTGTGTGTGTTTGTCTGTGTATTTGTGTGTTTGCTTTCATAAGCCAAAAACACTGAAACACAATAATCAGCCATGCACACACAGACACACACATGGACCAACCACCAAATAATTCATATCTTAATGGGTGATGTTACCGTTCCTTCCAGACTCTTCATGTTCCCAAGCTTCTCCTCAAAATCACAAAAGATGAATGTGTGTGTATATGGGCATGTGTATGTGTATATGTGTGTGTGTGTGTGTGTGTAGCAGCTATCTAAGCTTGTCTCTTTGATCAGCCTATAAAAGCATTGAGGCGTGGACAGATAGCCCAGACCAACACACTATCGCTCCTTCACTTCCCCCCTGAGTCTCTCCTTCTCCCTCACACACATTAACCGTCATGAACACACTCCCGACACACTTCCAAACACCCTCCCTTGTGTGTAGCTGCATCTCCCCATCACCCAGTGGCTATGTGTGAGGAGAATTGAGCTGCTTCCATAGCTTCTTTATCTATCAGGAGTACTGAATATGTCCGCTCCAGTTTATCTGCCCTCCTCTCTCTCTGTACTTGAAACTGTATTGCACTGAAAGTTAATGCATATTCTTACATAACTAAAGTGAGGCCGTCACTTTGCAAAGCAATAGCAAATATTGATGCTTGGACGGCGGCTCTGTTAGTGACTTCAAAACTGTCACACACTGAGAAATAATCTGTTTGCTTTTTTCCACTGCAGCCACAGCAGCAGTAATTAGATTTACTGCACTGCTTCACTTTTTCACACACATTGGAAGTTTGGAAATGAGATTTGACTTTATCTCAGTTTTAAGCAAAACAATGAGTTTATTTCTCCTCTGTCTCTGTTTCTCCACTCTAGATCAGTATATTCATGACACACCTATCAAACTACGGGAATGATCGACTGGGTCTGTACACGTTTGTCAACCTGGCGTCCTTTCTCCGCTCATGGACGAACGTGAGACTCCACACCCTCCCACCCCTGCAGCTTGCACACAAGTACTTCCAGCTCTTTCCAGAACAAAGGAACCCACTCTGGCAGGTGTGTATGCACAGGCTTTTGCCCACATGCGCTGGCTTGTGCTTTCTTGCTCTTTACATTTCTAACTGCAGTTCTGCTAATAAGGATAGTCGTGTTGTGTTGGTTCAAAAGTACTCAGAAGCGAAACAGATTGGAGGAGCTAAGTGGGTCTTTCTGTTTTACCGTGCAATTACTCAACTTGAGTGTTTATTTCTTTTTTGTACGGTGCTGACTTTTGCATTTTGTTGCAGGAAATGACCACACTTGGACAGCAGAATGTATTTGTATCTTTATGTTTTAGCTAACAAGGTTTGCGACTCATCAATTACACGAGCCAAGCTGCAAAAGGATCCTGCTTTATCGTACATTTTTCTCTAAATGAGACCGTTGTTTCTGCCCATGTGGTCTACTAAAGGTGATCGGTTTTGTCTTGTGCCACTAGTTCTATCATGTACACACAAGAAAGTCACCTAGTGCATGAGAATGAGTAATAATGTGTTAGTGGGGCTGTTGTCTGTGCTGTACCTTTGACTACAACAACCATTTATTGCGACAGATGCTGCCCCTTAGACATCTTTGTTGCAACATCAAGCTAAAACAATGTTTGAAGTGGATAAAGTAGTCTTTGTACTAACTGTGAAAAAAATTTCCTTCATTACTAATATAAATGATGAAGCTGGGATAATAAAATTCATCGCACAAGATAAATTAATCACCTTTATGCGGCTTCAGGGGTTTTGTTTCACACTGTGCCGTATCAAACTACACTTTTAAAGAAGAAGCAGTCATTTTCTGAACTAGCTCTCCACAATATAGTGCTCCTATTCAGCTTTACTTTTAAAACCAAGAGGCTGAGTCTACCCTTTACATTCAGCCTGTGGTATACACTTTTAATTGTTGCGGTGTTTTTAATGGAGATCGATGAATTTTTGTGCAAGGTCTAGCAATTGATTTAGAAATCTGTCCATGTTTTTTTGTTCTCTGTTGTCAAAGTTTTTAGTATTTATCAAAAATATGTTGCAGCCTTGTTCCGGTTGTACTTCCATGGGAGACTGCAACAGTCTTATACATGATATATTCACAATAGCTTCATTTAATCATTCTTTGTGACAAATCCCGCTGGATGTATGGGCATGCCTAGGCCTGGATACATGATCTGCGCATAATTACTCGAACAGACTAATCCTATATTTTTCTCTGCCTCCGCAGAACCCATGTGATGACAAACGACACAAAGACATCTGGTCTAAAGAGAAAACATGCGACAGGTTACCAAAGTTCATGGTCATAGGCCCACAGAAAACAGGTAAGCTGCAAAATCAAACACATTCAGACATGCACATGTAACAAAGGCACACCCTATGTGTGCCCAGGTGTCTGGATCCACAGCATCAGAGCCCATTCATTTAATCCCCTTTGCTCCTTTGGTCCTGTCAGAGAGAGACAAAGCAGGAGGCTCTTACCTCCTTTCTTCCACCCACATATATCTGCTTTAGATGCATAGAGATACAGTACTGAGCCACCAGCCTTTCCCTTTCCCCTTTACTTTGTCTTTGTCCAAAAAGAAGACGAGATCATTAAGAATCTATATAAATGTTACCTGACTCCACACTGTTGCCTCCATGTGATTTCCGTTTTTCTAATTGCTGACATGAGGTGTGTGAAATAAAGAGGTCCTTTAACGCCGCTCAATTACCAGGTGCTAATTTCTGAAATAGGCGGGGGGATCACTGTGGCAGCAATTACAGTACCAACAACGGTCACATTACAATTAAATCAAATTGTATACCGTATGTGCACAGCATGTTAAAAGATAAATAGTAAACGTAGAGAGCGCGGGGTTGTAACATGATGTGTGGGAGTCAGTATGTGAGGGACGGGGCAAGAAAGAGCTGCTGAGGGTGAGACAGAGGGCATGACCAAAGCTCCTTTGCTGATTGGTGTCAAATGGTCTTGAATCACTTGATGGCGAGGCCTGTGATCTTTGCAGACACGCACACACATACACACACTCACTCATAGTGTGTACTCAGCAAGATATAAATCTCATGGAGGGAAAAATCATCCAGTATGGATCACTGGATGACAGCTCTAGCACATACTGATCAAGCACACACACACACAGACACACACACACACATGCGGACTACTCTCTGTTGAGCTGAATTAATGAGCCGGTTATGAATTATGCCCTTTCTTCCAGGAACGACAGCACTTTATCTCTTCCTGCTCATGCATCCCTCCATCTCCAGTAACTTCCCCAGTCCTAAGACGTATGAAGAGGTCCAGTTCTTCAACACCAACAACTACCACAAAGGAATTGACTGGTGAGAGCACACACAAACACAACGTACACTTACACCTTTCTTTAATTTCATCTTCGTGCCTTTGAGCATAAACCTAAGGTGAAAAGAAAGATTGAAAAACAACCTCATTTTATGGAAAAGAGGTTGTAATCGACTGAAATGTCTTTGTGCACTTCAAGGATACAGTTTAAAGCAGTTCAACAATATCTTCAAAATGATCTTTTATGGGTGCAAACATGAGCCAACAGACATATGGCTGCCTAAATTGACCCATAATGGGTTACTCTGATGACAGAAACACAGCTGGTGCATTCACTGAAGTCATCCGGAAAAGACTTATCTCTGAAAATTTGTTATAAAACACTGTTGAAATTGTGTTGTCACATTTGGACACATTGCCTTTGCTCTGATTACAATAATAACTTGTGACTTTGTAGCTTGTGCCTGACTTTGAATAAAATAGCAGAAACTTTGGTTGGTGGTTATACTTTCATACAAACAGCGTTCTCCTCTTGGTTTTCTGTGTGTCGCAGGTACATGGAGTTTTTCCCTGTGCCTTCTAATGTTAGCACAGACTTCCTGTTTGAGAAGAGTGCTAACTACTTCCCTTCAGAGGACTCCCCACGGCGAGCTGCTGCCCTGCTGCCAAAGGCCAAGATCATTACCCTGCTCATCAACCCCTCTGACAGGGCCTACAGCTGGTATCAGGTGCTTACACAAACACACAATATATATTAGATGCGCATGACTGAACATGAGTTATTTTTAAGTCTCTATAGCTGCCTGCTCAGTCATTACATGCCTCGTGTTTGTGCAAAAGACAAGCTCTTTATCCAAGAGTGTCTTTGGATTCTGATTTCACTATGCTGTTGATTTAACAAGTCGTTTATATTTTATGCCATGATGTTGAAATGCATCAAGATCCTAAATAATTTGCTTTACTTTCTTTCATTAATAATAACTTTATTTATATAGCACTTTTCAAAACAGAGTTACCAAGTGCTTCACAACATAAAAAAACAGAGTAGAGGTAGAGGTATGACATACAGCAGCAGACTTTAAAACAATTTCCAAAACAATTAGTAATAATAAAAAAGAATATTTTGGAAATTAGGGAAAAAGTGAATGTTAAAAGATTTTAAAATGAGTTAAAATAATAATAATAATAATAATTGTAAAAATAATAATAAAAATGAAAGAATATATTAAAACAATAATAATAATAATAAGAAGAAGAAAATAAAATCTGGTTAAAAGTTAAGAACTAGTTAAGAACTAACTTAAAACTCATATCCAGTAAAAGCAAATTTATAGAAATGAGTTTTTAAAGAAGTTTTAAAGAGGATAAAAGGATTGCCAGTCTGATCTCCTCAGGCAGTTTGTTCCAGAAAGCAGGAGCCCTGACAGAAAAAGCCCTTGGTCCTCAGCCTGGACTGAGAAATAGTCAGCAGACACATAGCTGAGGACCTCAGGGTACAGCCAGGCTGGTAAAGTGTGAGGAGATCAGCGATGTTCCTAGGGGCAAGTCCAGACAATGCCTTCAAAGTTATTATTAAGATCTGAACTGTGAGCCAGTGGAGGAGGTCTATAATAGAGTTAATATGCTCTCTCTTTTTTGTGTTTTGGTGAAGAGTCTGGCTGATGCATTCTGGACTAGCTGTAGTTTATTTAGGCACTGCTGTGATAGACAGAAATATAGGGAATTACAGTAGTCCAGGCGGAGGGAGATGAAGGCATGTATGACTGTTTCAGTGTGTTTTCTGAGAAGCTAGTGACTGATTTTGAGAGTCCTCTAAGCTAATGAAAACATAATTGAACCGATGAATTGACGTGCTTCTCCAGATTGAGGTTGTTATCAAAAATGACTCCAAGATTGTTGCATCTGTTAGAAATATTTGCTAAGAGAGGCTCTAGATGTTTAGTGATGTGGGTGTGTGCAGTTTCTGGGCCAAGAATGATTACCTCTGCTGCAGGACGTTGTGGGTCATCCAGTGTTTAAGGTTATTATGGCTAAAAGAGAAGTAAAGCTGGGTGTCACAAGCATAACAGTGAAAATCTATGCCATGTCTACAACTCACATGTCAAAGGAGCAACTGATAAATTCAAAACAGTAGTGGTCCCAAAACTGACCTCTGAGGCACCCCACATACAAATTAGCTCTGGGTGACTGTGAGTTATGATGGCAAGACGAAAAGACCTCTCAGTCAGATAAGATAAAATATAAAATAATAAGACATGACTGTCAACAATATGTCAACTAGACTGTTATCTCACTGTCTATAAAGTTGACACTGATGGTGAGCTCTCTGTCTGCTAACCTTCTCAGCATCAAAGAGCTCATGAGGACCACGCAGCCCTGCAGTTCACCTTCTATGATGTCATCAGTGCGAGACCAGGAGCGCCAGCTGAGCTCCGGTCCCTCCAGAACCGCTGTCTTATCCCGGGTCTTTACTCCACACATCTGGAGAGGTGGCTCACGTTTTACCCTGCTAACCAGGTTTGTAGAGTAAAATATTGGAATATAAGCATGATAATCATTTATGATGAAGTGCTTTCTAGAAAGAAGTTTCAGACAAAGGGCTGGTGATGTGGATAAATCATAAATTTGAATATTTCTAGAAATGAATACTGATATGTTTGGTGTAATAGTACATTTATGAAGTAATATGTTGCCTCGGTCTTGTCACCCCCTTCCCGAATTGGACTGATTGTGTTTATTTTTATTTACCACAAATATCACAATAATAGTGTTATCATAATATCCAATAATTGTGAGGTGAATATCTGATATCGTGACAGTCCTAGTTTTAAGTTGAAATTACATATTTGAGGTACCAAAAAGACACTATTAGCCCTTTAATGCCTTTTGTATCATATTTCATACATACTTTTATGATACTTCTTTCAAATCAATGTGATCAACCCCACCTGAATACTGTCCGATAAATTATAAAAATATCCTCTTGTGGTTTATGAGTTTCCAAAAACATCTAATGTATGAAACGAGATAAATATATGTATTTGTTCAATTTTAAGGACATTTTGAAATTTTTGGTTTTCAGTAGTAATTGTGAAATAAACATTTCAGCCCTAAGAAATTTGAATTTTCTGGCCATATTTGTGGTTTCAGGCAATAAGGGGTTAAACTATATCTAACATTAGCATTAAATCACTTCTGACCGAACTGCAGTGTTATAAAGTGACACAAAGTATAAAAAGGGCATATATTTTTAGATATCTATTATTTAAGCTTACCAGTGCTAATGTTAACTAGCAAATGTCAGCTAAGATTTTTTTTTTATTGAGAAAGGATATCTTTGAAGTTTGGTTGATGTAGCTTACAACATAAATAAGTGGCAATGACTCGATGCTGATTTCTCTTGGGATATTCACGACCAGTAGCCTCAACAGTTTCTTATCAGGCCAGGAGTTGTGAAATGATAAAGATTTGTCAGATTCCTAGACTTGAGAATTTGATATAGCAGTACCACAAGATACCAGTATTTGATCTTCAGTTATCAGAGGACGGTTGGTTAGATATTTTTGTGTTAACCTGCATAATGGTATAAATATATCTGTGTGAAGGTGATGATCATAGACGGTCACCAGCTAAGGACGGACCCTGCTGCAGTGATGGATGAAGTCCAGAAGTTCCTGGGAGTCACTCCTCACTTTAACTACTCCCAGGCCCTGACGTAAGTCTTTCCAGCTCTCTCTCTCTCTCTCTCTCTCTCTCTTCACTTCCTTAAATCCCTGGGGTCCAATAGGGTAAGGGCACCTTTCACCTGGCATGTGCTGAGATAAGAACAGTGCACAGATTCAAGCTGTAAAAGGACTTCAGGCTCAAATTTATGTGAAGCCTGACATCTACTGGTGAACAGCTGGGACCTAATGTTATCATATCCTCTTTGTCTTTGGTGCCAGGTGGTGTCATCCTCTGAAACGCACATCAGACTGTGACATCACCTGGCACCAATGATCACCCAAAAGCAGATGGTCACTTCACTACTCTCTTTGAACCATCCTTTCTTACACTCGTACTCTGTGATCACTACAGAGGGAGCAAAGACAAAAGTGTATGACGAACAAGACACAGTAAGACAAAAAAGGAGACGAAAAGAATGGTAACTCTATGAATGTAGTTGGGGTTTTACTTCAGATATGACATTTTGAAGCTTAAAAAAGCAGACATTTTTGAATAAAGTGGCAAAGTAAAGGAACAAGAAACAAAGCTACAAGCAACAAAGCAACAAAGCTACAATATTAGTGAGAAATGACTTAATATCCCTCATATTAATGGTTGTTGGTGATAACAACATTATAGCCAACAGTCAGACTAACGGCATTACTTCCAAGTATTCATTAATTAAAAATTGACCTTGCTGCGACTGTATAGACAATAAAAGTTTGTTTTTGCATTAACAATATCATCTTTGATTTTGCCCAAAATACACTGAGTGTGGAGGTGTGAGCCCACTGAACTGCTGGCCTGGGATCAGATCTTTACAGAGCCTTCCCTGTCCCACTTACAATGCCCGTCTGTCTGTGTTACAGCTGTCTGAATAAATAAAATCACGTAAAGGTTAGTTCACTGCACATTGTCTGTGTAGAAGAACTGAAAGATGCCATTACCAGGTGCAGCACCAAATAATTGATGTGGTTTATATGAGTTAAGCATTATTTACTTTCTTGTTAGTTCATAAAAAAGTTATGAGTCCAGTACATTTTAGGTATTTCTCAAAAACGTTACAATCCTATTTCTTAAAAAAGTATATATGATACATTTTGGGAACAATGCATGCTGATACGAATAAGTAAAATATACTTGGAGGAAAGTCTGGGAGCATTAATAATACTCAGGATAATTAGCTTCCCTCTATTTCAGCTCATTCTCTCTTAGATATTTTGTATGTGAGTTTTATTTTTCAAGCACCACTCATCAAAATGCAATCTGCTTGCAGGCTCTCAAATCTCCAGACAGGGACATCGAGAACTTATAGCTCCGATTGGGACACAGAGTGCCTCTGTCTTGAATCACAAGCCCCCGTGCATACAAATAATTCGTAAAGAGATGCTTTTGACAGAATAATAAGGGAGAAGTGTGTGTGTGTGTTTGTGTGTGCGTGGGTATGTGTGTGAGTGTGTTTTGGGTGAAGACAGAGTCACACAAAAGCCTAATCTTTCTTTTCTTCCTCTCATTCTTTTGACATGGCAGCCGTCTGACAGATCCTCAACACTGGAGCCTATTTATTTAATCCCCTTCTCCTTTCTCCCCTCCTGTCCTTTTGGGAGAAAAGTGAAGGAGAACCACTTAACTGATATTTCTCTTTTATTCACACACACTGATGCAGATAAATAACTGTATTTGTATCCTTCAGTTACATCTATATCAGAGCCTATACAAAACTGCTGGATAGATGACAGCAGTGTACCACACAACATCTTTTTATGCTTATTTAGCTGTGGAAATTTACTGTATAACTGCATGTATTGAAAATTACAGAAAATACATTATTTATTATAAACATATGGGCAATTAAACACTGCATGTGCAGTCATGTTATTACATTTACATATATAGAAATAGATACAATTTATGTGCCTGCAAGGATTTACATACATACAAAATATATACAAACGCTCATTTATTTACCACCATGCTTACCCCTCACAGGCTGTCATAGATTCTGCTTCAGGGTGCAAAAGTCGTCTAACCGAGTGCACAAGAGAGAAAAATGTGGGGAAGAGAACATGAGGGGTGACATGCAGCAAAGGGTCATGACCACTCGTTGAACCTGTAACCGCTACAATGGGGACTTGAGCCTTTGTAGAGGCTGCAAATTTGATGACATATCTCTGCCTTTTGTGGGTTTCATTTTTTTTTTTTGCACTTAGTCGTGAATATAACCTTTTCTCAGGGGATGGAAGTACACCCCTTAGTGATAAAAGATGGTCAGCTATGCCATTCCTGTAGTCTCTTTGTTATGGACAAATGTTTTAACTGGCTTCCACTTTTGTTTTGTCGAAGGGAATTTTAGATTCCAGGATAGCCCTCTTTGTTGCATGTTCTCTTTAGTGGATGGAGGCTTTTCATCCGAAAAAAAAAAGACGCAACGAAAGAAAGAAGAGACGCTATATTAGATTCTGTTTTTCAAATCCATTGTCACACTTGCATGACACTAGACGGCCTTAAATCAGCACAAAATAACATAGCCACTTAACTAGTAAAAACATCATTTTTACAATACTGTGTGTCTGAAGTGAGTACAGGAGAATAAGCAAGGGAATGACAAAGAGAGAGATAAAGAGGCAGAAAGAGCAACCGAGGAGGAACGTGCAGAGGCAGAGCGATAGAGGCGGAAAGAGATGAGAGGAGACAGTGTGTCGGTTGCAGAGACACCGATAGCAACAGAGTAGGAGATAGACAGAGAGTGTGCTGAATGCATACTGACAGTTATGTGAGTGTGAGTGAGTGTAAGATAGCCTCACTATTTCAGCTGTGATTCCTTCAAAGAAGAAGAAACACTGCTTTATACCGAGCTAACCTCTCATTTTGAAATGTTCTCTGTTTCTCTCTCTCTCCGCAGGTTTGACCCTCAGAAAGGCTTCTGGTGCCAGCTTCTTGAGGGAGGGAAGACCAAATGTTTGGGGAAAAGCAAAGGGAGGAAGTACCCTCCTATGGAGCCAGAGGTAAGCTTCCATGTTTCAATTAAAACAGATTTCAGCTCACTCAGAGTGAAAATGATGTATGCAAGTTGGAGAAAAAGACAAATAATGAGGAGAAAGCAGCAGTCTGACTGACAGTGACAGCCCACAGTACCTTCCATTGCTGTGGCAAAATTTCCCACAGGACTCAGCATTGGGTTGGAAACTGTCAGCCAATCAGATTCAGCCAGAAAGTTACAACCTAATTATGAGGACTCAATAGTGACACAACACCCGCGAGAGAGAAAGACGATGGGGGCTGTTAGGATGGAGGGAGAAAATCTAATCCATAAATCTTTGTCCTGGCCACTGATTCCACAGAGGAGAGCACAGACTGGGGAGACAATGAATCACACATGTGCTCTTACATGAAGACAAACACACATGGAGAGACTTTGCCTCCCCATATGGCTAATGGCTGTGCCGGGATGTCACCTGTAATTAAACTGTATTTGAGTTTCTGCCATGGGGACAGAGGGAGAGCGGGAGGACAGTGGAGGAGGAGAGGAACTCCAGGGAAAGGAGATAGGGACGGCGGGGATGAGGGATGCACACAGGAGGGAGAGATAATGGATCTCATGCATCCTTCATGTAATTTTCCTCCATTTCTCTGACCTCTTCTCTCGGAGCTCTGTTCTTACAACCCTGCACTTAGGGCCCATAAAGTCCCATTGTGGAGAATAAAATAATCTATAGATGATGGCACATCATTAATCTCTCCCATTTTTCTTTTTTTTCCCCCCTACTCCCATACTGTCCTGCTTATTTCCTCCTCTAAATATACAACCTTCTTCCTTCCTCCTCTACTGCATCCCTCTATCCTTGATTTTATTTCTCCTGTACCCTCTGTCTGCCACATCTCCTAACTCACCAACTTTCCTTAATTGTCATTTTGAATTGTCTGAACCCGCCTCCCCCCTTTTCTCTCTTCAAGGCACATGCATATCTCTCCAGGTACTACAGGGAACACAACGTGGAGCTGTCAAAACTGCTGCATCGCCTCGGACAGCCCCTTCCCTCCTGGCTTAGAGAGGAGCTTCAGAAGGTCAGCAGCATTAAACTCTGGGATATTTATTTCACACACTTCCAAGTCTGAGAGTTAAACAAATTGATATCAGTGGACAGAAAAAGACTATTTCCCTCTTTATGTGAAATGTTGGTAGAGTGCTTCTTTACAACCAAACCACACAGGACTAGCTCATAAAAATCAAAGACTGATAAAAAGAATTGAAGTTAACCCAGTGAGACTCAACTCTCAAACACTCAGAAATATGTTGACAGGGTCGGCCCATTCCTTCTTTTCCTCTCAGATCAACTCAGAACCAATTAGAACAGGTAAAACAAGAACTGTCTGACCTGGAAAGTTTGCCTCCATGACCCCGGGTTAATTTGAATCCATATAGCAAAGTTACAGAGTTAAAGTAAGCAGTGAGAAAAAGACATCATAATCTTATTTAACTTTTGCAAAAGCCGTGTCTTTTCTCTGCCATAGATCAATCTAAGAGGTACTGAAGAGTGAGTGAGTGGTTTTCACCTGACAGGGTGTGCAGGATCCCGAAATAAAGCTTACATTTTCATTAGCATTAGCATTAGCATTTAGTTGTACACATATTCTTGTAATTTTAGATTTTATACAGCTTGAGTTTTAGCAATTTTTTCTCAGAATGAAAAGTTATTTCAACTGTTAAGATGCTTAAAAGCAAATATTTTTGAAGGGGTGAACAAAGTGAAGTCTTTAATGATTCAAAAAAATGAAATATGTCACATGTTACAGGTTTTGCAAATGTACTCCCTGTAAAGAAAGACAAGATGGTGTGGTAGTAGATTCCTCTCTAACAGTTTTTAATGCGACTTGGATGAGACGAGCCCCACAGCTGTACTGACTCCAGTACTCACAGGTCTGATCGTAGGTTCCATAGAGCTCACAACTCAAAAACTGTACAAAAACAATCAAAAAGCTCCTGTTTCATGGTCAAAATTTTTTTTTGTGCTTCTCGTCTCAACCTGAATAAAACAAAAAATGACCTGCGCACCTGTGCCGACTGACCTTAAAAATTGCGACTCCACCAAACATCCTCTAGGCAGGTGTATTTGAATCTACTAATCATTGCAAACAACCAATTTAATTACTTTTCAATCATATATCTTTGGTCTTTACTACTAATATAAACTGAGACTTTCATTTCTTTGCTTAAAAATACGATTTTGACATAAACTAAAAAACGGTTTCAACATTTAACTTTGTGCAACAACTGAATTTGGTCTAAAGCTAAATCATTAGCTGGTTCTAAACTTAATTATACACCTCTGTTTGTAAAATTGGAGAAAGATAGGATCAGCAGTGCTTCAATATGGACATATCACCTGTCCACAGGCATTACCCTCTGATTCAGATACTGCTCACTTCTTAACAGACATGTATCATCATCATGTCCAAAACAGAGTCTGGTGAACAAAAAGAGTAAGAACAAGTACAATCCAGAACCTAAATCTGTACTGATACTGGCGGAAAAAGTATCAATGTTGACCCTTATAGACCACTGTGGTTTTGAGGTCACAAAGCTTTGGGACAAACTACACAAAATGAGCGACAAAAATGAAGTGTCATAGGAACTTTAAAGGGGTAAATTACTGCTTAAAGTGCTGCTTCTTACAGTCATTTCACTCTGATCTTCATTGAGACCTTTTTATTTCACAGAGCTTCACAGTTTGCCTTTTCGTCTGAGCGTTTGTTTGTGCTACTCACTTTGTATGCACTAGAGGGAGCCACTTTACAAGTCTAATCTGTTTTTTCAGCCCGTACACAGCCATCACAGTCCTTTTTTTTCTTTTTTCTTACCTGACATGTGAATCAATAACTAAACAGAATGAATTAAATTACTTTCTCCTCCCCGCCTCCCCTCCTTGTGTTTCTCCATCCCATCCCTCTCTTGACCCCTTTCTGAAGGTTAGATAACCTTTGCGTCCATGAACAGGGGTTAAAGGTCAAGTGGTTCACGACCAGGAAGAAACCCGGAGCAGCACCTGAGCTTCAGATGCACATGTCTGCGGCCTTTTAGTGAACCCTGAGGTGACGGCAAGGACAGGGTGCTTTGCCTTACGTAGGAGCTGTGACCCCGCTGGAGAAAGCAGAAGTCGGGAGAGCGCAAAGACACTTTGATGGGCTGAAACTGAACTACTGAACCAATAAACAGACAGACAGCTGAAGGAAGTCAAAGGTTCTGGCTACATACACAACTTAGAGGACATCAGGACTTGAAAAGAAGAACCTGATGAAGAGAACTATGGTAGAAAAGACGCATCTTTGCAATTCTTTGATACCCATACCCTCTCCTAGGCTGTGGTTAACCCCTCTCTGCAGACCTGCAGAAACTCTGATGGTTCTTTCTATGTGGATTTTTTTTATTTTCACCTTTGATTTTCAATGCCAGAGCAGCGCTGGTCAGCTGTGCGTGGTTTCCATAGAGATGACTTTGCACTAAGTTCCATTCCATGTATTTCCAAGACAAAAAGGGAAAAAGGCACCCTGTGTGGTTTTGATTTACTTCCTCTTTTGGCCTTTTGTTTGTTTTGATGAGAGTGAATCAGCATGGAGGAAAGGTGCTCAGACTCAGGGTGAGTGACAGGCTGTTATTTTCCGTCATAAGTTCTTTGTTTTTTGAGTTATTCTCTAAATCAAAACTAGTTTCTGGTAGATTTATTCACCCCTAGAGATGTCACTTGAGGCTCTCACTGGAAAGTATAGACTGGAAATGAGTCAGTGAAGCAAGAAGCGTTTGCCCACTCATTATTTTCCTGTGATAAGCCATGCAGAAGAACGTCATGTCCGTTAAGCGAAGCATGGATGCTTGCGATTTCAGCGCTTACGACTGAGACTTGAGTCCGTGGGATGAAAGCTGACCGAACAAGCCTAATGGAGATGACAGTTAATTCTACGACCCTTTAAGTAGTTTTTACAACCACAGGCATCTCTTTTACGTCTCAACCTTTTTAATTCTTTTTAAAACCAGTGGCCTACGTTGTTGAGTTTCAATTTGAGTGCAAAAAAACCCTAAATGTCAAACACGAAACCAAAATAAAGAAATGGAGATGACTGACAACATGAGGTGTTTTTTAGTTGATGTTTTTTTTTTTTTACTGCCATGCGAATAGACATGTGATGCATATTGTGCCGGGAAACACCTGCACACACATACATTTAAGAAGTCATGTATTCTTTGCAACAATAAGCTGTTTGTCCTCCAAGGTGAGTTAAAATGTCACACATGACGGTTAGGTGTGTGAAGAATTTATGTCTGTCAGGTCGTGCATTAGTCACCATCAGTCCACGTCACATCCAATAATGTTCAGCTCAAATAGCAGGGATATTTTGACTATTATGTGTAACAAAGAGAAGCTTAGAGCACGTAACATGTCAGTCTGCAGCGTACAGACAATGCTGTTTGACAACATGACAAGACAATGAAAGTAAGGCGAAAAAGTGCTCATTTTTAAGACTGCTAAAGCTTCAAACCATCTCCTTAAAACACTTTGTACTTGTGTTTTTTTTTTACATTTAAACAGCATGATTTATGGATCGTTTAATTGCCTATGCAAACAGATGGGAGGATTTCTGAAAGTTAAACCCATAACTTTGCTCATTGTCACATATTTTTACATGTCAGTTAACACAAGAGGTTGTTTGTAAGTTTTAAACACTTTAGTGAGGGTTGCCTGGTAATGTTGTGGTCAAAACTCTTATTTACAATAAAAATACAATAATGAACGTCTGCAATAAACCTTGAATGAGATCGAGGGCTTTGACATAACTGAAGAAACAGTATATCAAGCTTACGATCACAAAAGGCAGCCTTTATCAGATGTAAACCTCGGTTGAAGGACTATACTAAATACTGTTAAATCAGCGATGACAAAAACCAGTACATGGAATGCGGGTGGATTCACAGCACAAGAATCGTAATCACAAAACTATCTATGCAAATAAGGAGAAATCCATTATTTTAAGAAACCCCTTTGAAAAGTTTTATCCTTAAAAAAAGCTTTTTGGTGGACTAGTTCGAGATGGGATATTCTATGGCTTCATCTTTCCTTAGCTCTTTTCCTCTACCAGCCCATTGTCTTATTTAAGAGCCTGAAACCTCCGTAATTTCAGGTATTTCAGTTATGGTATTTGACACTGGGCTTTAGTCATTACTACAGAGTCCACAGGGGTGGGTGTTGGCAGGAAAGCCGTATTTTAGCTGACAAACTTAATCGTCTGAAAGGCCTTTAGAATGAGGATATGATGGCAAGAATGGTTTTTGGTCTGACCACTTAGACCGAAACAGCAGGTTTAGGAAAGACGGTATAGTAAATTAGCTGACATGTTTATTACATGTTGGTATGACCTGTTTTTATTTGCATACACAAAGAAAAGTCATTGCACCACCTTTTTCCTATGAGAAAAGGGCTGTGCTCCAGATAAAGAGGGTTCTCTCGAGGGTTGCTGATCCAGATGTAATCAGTCTGAAAGAAATACAAATCCCAAATCTATAAACCTTCAAAAGCAGCTGGTTTGGGAGGGAGCTTTTAGCAGCCAATTTGATATGCATGAGATCGCTCCCATACAGGTTTAATCAACATCCTCAGATCATTCCCAGTTGGATTTCCCAAGTGTTTCCAGAGTTAAAGAGATGGAAACAGAAAATCAGTAGAAATAAATTATCTGTGTATAATGAGACCTTCTGTTCTACACCACCTCTGGTGATTTTAAATATAAATTCACAAGTACATAGAAGAAAAACAAACAGATAAGAAAGGAAACAACTAAAGAAATACGAACTAAACGTTGAGAAAGAACTGTCGATATACTAAATTGTAAAACTGAGTAATTGTTGAATGATTAAATACTTTGTTTTTGATGCCCCAGCACTCAGTAAGCTTCACAGACCTGTAATGTGTGATAACTGACGAAGTAGGGTGCTCTTAGACGAGTACACTTCAGTTTTAAGGTGTTACAGCTTATTTACTAGACATTAAAAGCATAAAAAAAAAATTTAAAAAAAGGTTTTCAGTACCATCGATGTTCACCTTGTAAAACAATCAGGAGGCTCATCGTGGTTAATGCATTTTCTGTCTTTGTTTTCATGCGAGGGAAAAAACCTTCCCATGAAGACTTTGTGTCACCTTTTGACACATCCGTCAAAATTTTAATTGTTTTGTTCCTTTAACAGGGTTAAAAAAAGATCAGAGATACTTTGATACGCATCATGACAACTAATTGTAATGTCTCGTAAATATTCTATAATTTCCCTATAATTAAACCCAAGTTAAACTCATTTTAGAAGTTAGAGCACAGTGTCTCAGATTTTAATTTGTATGCATTTGATTTTCAAACCTTTCACAAAAAAATATTTACAATCACTATGTATGACTGGAGTGTCAAGGCTGAACCACAAGGTGGTGCTATTCTGTTTGACACAGATGGTGGTTTGACATCAAAAACACTGTACTGACTGAAGACTGTGTTCTTGAGATATTTGAATTTAACAAAGCAAGAAAAATAATTAGAAATTCAACACTAGGAGCAAAGGCTTCACTTGCTACTTTTAAAAATTGTGATATTGGCACTGACCATTTTTTAAAGCACATCAGAGAAAATAAGACAAACTTCTTTCTGCTTTGATTCTGTGCAGCCCGCCATTAAAAGTGTTTGTCTCAGTTCTCAATGAGGGTCTGGTCAACAGGTTGTATATGCAGAGTAGATGAGGACAACCGAGAAAATGTCTCCCAAACCTACAGACAGAGTGTGGGGGTTTTGTGAGTGGGTTTGTTTGAATACACACTGTTTGACACGGTCGTGCTCACTTGACAGTTTGCAGTCAGACACCAACCTGAGAGACCTCCGTCAGCTCCAGCTGCTGTCACGTTCCTGTCACATTTACAATTACCACGCTGTTTTTACGTGATCAGATTATAACCAACATAATGCACATTTTAGATATCAACTCAAAATGACTCCATATTTTATTTTATTTTTTTACAAAATGAAAGTTTATGAAGAAATGTTACAGTACAATAAAACCTGGCAGTCGTCCAACATCAGATAAGAAGACAGTGTAGTGGTTGTGTTTTTTCAAGTGTACCAGATTGTCTCCATCAACACTACTTAACCGTCCCACCTGAACAAAAGCACATGACGTTAAAGGGCTGAAACAAGGAATCAACACATAAAAATGCTGTCTTGTGCTTTGACTCAGAGACAATTTTAGTCCCGTCATTTCTTCTGCAAATGTCAACAATGAAACAAGTTAAAATGCCTGAGTGATTACTAAGACGTGAAATCTGTTTTTAACACAGAAAAAAAAAGGTCAAAATGGAGAAACATTACATAAACATGAAGACATGAGGTGAAGGACATATTTCACTTTGGCCAATGTTACTCTGACCGTAATACTTGTCACAAAATCACTGAGTATTATGCATTAAGTACATAAACAGGGGTTTCTTAGTGCAAGTCTGCAAATTATATCATGCCAATACTGTGGATGCAGGAGTGCATGCTTTATACTGTATACTGGTTTTAACACTGTGGTCCCCTTTTTTAACAAGCTAATACCACGTTTCATAAATTACAACATAACTTTTAAAAAAGCAAGCGAGTAAAAAATAAAAGACATTTCTGTTTCATGTACATTTCCATGAAAGAAGATACTCAAGTTGGTACCATTTGTTCAGTTGTGAATGAACACCATCAAAGTCAAGATAAAATTATTAAATTAAGTGCTTTTGAAATAAATGAAAGTAAAGAAAAGCCTCCCTTTCTCCACGAAATATAAAAAAGCTGAGAAAAAAGTCCAGAGTTGACTTGTGCTCTCCAGATTCGGTCAGAATATATATATGACTGGTTTATCTGTTCATACACATAAGTTGCTGACAGTTGAAGTATATCACTAAATCATCTGTCCATCCGATAGAGAAAATTGAGTGACTCTTGAATGTCTTTTTTTCTGATGAAAAAGCTTATTGTCACTGTTGTAGTTTACCTTTCACTGTCTCTCCTCTTCCTGCTTTCTCGTCCGATCACCTTGTGTATCCACGGACTGAAGGCAGAGACTTTTGTATAGACCCCTGGGGACTGCTGTGTCCGGCAGGCGTGGCCCCAGGACGTGACCCCATAAACCACCCAACCCCCTCCGGGACGCTCGCAAACTAAGGGGCCACCGCTGTCGCCGCGACAACTGTCCACACGCTTCTCCGGCTGGATGCTGCCGGCACAGAGCATGCGGCTTGTGAAGGCACCATGAAAATGTTCCTGGCAATGACGACGAGGCAGCAAAGAGAGGGGGGCCTGCTGCAGGGTCTTGGAGTATGAGCGCCCTGAGAAAGAGGGGGCAGAGTTGAGTTAGAATGGGTGGTATTTGTGAGCATCTATGTTTAAATGTGTTAAATGTCAAAGACTGATTGGTTTACAGCCTCTGTGACGGCAAGCTGGAATAAGGGCTGTGACGCTGATCAATTTTCAAATGATCTTGATATATCTAGGAATGAAATTGGTTAATTCCTCGTTTCACCAGTTCAACCACACATCTTTCAAGTATACAAAAGCTCTCAATACATGACTACTTAAACTTTTCTGGGAGACTAACACAAAATGCAAGATAAAAGCTTTTGTCCCTTCCCAGGGCCACACATCGTTAGCTGTGCACGGCAGCTTAAGTCTGTTTGTATGTGCATATCTCTTTGTGTCATCAAAGTGGCAGACAGCCAAGCTCAAACAGCTGAACAAACCAGACTTCTCACCCTAAATTAAACAGTCTTTGCCTCCATCGCAGTCACTCTAAATAGCTGGTGTTGTCAAAACACTAAGAGAAACAAATAAAAGCCCTCTCTCACATACGCACGCACTTAACGATATTAAGGAAAACGGATTCACGAGGGAGTACGTGTTTTTGCATAAGCGCGTTCTGTCACCTTCTCCAGCCCCTCTGCGACCGTGTTGCTGTGATTTATGACATCTGTGTGTGATTTAAAGATCACTAACAGATGTGTGTCTGCTAACACAAGCAAGTGTATGGACACATACGTCAGACAAGTGCAGGAACTGGTGAAAGACTTCGCTGTTTTAATTGAAACAAAAAAATGTGCATATAGCCCACTGAGGAAACTATACCGGTCCTAGAAAGCGTTATTTTACTTTATAACCAATTGTACAGTCAACACCAGAGGGCTTTTTCCAGTGAGAAAACGCTTATAATAACATGGATTCATAAAATATCTACATTCAGTAGTTGAAAGTTGAAGTTAAAATGATATTTGTTAACTATTAAGTTTGCTAATAAAAGCCCTGTGGGACGGTTTCAAGCTGTTTTTGTAGAAGCGGTGACAAGAAGGGAGAGCGTTTGTATATTTTCATACTTTGAAAACATTTCAGAGAAGTTTGTCTTTACAGGACCATCTCATCCTGGGTATGACATCAGTGAAAAATATCTATCTTGTAAATATGGTGAGGTCTAGGCTTTTTAAAACTGTGGTGTATTATCCAGCTCTGTATGAGGGGCACCTAATTAAACTAAAAGGTCTGGTGGCTTACAAGCTATTTTTTAAAATCATTAAACATGATAAAGACCACCCCCACATTCTCACCTGTGTCACCCCAGCCGGTGATGTGACAGTTGCTGGCTTGCTTGAGCACTCGTTCTTTCCTCGTGGGCAGACAAGCAGGAAGAACGTGTCTGCTGAAAGAAACGCACTCTCCCGCCATGTGGCCCACCGCCCCGGGCGACAGACGGACCAAGGCTAGATCGTAGTCGTTGCTTTGAGACTGGTAGCTTGGGTGGAGGACAATCTGGTCGACGGCGTACTCTTCCTCATACTCCTCAGGGACGAGGGCGTGGTAGTCGCCCACTCTAACTTTATACTGCTTGGTGCTGTTTCCATACCTGCAGAGACAAATAGAGACGAGGGTTAGAAGTGGCAATGAGAGGATGTGAGCCGTACTACTGCTTTAACAATTAACAGTTATTAGCTCTGGTGAGGGTTCGATCAGAAATAGTAGATAAGAGATACTGAGAATAAATCTGCCTGTTTGAGTTCTGGATAGAGTTTGTGGTTTTATTTGTCAAGCAGCTTTGGTTATCAGTCAGTATTATCTTTTAAAATCACCATGAAATCACTGTAAAAATATATTGTTTCTTTCGATAACTTTTCCTACCTTTGTCATGCTTTATGAATTGATTTTTACTTAAAGGTTGTTTTATGTTTTGGAGTGCTATTTGTCTTCAAGAAACTCTAAAAATCCCTGAAAACACTTGAGTGAGAGACAACGACAGGACTAAGGTAGAAAGAAGGAAAGAAGAAAAAAAGACGAGGAGAGAAAAGGAGTGATAGAGAGGGGCCTTATGATCAAGCCAAGTCTGTGTTCAGATACAACTCGTGGAGGGTTTTCCGGAAAGATCTCCTGACCTGAATGCTAAGTCTTCCTGGCAGAGCAGAGACACTGCCCTCCAGTCATCTAAGTACAGTACATACCTATCATCACATGCACAAGACTCAGTTACCAAAGTTACCTTTCATGCAGTTGTTGTTACTTGAAGTAGTCAAAAATCTACCGCTGGAGTCTATAACTACAGCAAAGCCCCAGTCGTCCAGCTATGAGATATAAATAGGTTTAACACGTATGACCGCTGACCTCGGGTCAGTTTTTATGAGCAGACTAATCGGAAATCGTCTTGTAAGCAAGAACGTCATATGATCATGTCACTTAAATGTGCTTCCTATACCCTCACATGTAATGCTCAAACCATCTGTGTGCAAATGAGAACAAGCAGGAGTGAGTTTGCTGACGTGATCATGTGCTTTCTGTGACTAGGCTTGAGTTTACTTGTTTGTTTGTTACTGTGAGTGTGAGTACATATCACACTATTTTGGTTACCGTAAATGAAAGGTGACACTGTCGAGTCGGAAGTCCCTATCTTGGACTGCATGCTCTGGCAGCATGCAGCAAATTACTTTTCAAAGCTGTCATAGCTGAGGCTAACGGCCAAGAGTGGAGTGAACTGATATCTGACAAGGCCGGCAATGAAAGCACTTCTGAATGACCTTCCCTACCTGCTTACAACATCTTGGAAAACATTTTTAACTGAAAGCCATGAAGATGTTTTACAATCTCTGCGTTTGTTTGTTCAGATGTAGTATTTTTGGGAAATAATAAAAACAAATCACAGTGAATAAACGGGAGGTTTTGTGCTGTTTGTGCATACAAACTGTGTGCCAATCCGCAGCTGCTGATTTTCTGAATTGTAATCATGCTATCAACCTTACTGTGACAAATTGATTTACAAAGCATTGTGAAATCCTGCCACCCTTACAATATAAAATGCAAAGCCTAAGGCACTAAGGTGTGTGAACACCTATTATTTTATTGCTTTCTTCCGATAAGCCTCTTGTTTATCCACCTTGTCTCAGCGCCGCTTGATGACAAACGTATGTTCGATGCCAACTATTTCAGAAGCTGTAATGCCTGCTCTGGGATTTGAAGTGACTCATAGTGGTTAGTATGTTGCTTGGGTTAATGTTTTATTTCCATGTGCAATCACACCGGAGGCGGACTAAATGGACTGTTTGGAAGGATCAGTTTGAGAAGTCCTGATTGCTACATCCTGAGGGGTCGTCTTAATTTACAGCACAGCAGTTGTGAGTTTCCGTAACTCATTGAAAAGAGTGGGGGTTCCTTTATTGGAAGATTGGCTTGAGAAATGGCACCAGTGAGGATTTAGTGAATGACCTCTTCCTCTCTTCAACATGGAAACATCAGGATTTATACGACGGGGGCTGCTGGAGTCTGAAAAGAGTTAGAACCAGTGAAACAATCAAAGGATACTTAAAAGTGGGATAAAAACCTCACATGTGCTTCACAGATATAAAACACAGACTCTAGGGTTGGTGCCTCTTAAACCCTCAACTGTTTTCACTCTTCACAAATTGGCTCTCTGCTCAATTCATTTCCTCGTTTTGCATTAATCTTAGTCTGCTGTTTTATCTGCTTTATGCATTAGGTGAATGACTCCAAGATGGTGGTGCCATGTGGGGGCCCCCAGACTGGCTGAAACTGAGATGGAGTAGCTGTCTGTCCCCCTGCCATCTGCACTTCAGCCAAACCACAACTCCTCTCATGGTTTGTACTCACATGCTCGTCACACTTGAATACTACAAGGAAGTACTTGAGCTTTGGTGCAGCTCAGTTACTCACAGACAGTTGTGCGCATAATTTTGTGATATTTTTTTCAAGAATAACAATAACTTGAAAGTTTAGATTGCTTCTTAACCACAGCATAACTCTGGCACATAGAAACTCTGTGTTTGTGAGTGTGTGTAAGTGTGTATGTTCGACCTCTTGAAGCAGTGTGCAGAGGTGAGGACCCAGCAGGTGTCAATTACAGTTGCTCCACACACCAACCTCCCATCCCCTCGGGACCCTCGCAAACGTATCGCTGCTTGCCACGGCCAGCCGCCCCTAAAAAAACAAAAAACAGATATGAACACAAGAGCACAAATAAATTTGAGTGAAACAGACAGAATAAAAAGAGAATACAGAACGTATAATCCACTCTTCATCAAGTTAGCAGAAGAAATAATACGTCCTATTTGGCCATCAATACAAATTCATGACTTTGAATTATTTCACTGTACAGCAGCGTCACTGTAAGTGGTTATCGAACCTTGATTTTAGAGAAAACAAAGTCTCAAACAGGTTGCAAAAAGGACAGCATTTCTTTTCAAACTTCATCTTCGTTGGATGTGCTGCCAGAAATTGGGCACACACATAAAGTGTAGATATTCAGGATGTCATCCGAACAAACACACACAAATTAACGCTCATTTTGACAAAGTGGAACTTATTCTTCAACCTAATATAATGCTGCATACCAGAAAGCACTGACAATTTTTCCATTCGTCCAAATGTCATCTTCTGTCTCTCTTGTTTTCTCTCTTTTCTCTCACACAAAAACATTGTACCAGGAACAAAAAGTCCCGACTACAGGATTTTCTTGTTTGATTCCAGAGTCAATTACTGTACACCCGTCTCTTTTCTTTGTAAAACTTCCTTGATGATGTACACAGATAACAACCTGCCATTCCTTTGCATTTGCATGCCTCCACATAACAAGAGTGGTGTATGCTAATGTCTGGAAGTGCATACACCACTCTCTGCCTGCAGCTTCAGACCAGCTGTTTTCAATCTAAAACTGGTTGGCTTGAATATACTTCAAACTCTCTTCCTTCTATAGGTTTCTGGCAGGCATCCTCTGTACCATTATTAATCCCTTCTGTCCTCCATCTTACCTCAGAGAATTCTCTCCTCCTATGATTCGGCGCTGGCGAGTGTGTTTGAGCCGCAGACCGCAAATTGAGTTGGCAGGATCTGACAGAGACAAAAGAGGACCCATTGGGTGTGGATATGTGAGAGTGAGTAGGAGCGTGATGATTGCTAAACCACACATTTAGACTCAGACGTAGCTCTTATTAAATATTTAGGATTGACTGAACAGAGAAGGATTCATCCATCAAATAAACTAAACAAAATAAATGAGAGATGGTGTGAGAGAGAGAGACGTTAAAAACTGCAAACTGGGGTTAAGTACTTTTTCAGAAGATGTCATTTATCATACTTTTGGAGACTAAACACCCTCCTGCACAAGTTTGACTTCAGCAGTGTGTGCATGCAAGAAATAAGAGTACGAGCATATGTGCAGGTAACAGATAGCCTGGTGTGAGTCTGACATGCTGTGTGATGGACAGGGTAAAGCAATAACATCACCCCCTCATTTTACCATCTGGTTATATATATATGCACACATACGCATGAATCAGTCTTCTCTTTGGTCCGCTCTCTAAATCCTACCCCCTGAAATTTCACTCCTTTTTGTTTTTCATTCATTTTTTCTGTCTATATATCACATTGAAATGTTTGCTAAACACGCCCCAGAGTCATGCAGACTCAAAATAAATCACAGGGTCTTTGCTGCTTCTTTCTCTTAGTAAAGTAACAGACCTGTGTGACCTTTGACTTCTTTATAGCTGGGTTGCAATTCGCCGTAGTCACAGATGACCCCCGCGTCTTCACTATGGCGACAGTTGTGCGTGCCAGGCGCCTGTTTGATACAGTCTGCTATCGACCGCTCCTCACCACTGCACTTCACATTGTCCACGTGGATGGGCCCTGTCCCCTCCCCAAAATACGCCATCACCCGGGCCTTCGCCACACCGCTAATGAAAGAGAGGAGACAAAATCAGCAAAGATTTCATAGTTTCTGAATTAACTGAAAAGTGTGAGGTGTTTGGAAAATAAAAGGGATTGAGTAACAGTTTGAGTTATATGAAAAAAGACAAGAAAACCCACTCAAAGGGAATTAACATAGATATAATACTAATGGAGAAAAGCATTAGTTAAGTAAAGCAAAGGGAAAATACCAAAGAGAAGGCTTTTTAAAAAAAAAAAAAAACAGACTTTTTTCATCTTTTCTCTTCAATTAAAGAGCCACCAAGTGATAGTCTCTCTGCATTTTGTTTTTTTGAATTTAATATGGAGTTGTTTGTTCCATTTTTGTGTGGCTGAAATTCTTAAAAATACTTCTTACAACACCTTTATTTTAGACATCGACAAAAGAGTTCAAATTGAGCGTCTCTCGGTCTCTCTGCCTGTGTGTCCAAAAGCATATCGTGGCGGTAAAAGGTGTCAGTATAGATGTTATGGTACGACATTCCCTGACTGTGACGCAAATCAGGACAAACCTCATTTGCATACTTGCAGCGAGTGTATTTTTACCGTTACTCCACCACTGGCTTTATTCACAAACAGCTAGTCCTCTAGGCTTTGAGTGGTTTGAGTTATTAATTAAGATTGATAGATAACCGACCTGAAGGGTCTCATGTTGCATCCCTGGGGTTTGGAGGGTGGCAGGTCTTGCTTCCTCACTGATCCAAAGGGAATCTCATGTCTCTTATTGAGACATCCAGCTGTGTGTCTTTCTCTCCTATATCTCCCTGAGTAATGCAACAAGTATCACTCCTCTTCACTTGGATATGAGCCTTGCAACTGTCAGAAAGCTACTCACCATGTTTTTGTGGCTTCACATGAGTAACACGGCCCTTGGTCTAAAATGCAAATAAATCTCTGGATACTGGATGTTCAGGAGGATAAAAAAGGAAACCCTGCCTTTGCTCAGTGATATTTTATGAACTGTCCACTTTAAACACTTGTCAAACTTGTTCAATTTTAATGGATCTGCTCAATAATTTGAAACATTTCCTGAAAGAATTGAAGAAAAAATGCAGCCATATGTCTCAAATAAATCACAAGTTGTGGGAAACCATCTTATTCTGGATGATTCACAGACAAGATCACAGAATAAGTGAAGCCTCTCAGTGTTTCATTCTTGTCACATGAACAAAAATCAACACAGATGGACTCGGGCCTACGGTTCCAGTCAGGCTGTAGTTTCTAATTTCCATTGACAGTGGGTCAAACTGTTGACTTTGAATATAATTTGTGTGAAAGTGTGTGCATATCTGTGTATATTTTGTTTTATCACCCCCGTGACGACCTCTAACCCTTGGGGGTCTGCTGTGTGTGTAATGACCTTTCACCACACCCTGTGCGAGACAGAATGATGATCCTAACACGATTTTAACACGCCTCCAACACGCTTCCTCTCCCTCTCTCACGCTTATGCGCTCCAGATGTGGCTTTCATGTGCATGCAGATGTGTCGAGGAAATTTGGGACAAATATCCCTCACTGAGGAGTGATGGGAGGGAAAATGAGGAAAGTTTGTTTCGGTATAGTTTCCCCTCGCCAGTGTCTCAGAGGGGGGAGATAATAAGACTCACGAAGGACATGATGAGGTAGTTTGCTCTGCGTGGATATATCTGTCACTGTGGATGTGTCATTTGCAGAACTGGCCTGCCCTTTAATTGGTTGTTTGTCTTGGCTGTCCTAAAGGGTACAGCCTAAACCTCTATTAAAAAGACTGGCAGCACACCAGAGGCTCATGGGAAGCCCTCTCTCACACTAAAGTGTCCTATTATAAAGATTAAGCAATGAAACTGTTATTTTAAAACAGTGAGGGCATTCTGTAAAGTTTCCATCGTAGGTTAACTTGAAATTCAAGTTGCGCGTGATGAGGTGCCAAATGAAAACCGAGACAGTTTACGGGATGGAGAGATGACAGACAGACTCAGAAAGCAGCAGTGGGGGTACTGCAGAATATGTGCCAAGTCTAACAGGTGCTGATTGAATTTGCGAACAGAGAAGGTAGACTGGAATTAGAGAATATTCCCTTAACATTTATCCTGTCATTGGAGTTAAAAATATGCTTAAAATAACAGGGATAAAAGAGAAGATATGAGAATAAGTGATCGATTAAAAAAAATAGTTGCAGCTGTATTGAAAGTTTAGAAATCTGATTCTGAACTGCTTACACGTCACGGAAAGCATTCATTATCATCACTCTGTGCAAGTCTCTGTGATTTTTGCGGTTATTTTACACCATTACACAAACCTGTATCCCAACTGTCGACAAACCACCTCAGCGTCACGATCAGTCCATCCGTCGTCACACACTGTCCCCCACTGACCTGACAGATAGAGCTCCACCCGGCCTTCCCTTCGGCTCTCTCCTCCCACAAGCCTCACTAGCACACCTGGAGATAACAAACACACACCATTTACACTGACTCAGTCTCACCTTGCTGTCACATAGTTATTTCTGTTCTCTGAAGTTACACAAAACCCCCCAATCTAGAAAAACCCAGTACTTAAAGACACTATACACATTCCCTAAAAAAACCTGATCTACCAGGCTGACATGTCAGGTGAAAGAGGCATGGATGAGGCGTGAATGAGGCATGTGCACCAATGTTCCGTACAGGGAGGGAGAAACTAGAACACCTGACCAATCTACGGCATGCAACCACTCGTGCATCCTCGGGGGAAATTGTTGAGGCTTCTGCTACTATGAAGAGATTGTTGTCATACATCTTGTTTTACTCACATGCTTCATCTCTAGTTCTTTTTATCTTTAATGATACTCTCCAACTCTGAAAATTCAATGAGTTACCTAAATCAAACAGTCAGAAGGATTTAAATGTCTATTCCATGTGAAACTGGACTACATGTGCAGTATACCAAGTAAAAAGTATATTCTAAGCTGATATACTGGTATAGTGAGGAGGAATTGTGTTTTGTTGCTCAAAATGCAACAACTAACTAACCTGAAACCACAAGTTATGGCCAGAAAAATCAGTTTTTTGGGGGCTGAAATGTTTATTTTATTTACTACTGACAACCCAAAAAATCAAAATGTCCTTAAAATTCAACAAATATATATTTGTCTTGTTTGATACATTAGATGTTTTTGGAAACTGATAAACCAAAATGACATTTTTATCATTTATCAAACTGTATTCAGATGTTTTTTTAGTAATTTGTTGATCATATTGATTTGATAGAAGTATCATTAAAGTATGTATCAAATATGATACAAAAGGCATTAAAAGGCTAGATAAATAACTGTTAGAATGACGTGAATGGCCGGCATTTAAACATTGAACGTGTGTGAGACTGAAGAATCATAGGGGGGTGAATACTGTGGCGGTTGGGGGGGTTTGTAATTGTGGGAATGTTTACTTATTTGCTGGTGTTTGCTATTGAGGAAATGCTCATCTATGTCTCACTTAGAAACACAAACACTGTATAATACCTCTCAGCGTGCACACACACACACACACACGCACACATTCACACACACTTTATTGCAGCTCTAATGTGACGGTCACTCACTACAGAGAGTGAGAGAGAGTAAAAGAGAGAGAGAGTTCAAAGCCCTGTCTGGCTTATCTGCTTTTTCTACTTTTCCAAAAACAACATAAACCAATCAGCCTGTGGTATGCTGAGGCAAAGGAGAGATTTACTCACACTCATAAAACACATAAACAAACACAAATGCGTTTGCTGCAGTTATAATATTAAACATGCGAAAGTGACGTTCAGTGTCTTGCCAAAAAATGTCAGCTACCTAAACCAAATCAAGCAATCACCTAAGAACTAGACATATCCTTTCCTTGACATTCAACAGAGGTAACAGACTCATTTCTGCGTTTAAGTAACTTGAGCCACGACTGCTCCCATCCAGATCTATCCTTACATGTCATCACTGAGGGCTGGAAGCTATAAGGCTGATTAATGGGGCTTTCACTCAACCTTTTCCTTCGTGAACTGAACTTTTTTCTTCTTCTTATACATGTACTGATTCTACGTTAACACATTATGATAGCATCGTAACGCGTCAGCCGTGCCAAAGATCGGCTTTTGGAAGAACGTCTATCTAATCATGAAGACTTTACAAGCGACCCAGTTTATAAAGCTTTCTAACAGCTGTGCCTATAAGTGTTAGCATGACTGACATCATCCTCTATCTGTCATCCAGAGAGTGCCGCCTCTCCTCTTCTATGTAAGATGAGCTGCAACTAACTGCAGGTTGAGTTTGGCAAAGATCTAGAGGATAGATTTAAAACTTTTTCCTGGTTTCATGGAGGCCTTCATCATATGGTTTTGTTTCCTTCACTACCTTAAAAACTATATGCTCTTTCAAAGTTGAACTTCCACATGAACTAAAAAGGCTAATACTGATATCAAATCACAGAAATGTAAAGTTAAATAAATAACAACTATCCAGGCCTTTCTCACCTGGCTGATCATTTTTAAGTTGAGGGACCCGGAAATCAAACAGTAACAGTTTTTTGTCTCTAAAGAAGTTCCCATATAACCACAGAACTGGAAACTCATTTGAACTAGATAAGAGATCATACTGAACATTCAGATCAAATCAGAAATTTACAGGTAAATAGGTTGTGTGATACACTCACACTGAAGATCAAAAGACAGCAGGCTTTGGCTCCTCAGTTAATTAAATCATGTGCAGATGAAACGGTCTTAAAAAAAGAGCATTTCAACAATTGATTGATAAGTCATTTTTGGATCACAGCTGGAAAAGGGGCTAAATACAGTCTGTTTTCTTCAGATCAAGCTCTGGAGGACCAAAATGAAATGAGAATTGTCTGTGAATATGGTTCTATGACAGTGACTTCATTTATATTGTAAGTAATACCGCCCTAAAAATCTACAATTTTGACTTTTGATCTGGTGTGACAGCCAAAACTGAGTCTGCAAGTGGACTGCTCTTGAATGTTACCCTAAAACTCTTTTTTGAAACTCTCATTTTTCCAATATACAACCTTTCCTTGTTTGTCTTGGAGTGAGATAAAATTCTGTCTTACTAGTTGGGAGACTTTCTCTGATGCGTTCAGGGCTGCATGCGATGTTAACATCCTCATGGTGTGTGCAGTCATGACGGAGCCACTCCCTCTTATTGCACAGTAACAGGCTAGGCTCCTTCCCTGTGCAGCTCACATCATCCAAAAGAATAGGACCTGACCCCATCCCAAAGCGTGGGACTGGAGTGATGTCGAGTCCCTCAGAGAGGAGAGTTTCACCTAATCTGGAAGGCAGACACATTCACGTCATCTGAGTAATATATTTGTTCTGAGGGACATACATGTCCCTGCTATTGGCACAAATTTACATTACCTGTAACCAAGTTGTCGACACACCACTAGTGTGTTTGAGTCTGTCCAGCCGTCGTCACACACTGTCCCCCACTGACCTCGGTAGAAGACTTCTAAACGTCCCTCATTGCTGCCTACACCTCCTGCCAGCCTGACAGTACCATCTAGGGGGAGAGAGACAGGCACACAGACACAGATAAACAGGGATTAAAAGTCAAGGCCTTTCTTTGTGTTAAAAGACAGATGACCAAGTTTGAGATTATTGTTCGTCAAAAAAAATAAAAATGCACAAATCTGAGGAGGGGGCGTAAAGAGAAAAAGGTTTGGAAACGACCAAATAAACTCTCTTTGAATTGTGTTCTGGTTTGTTGGTTACAGGTCTAGAGGACACAGCTGACTTTTTAGATGACAACAAAGTTGTCAAAAGTGCGTCTTATTCCCCTAATTTTTCAGTAAAACATTTTGGATTTTCTGTAGTAAGGGATCACAATACCTGGGGTACATGTAAACAAAACTGTACCCACGAGGTAAATGTGAGAAAAAGTTGTTGTTTTCAGAGCTCGATATGTAAAAAGGAGTACAGTATGAGTGTAGCTCATTTGTGTGTCTTGTGAAACTGTTGTAATGGTGGGTCAGGTGTTGTGATACCTATAAGAGGGCTGCAGGACACTCCTGCATCCTCAGAGTGCAGACAGTTGTGCTCCCCCCAGCCACTTTTGGGACACTGCTCCAGAGTCAGTTCATTGCCTGTGCAGCGCACCTCATCCAGCCACACACGGCCTGAGCCTTTGCCAAAATGTGCTTGGCCCCATGCCCTGGCCACACCGCTACAAAGAAAAGAGAAGAAACAAGTAAGAATTGAAGGTTTGGTTTGCAGTAATAACAACACAACTGACAACAGATGTACTGCCTTACCCCAGCTCACAAAATGTGAATTATAGGATATTGTATTTGCTCCCTGAAAGGAGTCAGAACTTTAGAAAAATTACTTTCTCTGCTCATCTGTGCATACTTCAACACTGCAACACCAACACCCTACTGGCATACACAAAAAAACACACACAGGAACATTAGGGGAGTGTTGAGTTGCTAAATATGCATATCTCTGTGGTACTAGAATTCACACAGAAACAATGAGCCTGATTCACTATCTGACCCCCAGATGTTCTTTACTGCTCGCTCCTCTCTCTGTGTGTCCAAATGGAAAGAATACTTGTCATACTTTTGGAGACAGAGAGAGAGATAGACGGCTAGACACCCACATCAACACATCACAGCTTCCTACTCTATGTTTCTGCCACCCTTCTTTCCTTTTCTCCTTATTGATTGAAATTCATGTTGTAAAAAAATGAGAGAGAAAACATTTCTAATACCTGTGTATCTGTGTGTAGGGGTGGGGGTTGGAGCGCCCACTCACCTCAGTCCAAGCTGTCGGCACACCACCTCCGCATCACTGTCGTCCCATTGGTCATCACATATGGTACCCCATTGACCTGCATGGAAGACCTCCACAGTTCCCTCTGATCTTGATCCACCTCCCACAAGCCGAATGGGAAGTGCTACTACAGCTAAAAGGCACAGGGAAGTAAATACACGTTTCAGAGATCTATAAAAGGTGACACAATTTAAGGAACCTTTTTTATTGTATCCCAAACAATCATTCAAACTAGGTAGTTACCATGCTCTGTGAAGGTAATGCAAACCTGGCTCCGCCACTCGTAATGCTTACCTTGCTGCTGGTTGCAGGTGATGGCTGCTGCCAGAGTGCACTCCTCTCCATTCCAGGTGGTCTTAGGACACTGGAGCAAGTCTGGCTCATCTCCCTGGCAATGGACTGCCTTCCAGTGAAGTTTGGCCAAGCCTGGGCGAAACAGAGGAACTGCACGTGCATGACCTGAGATCCTGAATGACGGCCCAAAAACAAAGAAAAAAAAACTCTTTTGTTTATTTAGATTCTAGCAAACAAGTAACATGAAAATGTTACTTGGTGGCAGGATAGATCTCATCCTGAGAGTTGAGCCTGGCCAACACAGCAGAGCAGCTAGCGAAGTGTCCAGTTTAGCCTGATATCAGTAACTTTAAGCTATGTGTATGTTCATGATCTGCCTCTCCAGGGCTGACACGGTCAGCAGTTTTACACCCAGCAGCTTTCAGTAACTAGCCACGTGAAAGTCATCACCAACCATTCGAGATGACATATGGCCGACATTTGTCCTCTTTCCTTTCCTTTCTGCTACAGACATGCATTGACTCCTATGTGAATATGCACACACAAGCATGTGTTCATGTCAGTGTGCATGCCAGCACTGGTGGCGGCATCAACATGTGTAGTGAGTGCACACAACGCCTCTGTTCTCTGGGGCAGTCTCACTGCCATCACTCAGTTGATTAGTACTGACAAAATGTATAATCTGTCCGTGGGCTCTCATTTTAAAACAGCAAATTAGTGGCTCTCGTTGTAACTTTGTACCAAAAGAAATTCTCCCACATGTTTAAAAGGGACAAAGACAAAAGGAGAGCTGTAACAAGGTAAATAGCTGAGCACTAAAGGTATTTGAATACCTCTGGGGAATGGGGGGTTGGAATGCAAAGGTCACATAAGAAAAGTACAAAGACTGTGGCACGTCTGAAGTTGAGAAATTCTCTTACATTCCCACCAAATTTCCATCCTACACCAACCATCTGTCAGGCCTGTGACGGCAGCTTCACATTGTGAGGTTGTGAGGGAGATGGTTATGTGGCTTGCACCTGTGTCTGAATATGTATGTGAAAGGGAGGGGCAGACATGGAACAGAGTATAGTAAATGTCTCACAGCGTGTGAGTGCGTGCTATGAGTGTGTGCTCTCTGACCCCTTGCCCAGCTGTCTGCAAACCACAGCAGCGTCTTCATCGCCCCAGTCGTCGCTACAGATGGACCCCCACACTCCTCCTAGATAAATTTCCACCCTGCCATCAAGCTTGGAGCGACCTCCTTGAAGACGCACAGAGCCTAGGATGGAAAGAGAGACAGAGAGTGGGAGATATAAAAAGAAGCAGCACATTACTAAATAGGCAGCAAAAGTTTGAACTCATAAGGGATTGCAACAAAAGACAAAATGGAGCTACAACTGAGTGTTAGGTTTTGAGGAGGAGACGAGAGACCCAATTCACATTGAAAATTTACAAGGAAAGCACACTGATAGGTTTTGAGTCGATCAGGGTTTTAAAAGTGCATACCTCTCCCCAGTAAAAGGAGAAAACATAGTCCGAGAAATAGTCCCAGAAAGTAACATATTGAAAGTGACATTGTTTTTTGTTTTTAGAAATGTTTTTCTTTCTATTTAGTCCAATGTCACATCTCCACACAATTAATTCTACCCGATTCACTGAATGTTTCATCAATATATTTCCATGATGATACATTTCTACATTTAACACATGGTGACAGTTGGTTTGGTTATATGTTTATAGTGAGAATAGCTTTATTTCTATTACCGATCTAGTATTTAAAGGAATAGTAATTATCCCTATAGAGAATAGTGCTGTTGTAGGCCCAAATACAAACACACACACACACACACACACACACACACACGTATAGAGAAACCTACTGAAGAGTATTTCACACCTGTAGAATAAGCAGTGTCTAAAAATTGTATCAAACAACCCCATTTAGGTTTTTAATCCAACATCTCATATAACTGAATTGATGCATATACTGTATGTGCCTTGTATCATTTAGCAGAAGATAAATAACAAATGCATACTGGCATACTCCAAGACTATAAATACTCCAGGCCACTTTTTTCTCCTGCCAGGTGGAAACCAAACACACCTTTCACCACCCTCTTACTTTGCTACCTTCCATCAAGCCAGAGACACAGGACCTAGTATCTCTTCAATATTCATCAAAGCATCATGAAGAATGTGCACCCATAGACCCACTAAAAACACGATTTGGCCTTATTGACAGAGTTGATCTCTGGACTTTGTTGATAAAAACTCACCATAAAAACAAACTACCTGTTCACATTTTACCACAGATGTGCTTAGACTTGCCATCTGCTTGCACTGTGCACACACCTGGGACATTCAGGGTGTGTCCTATTTAATCACTTAGGGATGGGCTTCCTGAGTTTAACATAGCTGGGGTAAGAAAGCTGTCAGTATTTCTCCACTTATTGCCCCAATAAAGATGGTCTGAAGCCAGCGTGTTAAATGTATCTTGCTGACTGAAACCTGATGATTTCTATTATGACTTTTCAATCACAAATCCCTGTCATTTTGGGTTTTTATATTTAGATTGTGAATCCTTACAATGCAATATTACCGGAGAATATGTGTCTTAAGGCCTGTTTGTTTACCTTGTTTACAGTCGCAGTAGCCCCAGTCCACTCTGCCTTTGTAGTTCCTAAAAAAGCACCATGGTCTTATCCTGCCGTCCGGGTTGCGGCAGTGGTTGTGCTCTCCTATTCCTTTGCCCGGGTAGCGCTCTTTGAAGCCGGGCACCTCAGTCCAGTTCATGCACCGGCTCCCGGACTCTGTGACGTCTATCGCTCCCCGGTAGGAACCGTCTTTCCCGTGGCTGTGCAAACAGTCCGTGAACGGCAGGATGAACGCAGGGACGCTGCTGCACGAACACACGCCGCTCGTCGCAATCAAAAGCGCGGCTATCAACGCAGCGAGAAACGCCAAATTCATATTAGGTCTCCGATTCTCGACAGCTGATGACAGTTGAAATTTCACTTGCTCTTATCATCAGCTGAGGAGACGACATTCAGCTCGGCTTACCGCCCTGCAGCGGGACGAGAGTGAGAACCGTGGAAAGAAAAAAAACGACGCGGATCAATGAAACTCCTGTTTGCGTGGGCTATGAGGCAGACAGCCCCCAATGGCAATTCAATAACATATGTGGCAGACTCATTTTATCCCATGGTGCACTTTAATGCCATTCGCCTTCTTGGAATCTATACTACCAAATAAACTAATATTAATGTTTATAAATAGGAGGAACTTGATGTGCAACAGGCCCTCAAATATGGGATCTATTCAGTAGTTTGATCATATGGATATTTAGGGTCTAAGGTGGCCGAGAACCGCCACTGCTGCGAATAAAAAAGAATACAAAAAAAAAAGAAGGCCACAACGGAAGTTACTGATGTAAAAAAAAAAAAAAAAAAAAGAAACATTACCCTGCAAGTTAAAAAAAAGTCCACAACAGAAGTTAACAACAAAAAAAATGTGGCAATGCAACAAAAAAAAAAAAAAAAAATAGTTACTGCAAAAATAAAAGGATGCAAATAAAAAGAAAAAAACATGGAAGTAAGCAACCAGGGACCAATAATGATGATGCACCGGTGTTTTACGATCTAAGCACAAAAGACAACGGCAAGAAGACGAGCAAAGAAGTAAGTAGAAAGGTTATAGTTTGATTTCGCTTCATAAACTCTTCAATGTGTCATTTGGTTGGGCCATGTAGCGCCCGAGTCGATATGAAGTTGAACTGGAGGATGCCGGTGTAGTTTTAGCTTCAGTTCAACTTCATATCGACTCAGGCGCTACATGGCCTAACCAAATGACACATTGAAAAGTTTACGAAGCGAAATTAAACAATAACCTTTCAGCTAACTTCTTTGCTCGTCTTCTCACTGACGTCTTCTGTGCCTGGATCATTAAACACCGGTGCATCGTCATTATTGGTCCCCAGCAGCTCTATTCCGTTGTTTGTTTCTTGTTATTTGCATCCTTTTTTTTTTTTGCAGTAACTAACTCTTTTTTTAATCCATCACCACTTTTTGTGTGTGTGTGTGTGTGTGTGTGTGTGTGTGTGTGTGTGTGTGTGTGTCGTTAACTTCTGTTGTGGCTTTTTTTTTTTTTAATCTGCACTGTTTTTTATTTTATTTGCAGTGGTCTTCGGTTTCCTTTTTTTTTGCATTGGTAACTTCCGTTGTGACTGTTTTATTTTTATTATTATTTTTTGCATTCTTTTTTTAGTTACAGCAGTGGCTGTTCTCAGCCACTGTAAGGGACTCGTCACTAGAAAAGGCAAGCACAAACAGAGACAATAGGACTGCTATTAATTCCACAAAAACTAAATTTTTTAAACCACATCAGTGATGGGTGAAAATGAGTAAAGGCATGGCACGGTAACTTTTGAAAAATTGATGTTATAACTTGTAAAGATACTTATGCAATTAATTATAAATGAAAATAGAGTAAATGACATGAAGACATGACTTTCATCACGTGTGTGGGAGAGAAATAGAAACAGAGATGTTCATTCCAAATCAATGTAAGTGGCATTCCAATAGTCACCCAGAACTTGCACAGCTAATTTTACTGTTTTGTATTTGTATTTTTGTAATATTTTTGGGATGAATAAACGTGTTTCCTTTACTAAAATTGAACAGAATTAACACGCACAGAGAGAGAGAGAGAGAGAGAGAGAGAGAGAGAGAGAGAGAGAGAGAGAGAGAGAGACGTCATCAAACAGCGCCATGCCATTCACGAAAGTTTCAGTTCAAAGTGTTATCCAGCGTACGCCGGAGTTCGGAGACAAAACTTTATAGCTCGTTGACCCGTAATGCACCCTCCCATAACAGTGTACCAAAACCGTAACTGTTATTTCGACCGTGACGAAAAATTCAACATCTTTCATCGCTTAATATATACATTAATCCCATTCCGAACTCATTCGACGTAGCAGCTCTGTACCCCGGTGACCAAAACGAGCGCACCCTTTGTGAATTTTAGCGGCTATTACGCATTGATAAACTGTAAACTAGTACGGTAGCAAGCTAATCGCGTTGCTAACGTTGGTCGCAAATGCAATGCAAAAGCTTGTCTATTCAGTGAAAAAGTAAGACGACATTTTAGAGGAAGAAATGAACAGTCGACTGCAAGAGATTCGCGAGAGACAAAAACTCAGGCGGCAGCTTTTGGCTCAGCAGGCAAGTGGATAGGGGTGCTGTTGTTAGCATGGAGCTAACAAGCCTGAAAACTCGACTGCTGTCCTAAGTAGTGATATGTGTAACGAAATGTAAATGTCCATTTAGAAAAATGTGTTGATTATGTAGAAATATACGGAGTTATTTGGCATCCAGATATGTTCCCCAATTGTATCTTTAACACCACTCAGCTTGAGCAGATGAACGACATTACTGTAAATAAGGATAAGATGAGACAACATTATGAACACCTGGGTAATCTATTTAAACAAAATACAAGATCTCTACCGCAAAATCTAATCTAAAGAAGGTTTTAAGTTTTTGGTGTTTCCTGACATTATCAGACAGGTAATTATTGTAAGGGAGAGTGGGGTAAGATGAGCCATTTTTCATATTTTGGATCACTACATCAAGGCGATCATAGTTTTGTCTCTAACTAGTGTATCTGCATATATTTTAGGATGTTGTGCATCCCTGCAAACCAACAGAATGAGTGTAAACAGAGCTGTCTTGATAATATAGCATGCCAAAAAAGTGGTCTTCTATGGTCTCCTATTACCCCGTGTATGGGGTAAGTTGAGCTGTATTCTGTGTGACTGTGACTTGTAAAAAAAACTCTGTTTAAAATATATTTGAGATAGACTGACAGGTGTCGTGCTGAAAGGTTTGGTTGATTAAAAATTAAAACTTGAGGATAATTGACAATGGAATCCCATTAGATATTATAAAACAGAACTGTGAATGTAAGTAGGTGTCTCTGTACTATATATTCATTTAAACCTTTTTTAAATAAAGTACAGATGACATGTGCTCCCCTTCCCTTTGGTTATTGTTGTTTGGTTGGCTGCCTTTAAGTTTTTTTTTTTTGTTTTTTTTTATATAGACCCATTACTATTTTGTAATCTAATGAGATCTATCTTTGTATTTATCAGAAAATTCAATAAAAATATGATAGGAGCCCCTTTCAATATAACACACCCCAGTAGAAGTTGAATTTATGGTAGAGTTGTTGTATGGGGTTGCATATATAACCCAGGTGTTTATAATAGTATTGTAGCTTGGTGTCATGTTTTACTAAAAGCCTCTGACAGGACTGACACAGCGGAGAATAACAGTGGCTACAAACATTTACCTCACGATGACTCAAAAATGTAACAATATGATATTTGAACATCTGTCACATAACTCTTCTCTTTTATCACAGCTGGGAGCTGAAAGTGCAGACAGTATCGGAGCTGTGCTTAACAGTAAAGATGAACTCAGAGAGATAGAGGAGACGAGAGAAACATGCAGGTGAGAACTTATCAAAATTCCCCTCATCCATGGTTAAATGTCAGTGGAAACATAGTGATGCACTGACAGCATGAAATGCGGTGAATTCTTCTCACACATCTTTGCATTGCACTGACTGAACACCAAAAGTAACACAGAAAGGTTTCAGATGCCAAATCCACATTCCAGACCATCTACTCTAAGCTGTTTAGTCCCTTTGTGTGTCCACACAAGAAGCATGTTATCATCGTTTTTTACATTCTCAACAGCTCTTCTCCTTTTCCCCTTAAAAATTTTTAAAGGATGCACACTATTGGAGAATGGTTGATATCTGATAATATTTTCAGACATGTTTTGGCCAACGATTTGATAAAGATCTATAGCTACACACCTTTTCTCCATTGTAAAGAACGCAGTTTCTCTTGTACTAGAATTTACCTGTTGACGCACATCGGTAATTGTATGCTTGCTTTAGAAATCGACACGATACAAGACGAACAACATCTGATTCTGGCATCAAAGATACACGTATTCTTTTTTAATTATAGATATTAAGTAATGCGTCTGCTGTCTGTTTCTGACACTTCAAAGTACCTCCCTTCAGCACACATGTTGAAGCTTGTTTTAATGCTTAAACTGTAGTGCATAATTCATGCATCACCTCATTGGCTGTAAATGTTGGCAGAAATTCTCTTACCAGTGATTAACTTGCTAAGCTATTATCCGCAGATATTTATGTTGATATCTAGCATCCCTAAATTTTTGTCTTATATTCAACATGTAATCATCTCAACTCCAGTCGACCCTGTGCTTTGATGAGATTTGGTTCACAGATGTGTGTGTTTTGCAGGGCTTCATTGGACAGTCTAGCAGCTCCCTCCAAAAGAAAGGCACAAGCAGAAAAAGATGACACAGAAGAAGATGTGGAAGAACAAAAGGTAAATGCAGATGCATGTTGATGAGCTGTGTGAGTTTAGTGTGCCATGAAAATAAAGACAACACCAAGTTATAGTGAAATACATTAAAGTGTAGACTCAAAATGACAGTAGAGTTTATGTATTTATACAAAATGACATAAAGACAAGGAATACACATTAAAATAAAGAGAAGATGATTAAAATCTGACAAAACTGTTGAATTGGCATGCTCTGAGGGTTGAGGGACTCAGACTTAGTCTGTCACATGCAGGTTGTAGTAGGGTTCCAGGGCACTGGAAACACAAGGTGTGGTTTCCCCCAGGTCTTTGAATGTAGACAGTAACAAAGCTAAGAGAGCCTCTGGCTCATCATTATTTTAAAAGATCAGAAGTATGTTTATGTGTAGCTATGCTGTGTTTGTCAGAGTAGTAGACATGGGTCTATGACATAAATTTGGCTGCCACTCAAAAATGTCACTGTCATTTCCTCTGCAAAAAGAAACCAACAAGTTTCAGTTAAGTCATGATAAAGTCCAGTTGCAGTTAATTACCATCTCACAGGCTCTTTAAGAGTTTAAACCTCATAGGGCTCATTTTGTGTGTGTTTTTCAGGATGTGGTGGAGCAGCAGCAGCCAGATGAAAGCAACCCATACGAGGAAGTTTACAAGGACTCCAGTACTTTTCTTAAGGTTGGAAAACACCCTCTTTTCTTTGGCCCAGGCATTTATTCTTTCATAAATCATTAATTATCCCTCATTATGATTCTATAGCCAGTTGTGATTTTTGTGGATGTAAAGTCTTAAATGTATTTCAAAGGAGTGGTGTCAGATTTCACTGCCTGATAACTCAGCACTTTCAAAGTCTTGTCTAAACAAAAACTAAACTGAGTGGTAATCTATATTTATGCACTTTTCGTGTTTAAAACCATGAACAATTGTTAGAGAAAGAGAGGGGAGCTGGGCAGACTTTATGTGTTTTAACAAACAATCCTTTACATGTTGATATCTCCTCACAGTACCATAAAGCTTAGAGATTAGATATATCAGAGTATTTCAGTGAAACAATGTATCACACCTGTAAACAGTGCGGCATCTGCTTTAAACATTTCCTGCACTGGAACTGAATTTTCCATGGTTTGATGGAACTGATAATAAATCTTCAAGTATGAAAACAGGCATATATAAATACTTAACTGGGTTATTTGCAGACATGCACAACTGATCAGCAGCTATCTGTATTTCAGCTACGCATCACTGAGATAAGTCAATCAAGTCTTGTTTTTGCTCTGCCAACTGGAAGCAGGAAGAACAAGATTTATACAACAGGTGTCCTTCATCCAAGAAACATGATAGTGTGCCTGAGACAAAGTCATAGGTTTCTCTTGTAATTGCGGGCTATTTTGGGTTTTATAGTCCGTAAAAAATACAGGCTGAAACCAATTTTATGATTTAACAAGTGTGAACTTTTCATGCACTACCGTTGCTAATCGATGACTAACAGGTTCTGATGACACAGACATAAGATGAAATAACAATGTTCGTAATTTTCTTTTGGTTTAGAGAGCATGTGTAATGTATTTGCTCTGGATGGGGAAAACAGAGATCACTGAAATAAACCTTGATGGGTACCTATTGTTGCTGTGATGTTTATTTTATAATATTTTTCACCCACAGGGTACTCAGAGTTTGAACCCTCACAATGACTACTGTCAGCATTTCGTGGACACAGGGCACAGGCCACAAAACTTCATCAGAGATGTTGGTGAGTCTTTGTTTGTCTGTGGGTGATTTTACATACATGTAGCTGCAAATGTCTGTTTCTTACTTTTCCTCCGTGGTTCAGGCTTGGCTGACAGATTTGAAGAATACCCCAAACTTCGAGAGCTCATCAGACTGAAGGATGAGCTCATCTCCACCACAAACACCCCACCCATGTATGTTAAAAAAATGATGTGACCGTTTTACTGCCAATATGATTTTACTCAGAGGAGAAGACTTAAACCAGTGAAATAGATACAATTTCAAGTTTGCATCAACTTTCTTTGTAAGGTTCGGCTCTTTCTAATGTTTGTGTCTGTATGTGCAGGTACCTCCAGGCCGACCCAGAACACTTTGACCTGCGGGATCTAAAGTGCAAGTTCGATGTAATTCTGCTAGAGCCTCCTTTAGAGGAATACTACAGAGAATCAGGCATCAGTCACACCGAACGCTTCTGGACCTGGGATGATGTATGTGTTCATATTTTACTGATTCAGCTTCTTTTCCTTTTTTTTTGTCTTTTAAAACAACACAGGGTACTTGTGCTGTCATAAGTTTGATAAACACTCAGTTAAGAAACGCATACAGTCACACTCTCATAAGCTCATAGCCTATCACATGGCTCTTTATGTCCCCTGCAACCCAAGATGGAGGGGACAGATGGGTAGTAAGAGCCACTGGGGTTATCAAATGGGAACCTCCTCTCACCAATGTTTCCTTAAGTTAGACCCACAACACTTTGAAGGGTCTGCTTACCTGGGCGTTATTGCCAATGAAACTTTTTGTTATTGGAAGTAGGTGTTGGACAAAATGTCAAAGCAGCACCATCTCATCGCCCTGACTCGTGCAACATTCTATTTCTGAGGTCAGATATTGTTGGTTTCTTTCAAGAATAATACAACTCACCTTCTATTTGTCTCACTTTGTCTCTACTTCAAGACTTTTTGAAGTGAAGTTAAAATTTCTCAGGATCTAAACCTTTTCGGTACATTAATTACACGGCTGTCTTGCAATTTACCAATCTACTCATTCTGGGAGAGTTGGAGTATCATGACAGTATTGCCATCTTGGGCAGTGTATAGGGTATTGTGTTTTCTGTTATCTGGCAATTACCTCCCTTAATTTAAAGTGTCTCTGGTACAAAGCACAATGTTGGTGCTTCAGTTCCCAAGCATCACCATGTTAAAGATGGTGGAAAGAGTGTGGGAGTGCAATACAAAGGTGTGCGCTCCCCTTCTTGCAATATGTATGGAGACATAATAAATCAGACCATATGAAGCTGTATTCTCAAGACAGTTCAAGGACTTTCTCGAGGGTAAGGAAAGCACTGAAGGGATTCACTTTGCATGAATCTTTCTGATTTCTTATGTTCATTATTTGTTTTCTCTGGTGTCTCTTTTTTTCTTCTTCTGTCGTAGATCATGAAACTGGAAATCGAGGAGATTTCCGCCTTACGATCCTTCGTCTTTCTCTGGTGTGGCTCTGGCGAAGGCCTGGATTTAGGCAGAATGGTAACTGAATCTGTCATTCAAGTCAAAAGCACTCAGAAAATTACAAGAAGACAGTTTGTACAAAAGGTACACTACAGGCTAAAAGTTTGGAAGCAAGGCCATTACAGGCCGAACAGTTACCTAGACAAAAAAGAAGAGGAAGGTGTTCTTCAAAAGATGGTTTGGCCCCCTCAGTCGCCAGACCTTTCTTTAATTGAGCTTGTGCGGGATGAATAGGATAGATCGGTCAGAAAAACGCCTCCCACGAATCAGCAGTCTGTTTTTAATGAACTTAAGAAAGCTTGGAATGCAATCCCTGGAACATACCTTAAAAAACTTGTGGAATGAATGCCTGGTATATGCCGAGCTGTTGTTAAAGCCAGAGGAGGTTACTTTAAAGAAAGCAAAGTCTAAGCAATCAAAATGTCTTCTGATAAGTTACTCTACACAATAGTCATGTTTATTGTGTTGCAAATTATATATATGAAACTATGATCTTTTTTTGTACAAATCTGATCTTGCTTCCAAACTTTTGGCCTGTAGTGTATGTCTCATCTGAAGCGGTTTCCCAGTACAAGGCTTGAGTTTTATTTTTGCAGAATTTAAGTCAACAATGTCTTTTTGGGTCACCTAAGAACTTGTTGGTTTAGCCTGCATCTGACTGCAGTTAGGCAACTGTTTGTACAATTTTAGAACAATAGCTACGAATGCCTTTGAAGTATGTCTGTTCATACCTTGCTATTCAAAACTACCCCCCCTCCCAGCAGAGAAACCATGCTTCATGTCCAGAAAGCTCTTACAAAAACAGTGTTATTATCTTTGGAAGCTGGTTGTCTGCTGTTGGTGTGACGTCTGACCGCTTTGAGCTTGTCAGTACAAATGTGTCACAGCTTTCTGAAAATAGATTTCTTTGTACCTTTTTCCAGAGTTGTTATTTTTTACTACACGGTGCTTGTTTTTTTTTGTTAATAGTAATACAAACAGGTTTTTTGCTGCTTTCTATCAAACAAAACAAGTTTTTCAGTCTATGACAAAAACATTTTTCATCAAACTTTTCAATTAGAAGAAATATCAATGGAATTTTGATGCAATACAAAAAGTCCATCATATTGTCTTAGTTTTTCATGTGCTACTATTTAAAGTACCAAAAAGCTCAAAGTTTAGAAACGTCAAGAAGTTGTGGACAATAGAAAGATAATACAGGAATGCTTTATTTGAAAATGAGAAAAGGAACAAGAAATAATTCAAAACAACTCAAAACCCAAACATGATGTAAGTGGCATTCCCTGAAAAACTTGCTAATCCTGGTATTTGTGGAGAGAAAGGGAGAATATTCTCAGCAGAGTATGTTGGTGCTCCTTTAAAGAGATGAGATTTTGATGCAAATAGCCATCTGATTTCTGCCAACAGTAAATAAGAAGAAGCCCTACTGTGCATGTGCTTACAAAATACTTTGTGCATGTATTGATCAGATTTTAAATATTTGCAACATAAATAAAGAACTGTTCAGGTCCTGCAGAACATCACACTACCTACTCTTGTTACACCCATTTTAGTGTTTAAGGAAGTGGGGTTTTAGGCGATGCGAGGATATCTGCTGGATCAAGACCAACAAAAACAACCCCGGAAAGACCAAAGCCCTGGACCCAAAGGCAGTATTCCAGAGGACCAAGGTATATTACACAAACACTGGCCTAAGAGAACTCTCAAATGTTTGTACATTTACTTAATAATACCTGTTAATAATGTTGTAGTAGTTTTGTAGTACATATCTGTACAGGTGATGCTGATACACAAATTAAAGTTTATAAAGTTCACCATTTTAAATTCCTCAGGAACACTGTCTAATGGGAATCAAAGGAACAGTACGCAGAAGCACTGATGGTGACTTCATCCATGCCAATGTGGACATTGACTTGATTATCACAGAGGAGCCAGAGATGGGAAACGTGGAGAAGCCAGTTGAGATCTTTCATATTATTGAACATTTTTGTTTGGGACGTAGGAGGCTACACCTTTTTGGACGAGACTCAACCATCAGACCAGGTGAGTTGGACTTTGTTTAACTTGTACGATTTGGGAGGGCGGGTTCATCTTGCATGTGTCGTCTTAAGTAATTTAAGTCCTGTCTTTCTTTCCTATTTAGGGTGGCTGACAGTTGGTCCAACTTTGACAAACAGTAACTTTAATCCAGAGACCTATGCTTCTCACTTTGCCGTGCCTAACTCCCACCTGTCTGGCTGCACTGAGGAAATAGAAAGACTGCGGCCTAAGTCTCCCCCTGCTAAGCTTAAGTCAGACCGTGGAGGTGGAGCACCAAGAGGGGGACGTGGTGGACCAAATGCAGGGAGAGGAGGTGACCGAGGCCGTGAAAGGAACCGACCAAATTTCCGTGGGGACAGAGGGGGCTTCAGGGGTAGGGGAGGGCCTCATAGAGGCTTTCCTCCTCGCTAGAACAAGTAGTTTATGCCAACCACATACACGCTGGGGATTCTCATCTGCATTATCTGGAAACACAAGTTTGTTAGTCAGTTGGTATGAAGGCTCAGGAAATCCATTATCAATCAAGAAACCCTTTACCATCACAGGATACCTGATTTTAGTGCCACTTTTTGTATACATTACCCAACCCTAGTATGGTTAGAGTAAGAGTTCGCAAAATTGTGATTTTTTCAAATGTTTTTTCATGGACTCACTGAAGAATAAGTGTGTACTATCTAAATAAACATTTTTTTCATCTATCATGTTTGTGTGATGGTTTATCTTTAACTTTTAAGTTATGGAGATAATATCTGTGTTAGAGTTCCCTTATAATTAGCTATAACATGAAGTATAACTACATACCTTACTAAAACTTTAGCAATATCAATGGGCCTTTTATTTTGTAATTTTCACCACTACATTGTAATTGCCTGTCATATAATATCAATTTGCAGTTGAGGAGAAGCTGAGCACCAGGGTTATTTTGAACAGCTATTGACGTAATGGAGGTATTTGACATGGACATTTTGAAACAGCATGAACATAAGCTTTAAATGAATGACCGGCTGCCTCTGTTCACGCTCATGCTGCATGCTGTGATGCATGTAGGAAGAATGTCAGAGGGGATTACAATGAGAGGAATGTAGCACAGCTTTGTCATCTTAATTTGCATCAAATTATGCCTTCATCAATTGGCTTTGTGTTTAGAGTTACTTAACCGTTTCCTCATCAATGTAAAATGGCCTGAAGCAGAATTAGGCCTCCAATAAACTCTCAACTCCTGTTGTGAGGTCGATTAAGATGCTGAAAAGTTTACTTTCCTTGATGTTCATAGACTTGTACCACAGAGAGGTTAAGTTGCCATCTACAGTACTAACAACAATGTCGGTTGTGATTTGGCACTATATGAATAAAAATTGATTGAACAATGTTACATATTGCGAGAGAATTTGGCACAGAAATGCATACTCCTTGACATCCATGATTCCAAAAGTAGGACTCCGATGAAGTACTTGAACACTGTATAATAAGCTAGTCAACGGGATATAAAAATAGACACCAGCATAAACATTCAGACCTCTAAAGTAGTCATCTGTAAAATAAATTGAGGTTTGTATAACTTATGATCTGGGACACAGTGATTCGAGTTTCTCACCCTGACTTTGGTTTCACAGGGGGTATTGCTAAAGCGGGAATATGATATATTGCTTAGAAATCCCACTCTGTATGATCACATGATGAATAGCAAGGGACCTCTAAGTTAGCAGAGCTAATACTGTGGATTACCTGCATCAGATGGCTGATGAGACATGATGTCTTACAGCGCCCTCAATCTAACTGTGTCGTGTGGGTTTAGACTTTTATTATAAAATATAAACTATTTTATTATTAGTTAAATAACCTTGGTTATTGGTTATTGACACATGCAGTCGTTTATGATGTATGTCTTGTAATTACAGTCACAATGAGTTAATATTCCCAAATTTGAGCATGTGATTCAGCAGGTCTCCACATTTCCACTTCTTAAAGCCTTTAGGCAGTGATTCATTAGGCCTCAGGGACAGAGTGAGTGAATGTGGATTTGTGGCATTTTGTCCTTTTCGCCTCTTTTTGAAAGGCTAATGAGGCAAAACGGGTCTAACAACTTATGACCTCAAAATTAGTCAAATTATTGTAGCCCACAGAAATCTTCTCATTTGAGGATTTTTGACCGAAGAAGGCCAGTCCGTGTTGGGCCTGAAGTGTTGCCAGCTTTCCAAATCTGATGCATAACACTTTTTAACGGACTACTGAGACGCTCATTTCACTGTTGCTGCAGAGTTACACTTGGAATCACTGGGGTAAGGAAATGGGACTGTTTGGTCATCCCTTGAGCTGGCATAGCTTTTGAATGGCGCCTTTTCCAGATTTATTGTGCAAACTAAAGGATCATTAATGCAAACTTCATATAGTCTGACCTGAGTTTAAACAAAAACTGTTGAGGATGTTGTCAGGTATGTCTAAAATACCCATAACAAAAGGAGCATTTTAAAGTGATAGATGAGAAAAACAGTTACATGCAAAGCATGGGGACAGCTTAGCAATGAGGAATATGGAAATAAAATGTCAGTGTTTCCTGAGATATGTTAAGTTTTTGTCTGGACCAAATAGATTAGAAAATCTCAAGGGTGCAGTTTGTAGTGATGCTATATTGCACTGGAGATGAAGACATGTCATTTTTTGTTAATGCTATTGGTGTTTAAAATTTTGACTGACAATATAGAGTGAAAGCTTAGTATTGTTACTACATGATGGACAAAGTTCTACGTAGCCTTGTATTCACATTACAGCCTGGTGTATGTAGATGCAGTAGAACATTGTAATGCACTGCTTCATGATCAATACTTTCCATATGACTTCCTTTATTTTGTCCTTTTTTTGTGGTGCATTTTAATTTTGTGTTGATTTTTGGCCACCGGGAACAAAACCGGAATGCCAAGTGTTGCAATGATATTCTTTAAGTTAGCATGCATTTGTTTTTGAATCCAGAGAAAAATAGGTTTAACTTACAGTACAGGCCAAAAGTTTGGACACACTTTCTCATTCAATGTCTTTTCTTTTTTTTTTTATACGACTATTTACATTGTAGATTGTCACTGAAGGCATTAAAACTATGAATGAACACATGTAGAATTTTGTACTTCTAAAAAAAGTGTGAAATAACTGAAAACATGTTTTATATTCTAGTTTCTTTAAAATAGCCACCCTTTGCTCTTGATGACAGAAGTACCTTGTCAGGGTTACTTCAGGCACTCCTGTGAAGTAAAAACCATTTCAGATGACTACCTCATGAAGCTCATTGAGAGAACAGTTAAAGTTTGCAGCGCTATCAAAAAAGCAAAGGGTGGCTACTTTGAGAAATCTAAAATATAAAACATGTTTTCAGTTATTTCACACTTTTTTCTTAAGCACATGATTCCACATGTGTTCATTCATAGTTTTGAGAATCTACAATTTAAATAGTAATGAAAACATAGAAAATGCATTGAATGAGAAGGTGTGTCCAAACTTTTGGCCTGTACTGTATGTCTCTTCTCTAAACTGTTGTTTGCAGAATGCATGTTTTAAAATAGCAAGTTTTGGTTTTTGACAATTTTATGTTCCTCTTCTCTTGAATTCCTTTTCTATCCTGTGTCTAATGATGGTAGTTGAGTATACAGTCATGGGCAGATGTGTATTTCATAGGTTTAACTATCATATTGCATATGGGTAAGGGAGAAAGAGGCAAATTTAGTTCAGTATATGGACCAGTTTGAGTGCCTTAGCTAGTTGAGCTTTTCTTTATCCAGTTTATTCTGTTTTTCATCTCTGCACTTATCCATGTCTTGATAAGATAATATTCACCTCAAAAGATCCCATCCTGCCTCCCCTCAGTTGACACACGTTCTACTAATAAGTATTTATTAAATAAAGGTTAACACAGGCTTCTCTTATAAATACTACATTAAATGCATGAACCCAATTTTGACTCACTGGTTACACTGGGTTCATTGTTGATTCAATCTTTAAATCAATCTATATAAACTTGTGCATTGAATTTTAATCTTATATCTGTACACACCCCTATATAATATTTACCAATAACTTTAATTTAAGCTCCTTAAGCTTAATTTGACATGAAAGTTTTCTCCTATTTTTTCTTTCCTGTGCATGCCATGCCAAACACTCTCTCCCTCTCGCTCTCTTTCTCACTCACACTCACACACATACACACACACACACAAACATCAGTTTAAAGGATTGAGAGCTAGAGAGTAGAGAGACTTACACCCAGAGAAGTGCAAGACAGGAAGATGCTGCATTTGCAGCATAAACTACACATTGTTCAGTGATTCATTTTGTATGCAGAATGAAAAGCCCAAAGAAACAGTGTTAACTGCATTTAGTTCCTCTGGCTATTTTGCTCATGAATAGCTGGTCCACATTTCACATATCTGGGCAAGGTGCTGCCCTGGTTGGCCTGCAGTTGTAAGGTACCTCTCAAACTCCTTTTGGGATTATATAGAGGGTTTGTACTGAAAGCAGTTGGTACATTTTTTTCTTCTTGTTAATCAAATCAATGACATTCTGATACACTGTTTCTTTTGTTTTCTTCTTACAGGGAACAGAAATGGGGAGGATGAAACCCCCCATTTTCTTTCTCCTTTTAGCAGGTAAATAAAAAAGTTAACACTATTTGTATTTAACCATTTTGAAACAAAGTTGGTTGTTTAGTGACTGTTCTCATGAAAACACTAAATCAATAAGGAAAAAAAACAGTTCTACAACAACTAAAATCACATGTTTGAGATTGGGAAGAATTATAATATACATTCATATACATATGTATGATGACTCAGTAATTGGGCTAGCCTGGTTTCCTCTCCCAGGCCGCTCTACAGGTGCTCTAGAAAAGAAAGCACAGCCACCTTCGGCCTCAGGCCATAGAGCCTTGTCAGAGAATCTCAAGCTGGGAGCTGGCTCATAATAGGATAAATGGTCAGCAAAACTGCCCAAAGCCAGGAGTCAGTAAAATCTTTAAATTAGTTCTTAAGTTTGCAGGAGGCCAGTGCAGGTGCAGTACAACAGGAGTGATACAATCTTTTAAGTGCCTATTGACATTCTTGTTGCTGCGTTTTGGTCATGCTGAATGTGTTTTAAGTTTTGGCTGAGGCAGGTCTGAAAATGCTGTAACCTAAATAGTTCTAAAGAAATCTAAGGATAATTTACCTTTTCCCATACTCGCTTAACAAAAATGACTTAATTACAGTAACATTCATGAGTTGATGGAAGCTTTATTAAAGTGTGTATGTATTTATGGATGGGAAAGGGGGTAAATCTCAAGTGTTCTCTACATTTGTGTTTTTTGCTATTCTTTAGGGCTTCTGCAAACAACATTACAACAAACAAGTACTACAGCAACAGGTAAGATGTACAGGAGATTTTAAGAAAAAAAATTCAAACTGCTGAAGCTCTTTAATAATACAGAGCTATGGAGCCCCTCTGGTGACATTGGAGAAAAATAAATAATGTGTGGCCATGAGAAAGTTAATGTGTGGCCACTAGATAATTCACCTTAAAGGGATTTTCCGGCGTGAAATTAAGTTAGGGTCAAACACACCGTAACACCGAGTTAGACATCCCCTCGAGAGATGAATGTTGCCGACCGCTTGCTTCTCTAGTTATACCAACTTGGGCAACGACCACACAATAGCAATACACAGCAGTTTACCTCTCCATGCGCAAACCTCGACCAAAAAGCCACAAATAATGCTCAGAACAGCACCTAACTTCATCAGCAGTACATAAAGGGTCTCAGCCATAATACTAGCCACCAAACACCTTTTTAGCTTTGTCGGATTTTTTTAGCAAGGAGGCTAAACAAACTCACCCACTTTCCTCAAGCAGCTGCTTGTTTGTGGGGGGAGCCCTGACGATGAGTTAGTATCTCGTGGCCACGCATTAATTTTTTTTTTGTCAAATGTCATCAGAGGTGCTCCATACGTTCTCTATGTATAACCCTTGTTTCTTTTATAATTTTTGAAACTAAAAGGGGGAATGATCTCAGAAAACTACTGGGAATCTGTAATTTGTCAGTTCAAGAACAGTAAAGGCTACTTTCAAAGAAAATGTAAAGGCAGAATTCTTATTGCATCACCTTTGCTGTGTATTTTTAAATCAAGGTGAATGGATGACAGATGACTGGCCACAATTAGAAGTTACTTGAAGGTACTTTTTAAAAGTACACCATTGTAATATGTGTACCTTTCCAGGACTTGAAAGGACATGGTTTGTGCAGTGTGGTCTATCAAGGGTAAAACCCTTTTGATATTCTTGAGTCACAAAATTTCACCTCATGCAACTAAACTTTGATCAAAACCAATTTAAAAACAACACGAGTCACAACAATCTTGTGAATCTGTCAAGAAAACTTCATTGTGTGTTACTGTGGTTGGTCTCTTTTTTATTTTTTTATATTTTTTCCAAAAGTCACTGCTTCCCCGTCTCTAGTAACCCAAACTTCGCCTCCAATTTCTTCAGGTGGAACAACATTGATCAAAACCTTGCCATCATTCTCTAGGACTTCATCACCATTGGTTACAACTTATATAAGCTTGGCAAAATCAAATATGTTGCCAACCAACGCAAGTTTTGTGGCTGCAATAATTTCTTCACATGGCAGGACAATTTCAGCCCACATCATTGAGACCTTACCAACAATATCTACAACTTCAGCTTTACTACCTGTTGACAGGACTGTAATACAAGACAAGCCATTTTTGACACCACTTGTAACAACTTTGACTTTAGGACAAGTCAGATCATCTTCAAGAGCCAGAACTCTAAAATTAGTCAAGAAAACTTTGTCACCAGCTTCATCAAGTCCAATTACCTATAAAGTTTCATCAAAAACTATTTCCATGACACAAGATGGTACAACCTTCACAGCAGTCCCTGAGGTAACAGCAGTCAATGGTACATTTTCAGTGCAACCAAAGACATCAGTGCAAGTCAAAATTACATCAACTCCAGATCAAACCTCTTCGCCACTCGCAACTCTACTCCACTTGAACTCAACTGTGTCACTTGGAAGGTCATCTCCAGTTGCAAAAACTTTAAAGTCACTCAAGACAACTCCAGTACCATCTCCAGCAGCTACTTTACCAACTTTTAATGTGACACTTGGAAAGTCTTCTCCAACTGCATTTTTAAAAACTTTGGAGCCAATTGAGAATATTTCATCTCCAACCAGTGTACCTTCATCTAAATCAAACATATTACCACCAACTGCTTCAAGTCAAGTACCACTTAATGCAGGATTTCCCACAATCATACCATATTCATCACTTATTGTTACAATTTCACTACCGATTGATATAAGTCAAACTCTAACGAGAACAAATAAACTCGCCCTTGACTTGAGTTTGGGAAAAGCATCAATACATTTTTTACAGGGCAGTACAGCTTTACCTCTTCTTGTAGAGGCCTTGACAAAATCCAAAGCATCTTTTCAGCCAAAGACTTCCCTGCTTGTTAACAAAACATCAACATTGCATTCGATTTTACAACCCAGCAGGACAACTGAGGAACATCATAACATATCAGCAACACCACAAAGAACAACTTCAGAGAGTGCACAAACAACTTTGTCACCAACTACTAAACCTTTTTCTAATGTAACGCAACCTTTCCCCCATGTCTTTTCAAGTCAAGTAACACCATACAAAAGTTTGGGACCCATTAGTATGACTTCTCTGCCATCAATAAGACAATCATGGGCTTTCAATGCAAATGCAGAACCAGCTTCATTAAATAAATCATTGAATAATGCAAGTGTAGAAGCAGCGACAACTTCATCAAGTAGCAGAACATCAGCACACGTCACTACAACCTTGCAAACTCTAACTCTCTGTGGGACTTTGACAACAAGGAGTAAAGCTCATCTGACAAAAGATGAATCGTCATTTCATCTTACAATGGTCAACACTACTTCGTCAACATTTATTGCAACATCTGTCCCAAACAAAACAGTGTTACAACCAACAACTTTCAGTACATCATCCAAACTAGGTAAAAATAAAAAAAAATAAAATTATTCAAAGTAATTTAACTACAGTTAGAAGTTGAAACCAATGAAACTGAGTTCAACAAAAATGGCTGTAATTTGCTAACTCCCTTACCTTGTGTTCCTCCTATTCTTGCAAACTGTTTATCCTGTTCTCACTCTACCAGGTCATTCAGCCACTTCACCAATAAATACAACAGCTTCATCAATTCCGTCAACAAGCATATCTCATGCATCATCCACCATGGAGGGCGCTGCACTTACAACTGACCCCAAAATTAGTTTGATATTTAAAATACAGCAAAACTTTACAACAGAGCTTGCAAACAAATCATCAACTGAATTTAAGGCACTGGAGAACACAGTATCCATAGCGGTAAGTCTGTTTACATGTTTGTATCTTACTCTGTGCGTGCAGTTAAGTGTATGTGTGCACACACGTGTGTTTGTGAGTGCCTATGTACGATGGACATCAAGGAGAAAGACAAACAGTGTTGAGTGTGTGTGGTTGGGGGGCACTGTAATAACATTCACCAGATGATTAAAGTCAGAATTAGTGGTATCATAATTATGATCCCAATTGTGATGAGTTCAAATTTAATTCATTAATCAATTTAATTAATTTCAGATAGATGTCACACCCTCATACCTGTCTTTTGACATCTATTTTATAATGATTTTTTTCACAGCTTGACCAAGTGTATACAGCTCAATATGGGGCTCTGTTCAACAGAACTGTGGTGAACAATTTCAGGTACAGTATTCAAAATCAAATTTGTTTGAAAACTGAATTAAATCTTGTTGAAAACATTAAAAAGGGTCTCGAAGCTCAGAAAATAAAAATAATATTTCCCAACTTTAAATTAAGCAAAGGTAAATAATGACTACAGTGACAAGAAATATCATTTTTGTAAAAAGTAAAATTTGCTAATCTGCCAAGCAATCTTAAATTCCTATGAGGCTTAAGAGTTTCCAGTAATTCAGAATATATTTTGCATTTTTTTTTTTTAACTTTCCCTCTCTCTATTTGTGTTGTGTTTTTCTATGAATGCATTGATGAATGCATTTGCAGATGTGTAATCTACAAAAAAGAAAACACCAAAGAAAGAAACCAAAAGTAGGTGAATATATGTCAATTGTTTCTATTTCTTGCAGTCAAGGATCCATCATTGTGGATGCAGAGTTGATCTTCAATTACCTTGGATCACTTCCGACTGCCAGTTCTATGGCCAACACTTTGAGGATTGCAGCTTTGAACTCTAATTTTTCTCTCAGTTTAAACACTTCATATATATTTGTTACAAGTAAGACTTTCATAAGATCTCAGACATGAAAGAATTTTCATCTTATGATATTTTATTAATTATAAACTGCTGGTATGAAAAAGCTCAGATGTTTGGCAAAGGGGAAGGGAAGAAAATCAACTAATGTTTGAATTTAAAATTTACAGTTGTGTTTGCTTCAACTCCATCAACTACTCAAGATCCAATGTCGACATCTATGACCCCATCAATCACACGATCATATCAAACAGTAATGACTACAAAGTCAGTCCAGGGCAGTTCAACTTTGGCAGCCATTGCTACAACTTCACCATCAATTGAAACAACTTCAGGGCAGCAGACAACATTATTGCAACCAGCTACATCAACCCCTGATCTTACCACATTGCCACTTGGGACTTCAGCTATGGTAACCACAACTGGAATTCCTGGAACATCATCAGCAACCCCAGTAGCAACCACTTCAGAGTCAGTCAGAACCACCTCAACACAAGTCACTGCGACATCATCCTCAGCAACCCTAAGTTCAGCCCTCATCTCTACCAGTCAGTCACCTGAGACAGAAAGCACACAGCCAGTCGGTACAACTTCAATGACACGCCAAACAGTTTTAACAACGGTTGACACCAGTATGGCACAAGGAACATCCCAAATACCAACACTGAGCACAATCTTGGAAACTGCTACATCATCACAGAGCAGTTCAACTTTGGCAGCCATTGCTACAACTTCACCATCAATTGAAACAACTTCAGGGCAGCAGACGACATTACTGCAACCAACTACATCGACACCTGATCTTACCACATCGCCACTCGGGACTTCAGCTTTGGTAACCACAACTGGAATTCCTGGAACATCATCAGCAACCCCAGTAGCAACCACTTCAGAGTCAGTCAGGACCACCTCAACACAAGTCACTGCGACATCATCCTCAGCAACCCTAAGTTCAGCCCTCATCTCTACCAGTCAGTCACCTGAGAGAGCGAGCACACAGCCAGTAATTACAACTTCATCCACACTCCAAACAGTTTCAACAACGGTTGACACCAGTACGGCACAAGGAACATCCCAAATACCAACCCTGAGCACAACCTTGGAAACTGCTACATCATCACAGAGCAGTTCAACTTTGGCAGCCATTGCTACAACTTCACCATCAATTGAAACAACTTCAGGGCAGCAGACAACATTGTTGCAACCAGCTACGTCAACTCCTGATCTGACAACTTTACACATCTCAACATCTTCCTCCACCCCAGTTATCACATCGATTGGTCCAACCACCTCCCTGTCAGGTACAACTTCAGCAGCACCATCAGTTGCAGCATCTACTGCCTTAGAAACAACCACAACAATTGCCCCACAGCTTGAGCCAAAAATATCTTTGGTATTCAAAGTGCAGCAGAATTTTACCTCAGAGCTTGCAAATACATCCTCACCAGAGTTCAAGGCATTGGAAAGCCAAGTATCATCAGCGGTAAGCCTTTACATCCTTCATTGATTAATATGTAACTTTATCAACAAATTGACATCACATCCTGCAGTAACGCAACAATCATGTAATATACAAACAAATATATCACATTACAAAACGTCAAATTTAATGTTTTTAGAGGATCTCTAAGAATCACCTTGAAATGACACATAGGCTGGGAGCCAGTCAGGTGCCGACCTTGAGTAATGCAGCTCATAGCAAGGTTGTTGTACTGAGAAGACAGTTGTAGTCATGGATACAGCTGGTATCAAGAATGTAAAGACTCCTCAATAGAACTTATTATTTAAATGCTGATTCTTCAGTTACAGATGAAAGAGCTTGCAAAATCTCTTACTAGTTTGCTCAGTCTCTTATTAATTTTGACACAAGTTGCTCTGATTCTCTGTACACTCATGCCCATTACAAAAACACAAAAAGACATCCAGGCTTTTTTGTGATACTCTCAATTCTAAAGACACACACTCCTTTTCATAAATGTCAGAAATGTATTTTCTCTGACTTTTGCAATTGTTCTCCAAAATTTGTCTTTCACAGCTTGACCAAGTTTATTCGGCTCAATATGGATCTAGCTTCAACAAGACGGTGATCAAGGGTTTCAGGTACATTATGATGATACTGATGTAAAATTTTGCAGCCTTAGGTTCTTCCTGTTTAAATCTTTTCAAAACTACTTCATTTGTCATTTTTGGGTGGGAATCTTTTTTTTGCAAAGGCAATTTGGTCAAATATGCAAAGTTCGGTCAGTGTAAAAGATGGCACTCCACATGGACTTCTGCAGTTCAAAAAGGGCATGGTCCCTTACAGCATGTCTTTGTTCATCTTTCTTTCTTCTCTTTCCCCCTATTTGGAATCAGTTCCATCTGTGATTCCTTAGCTGGTTAAATTGATCCCCCCAAACACTTTCATGACAAAATGATTGAATCAAATTGGATTACAACATTGAATGGTTATTTTTTTAATTATGTTTTCTTTACAGTCAAGGATCCATTGTAGTCGACGCTGAGCTGGTATTCAATGATGTCAGCTCTCTCCCAAATACCAGTTCAGTGGCTAACACTATGGTGGCTGCTGCTTCCAGCTCCAATTTCTCCCTCAGTGTTGACACATCATCCATTGTTGTCACAAGTAAGATCTTAATGCTAGCCATGAAGTCATTTGCTTCAAGCAATTTCTTTTTCATTTTTGTTTAAGCAATATTGGTTTTCAAAAGACATATTTACATTAATGTAACTTGAGATGATGTCTCCTCTTTGCAGCTGTGTCAACACCAACACAAGCCCCCGCTCAGGTGACATTTTCAACAGCATTAACATCATCACAGAGCAGTTCAACTTTGGCAGCCATTGCTACAACTTCACCAATCAATTGAAACAACTTCAGGGCAGCAGACAACATTGTTGCAACCAGCTACATCGACACCTGATCTTACCACATTGCCACTTGGGACTTCAGCTATGGTAACCACAACTGGAATTCCTGGAACATCATCAGCAACCCCAGTAGCAACCACTTCAGAGTCAGTCAGGACCACCTCAACACAAGTCACTGCGACATCATCCTCGGCAACCCTAAGTTCAGCCCTCATCTCTACCAGTCAGTCACCTGAGACAGCAAGCACACAGCCAGTCGGTACAACTTCAATGACACTTCAAACAGTTTCAACAACGGTTGACACCAGTACGGCACAAGGAACATCCCAAATACCAACCCTGAGCACAACCTTGGAAACTGCTACATCATCACAGAGCAGTTCAACTTTGGCAGCCATTGCTACAACTTCACCATCAATTGAAACAAGTTCAGGGCAGCAGACAACATTACTGCAACCAACTACATCGACACCTGATCTTACCACATCGCCACTCGGGACTTCAGCTTTGGTAACCACAACTGGAATTCCTGGAACATCACTTGCAACCCCACTAGCAACCACTTCAGAGTCAGTCAGGACCACCTCAACACAAGTCACTGCGACATCATCCTCGGCAACCCTTAGTTCAGCCCTCATCTCTACCAGTCAGTCACCTGAGACAGCGAGCACACAGCCAGTCGGTACAACTTCATCCACACTCCAAACAGTTTCAACAACACTTGACACCAGTACAGCACAAGGAACATCCCAAATACCAACACTGAGCACAACCTTGGAAACTGCTACATCATCACAGAGCAGTTCAACTTTGGCAGCCATTGCTACAACTTCACCATCAATTGAAACAACTTCGGGGCAGCAGACAACATTGTTGCAACCAGCTACGTCAACTCCTGATCTGACAACTTTACACATCTCAACATCTTCCTCCACCCCAGTTATCACATCGATTGGTCCAACCACCTCCCTGTCAGGCACAACTTCAGCAGCACCATCAGTTGCAGCATCTACTGCCTTAGAAACAACCACAACAATTGCCCCACAGCTTGAGCCAAAAATATCTTTGGTATTCAAAGTGCAGCAGAATTTTACCTCAGAGCTTGCAAATACATCCTCACCAGAGTTCAAGGCATTGGAAAGCCAAGTATCATCAGCGGTAAGCCTTTACATCCTTCATTGATTAATATGTAACTTTATCAACAAATTGACATCACATCCTGCAGTAACGCAACAATCATGTAATATACAAACAAATATATCACATTACAAAATGTCAAATTTAATGTTTTTAGAGGATCTCTAAGAATCACCTTGAAATGACACATAGGCTGGGAGCCAGTCAGGTGCCGACCTTGAATAATGCAGCTCATAGCAAGGTTGTTGTACTGAGAAGACAGTTGTAGTCATGGATACAGCTGGTATCAAGAATGTAAAGACTCCTCAATAGAACTTATTATTTAAATGCTGATTCTTCAGTTACAGATGAAAGAGCTTGCAAAATCTCTTACTAGTTTGCTCGGTCTCTTATTAATTTTGACACAAGTTGCTCTGATTCTCTGTACACTCATGCCCATTACAAAAACACAAAAAGACATCCAGGCTTTTTTTGTGATACTCTCAATTCTAAAGACACACACTCCTTTTCATAAATGTCAGAAATGTATTTTCTCTGACTTTTGCAATTGTTCTCCAAAATTTGTCTTTCACAGCTTGACCAAGTTTATTCGGCTCAATATGGATCTAGCTTCAACAAGACGGTGATCAAGGGTTTCAGGTACATTATGATGATACTGATGTAAAATTTTGCAGCCTTAGGTTCTTCCTGTTTAAATCTTTTCAAAACTACTTCATTTGTCATTTTTGGGTGGGAATCTTTTTTTTTTGCAAAGGCAATATGGTCAAATATGCAAAGTTTGGTCAGTGTAAAAGATGGCACTCCACATGGACTTCTGCAGTTCAAAAAGGGCATGGTCCCTTACAGCATGTCTTTGTTCATCTTTCTTTCTTCTCTTTCCCCCTATTTGGAATCAGTTCCATCTGTGATTCCTTAGCTGGTTAAATTGATCCCCCCAAACACTTTCATGACAAAATGATTGAATCAAATTGGATTACAACATTGAATGGTTATTTTTTTAATTATGTTTTCTTTACAGTCAAGGATCCATTGTAGTCGACGCTGAGCTGGTATTCAATGATGTCAGCTCTCTCCCAAATACCAGTTCAGTGGCTAACACTATGGTGGCTGCTGCTTCCAGCTCCAATTTCTCCCTCAGTGTTGACACATCATCCATTGTTGTCACAAGTAAGATCTTAATGCTAGCCATGAAGTCATTTGTTTCAAGCAATTTCTTTTTCATTTTTGTTTAAGCAGTATTTGTTTTCAAAAGACACATATACATTAATGTAACTTGAGATGATGTCTCCTCTTTGCAGCTGTGTCAACACCAACACAAGCCCCCGCTCAGGTGACATTTTCAACAGCATTTACATCATCACAGAGCAGTTCAACTTTGGCAGCCATTGCTACAACCTCACCATCAATTGAAACAACTTCAGGGCAGCAGTCAACATTACTGCAACCAAGTACATCGACACCTGGTCTTACCACATCGCCACTCGAGACTTCAGCTTTGGTAACCACAACTGGAATTCCTGGAACATCACTTGCAACCCCAGTAGCAACCACTTCAGAGTCAGTCAGGACCACCTCAACACAAATCACTGCGACATCATCCTCAGCAACCCTAAGTTCAGCCCTCATCTCTACCAGTCAGTCACCTGAGACAGCGAGCACACAGCCAGTCGGTACAACTTCATCCACACTCCAAACAGTTTCAACAACACTTGACACCAGTACAGCACAAGGAACATCCCAAATACCAACACTGAGCACAACCTTGGAAACTGCTACATCATCACAGAGCAGTTCAACTTTGGCAGCCATTGCTACAACTTCACCATCAATTGAAACAACTTCAGGGCAGCAGACGACATTGTTGCAACCAGCTACATCGACACCTGATCTTACCACATCGCCACTCGGGACTTCAGCTTTGGTAACCACAACTGGAATTCCTGGAACATCATCAGCAACCCCAGTAGCAACCACTTCAGAGTCAGTCAGGACCACCTCAACACAAGTCACTGCGACATCATCCTCGGCAACCCTTAGTTCAGCCCTCATCTCTACCAGTCAGTCACCTGAGACAGCGAGCACACAGCCAGTCGGTACAACTTCATCCACACTCCAAACAGTTTCAACAACACTTGACACCAGTACAGCACAAGGAACATCCCAAATACCAACCCTGAGCACAACCTTGGAAACTGCTACATCATCACAGAGCAGTTCAACTTTGGCAGCCATTGCTACAACTTCACCATCAATTGAAACAACTTCAGGGCAGCAGACAACATTGTTGCAACCAGCTACGTCAACTCCTGATCTGACAACTTTACACATCTCAACATCTTCCTCCACCCCAGTTATCACATCGATTGGTCCAACCACCTCCCTGTCAGGCACAACTTCAGCAGCACCATCAGTTGCAGCATCTACTGCCTTAGAAACAACCACAACAATTGCCCCACAGCTTGAGCCAAAAATATCTTTGGTATTCAAAGTGCAGCAGAATTTTACCTCAGAGCTTGCAAATACATCCTCACCAGAGTTCAAGGCATTGGAAAGCCAAGTATCATCAGCGGTAAGCCTTTACATCCTTCATTGATTAATATGTAACTTTATCAACAAATTGACATCACATCCTGCAGTAACGCAACAATCATGTAATATACAAACAAATATATCACATTACAAAATGTCAAATTTAATGTTTTTAGAGGATCTCTAAGAATCACCTTGAAATGACACATAGGCTGGGAGCCAGTCAGGTGCCGACCTTGAATAATGCAGCTCATAGCAAGGTTGTTGTACTGAGAAGACAGTTGTAGTCATGGATACAGCTGGTATCAAGAATGTAAAGACTCCTCAATAGAACTTATTATTTAAATGCTGATTCTTCAGTTACAGATGAAAGAGCTTGCAAAATCTCTTACTAGTTTGCTCAGTCTCTTATTAATTTTGACACAAGTTGCTCTGATTCTCTGTACACTCATGCCCATTACAAAAACACAAAAAGACATCCAGGCTTTTTTTGTGATACTCTAAATTCTATAGACACACACTCCTTTTCATAAATGTCAGAAATGTATTTTCTCTGACTTTTGCAATTGTTCTCCAAAATTTGTCTTTCACAGCTTGACCAAGTTTATTCGGCTCAATATGGATCTAGCTTCAACAAGACGGTGATCAAGGGTTTCAGGTACATTATGATGATACTGATGTAAAATTTTGCAGCCTTAGGTTCTTCCTGTTTAAATCTTTTCAAAACTACTTCATTTGTCATTTTTGGGTGGGAATCTTTTTTTTTTGCAAAGGCAATATGGTCAAATATGCAAAGTTCGGTCAGTGTAAAAGATGGCACTCCACATGGACTTCTGCAGTTCAAAAAGGGCATGGTCCCTTACAGCATGTCTTTGTTCATCTTTCTTTCTTCTCTTTCCCCCTATTTGGAATCAGTTCCATCTGTGATTCCTTAGCTGGTTAAATTGATCCCCCCAAACACTTTCATGACAAAATGATTGAATCAAATTGGATTACAACATTGAATGGTTATCTTTTTAATTATGTTTTCTTTACAGTCAAGGATCCATTGTAGTCGACGCTGAGCTGGTATTCAATGATGTCAGCTCTCTCCCAAATACCAGTTCAGTGGCTAACACTATGGTGGCTGCTGCTTCCAGCTCCAATTTCTCCCTCAGTGTTGACACATCATCCATTGTTGTCACAAGTAAGATCTTAATGCTAGCCATGAAGTCATTTGCTTCAAGCAATTTCTTTTTCATTTTTGTTTAAGCAGTATTTGTTTTCAAAAGACATATTTACATTAATGTAACTTGAGATGATGTCTCCTCTTTGCAGCTGTGTCAACACCAACACAAGCCCCCGCTCAGGTGACATTTTCAACAGCATTTACATCATCACAGAGCAGTTCAACTTTGGCAGCCATTGCTACAACCTCACCATCAATTGAAACAACTTCAGGGCAGCAGTCAACATTACTGCAACCAAGTACATCGACACCTGGTCTTACCACATCGCCACTCGAGACTTCAGCTTTGGTAACCACAACTGGAATTCCTGGAACATCACTTGCAACCCCAGTAGCAACCACTTCAGAGTCAGTCAGGACCACCTCAACACAAATCACTGCGACATCATCCTCAGCAACCCTAAGTTCAGCCCATCATCTCTACCAGTCAGTCACCTGAGACAGCGAGCACACAGCCAGTCGGTACAACTTCATCCACACTCCAAACAGTTTCAACAACACTTGACACCAGTACAGCACAAGGAACATCCCAAATACCAACCCTGAGCACAACCTTGGAAACTGCTACATCATCACAGAGCAGTTCAACTTTGGCAGCCATTGCTACAACTTCACCATCAATTGAAACAACTTCAGGGCAGCAGACAACATTACTGCAACCAGCTACATCGACACCTGATCTTACCACATCGCCACTCAGGACTTCGGCTTTGGTAACCACAACTGGAATTCCTGGAACATCATCAGCAACCCCACTAGCAACCACTTCAGAGTCAGTCAGGACCACCTCAACACAAGTCACTGCGACATCATCCTCGGCAACCCTAAGTTCAGCCCTCATCTCTACCAGTCAGTTACCTGAGACAGCGAGCACACAGCCAGTCGGTACAACTTCATCCACACTCCAAACAGTTTCAACAACACTTGACACCAGTACAGCACAAGGAACATCCCAAATACCAACACTGAGCACAACCTTGGAAACTGCTACATCATCACAGAGCAGTTCAACTTTGGCAGCCATTGCTACAACTTCACCATCAATTGAAACAACTTCAGGGCAGCAGACAACATTGTTGCAACCAGCTACGTCAACTCCTGATCTGACAACTTTACACATCTCAACATCTTCCTCCACCCCAGTTATCACATCGATTGGTCCAACCACCTCCCTGTCAGGCACATCTTCAGCAGCACCATCAGTTGCAGCATCTACTGCCTTAGAAACAACCACAACAATTGCCCCACAGCTTGAGCCAAAAATATCTTTGGTATTCAAAGTGCAGCAGAATTTTACCTCAGAGCTTGCAAATACATCCTCACCAGAGTTCAAGGCATTGGAAAGCCAAGTATCATCAGCGGTAAGCCTTTACATCCTTCATTGATTAATATGTAACTTTATCAACAAATTGACATCACATCCTGCAGTAACGCAACAATCATGTAATATACAAACAAATATATCACATTACAAAATGTCAAATTTAATGTTTTTAGAGGATCTCTAAGAATCACCTTGAAATGACACATAGGCTGGGAGCCAGTCAGGTGCCGACCTTGAATAATGCAGCTCATAGCAAGGTTGTTGTACTGAGAAGACAGTTGTAGTCATGGATACAGCTGGTATCAAGAATGTAAAGACTCCTCAATAGAACTTATTATTTAAATGCTGATTCTTCAGTTACAGATGAAAGAGCTTGCAAAATCTCTTACTAGTTTGCTCAGTCTCTTATTAATTTTGACACAAGTTGCTCTGATTCTCTGTACACTCATGCCCATTACAAAAACACAAAAAGACATCCAGGCTTTTTTTGTGATACTCTAAATTCTAAAGACACACACTCCTTTTCATAAATGTCAGAAATGTATTTTCTCTGACTTTTGCAATTGTTCTCCAAAATTTGTCTTTCACAGCTTGACCAAGTTTATTCGGCTCAATATGGATCTAGCTTCAACAAGACGGTGATCAAGGGTTTCAGGTACATTATGATGATACTGATGTAAAATTTTGCAGCCTTAGGTTCTTCCTGTTTAAATCTTTTCAAAACTACTTCATTTGTCATTTTTGGGTGGGAATCTTTTTTTTGCAAAGGCAATATGGTCAAATATGCAAAGTTCGGTCAGTGTAAAAGATGGCACTCCACATGGACTTCTGCAGTTCAAAAAGGGCATGGTCCCTTACAGCATGTCTTTGTTCATCTTTCTTTCTTCTCTTTCCCCCTATTTGGAATCAGTTCCATCTGTGATTCCTTAGCTGGTTAAATTGATCCCCCCAAACACTTTCATGACAAAATGATTGAATCAAATTGGATTACAACATTGAATGGTTATTTTTTTAATTATGTTTTCTTTACAGTCAAGGATCCATTGTAGTCGACGCTGAGCTGGTATTCAATGATGTCAGCTCTCTCCCAAATACCAGTTCAGTGGCTAACACTATGGTGGCTGCTGCTTCCAGCTCCAATTTCTCCCTCAGTGTTGACACATCATCCATTGTTGTCACAAGTAAGATCTTAATGCTAGCCATGAAGTCATTTGCTTCAAGCAATTTCTTTTTCATTTTTGTTTAAGCAGTATTTGTTTTCAAAAGACATATTTACATTAATGTAACTTGAGATGATGTCTCCTCTTTGCAGCTGTGTCAACACCAACACAAGCCCCCGCTCAGGTGACATTTTCAACAGCATTTACATCATCACAGAGCAGTTCAACTTTGGCAGCCATTGCTACAACCTCACCATCAATTGAAACAACTTCAGGGCAGCAGTCAACATTACTGCAACCAAGTACATCGACACCTGGTCTTACCACATCGCCACTCGAGACTTCAGCTTTGGTAACCACAACTGGAATTCCTGGAACATCACTTGCAACCCCAGTAGCAACCACTTCAGAGTCAGTCAGGACCACCTCAACACAAGTCACTGCGACATCATCCTCGGCAACCCTTAGTTCAGCCCTCATCTCTACCAGTCAGTCACCTGAGACAGCGAGCACACAGCCAGTCGGTACAACTTCATCCACACTCCAAACAGTTTCAACAACACTTGACACCAGTACAGCACAAGGAACATCCCAAATACCAACACTGAGCACAACCTTGGAAACTGCTACATCATCACAGAGCAGTTCAACTTTGGCAGCCATTGCTACAACTTCACCATCAATTGAAACAACTTCAGGGCAGCAGACAACATTGTTGCAACCAGCTACATCGACACCTGATCTTACCACATCGCCACTCGGGACTTCAGCTTTGGTAACCACAACTGGAATTCCTGGAACATCATCAGCAACCCCACTAGCAACCACTTCAGAGTCAGTCAGGACCACCTCAACACAAGTCACTGCGACATCATCCTCAGCAACCCTAAGTTCAGCCCTCATCTCTACCAGTCAGTCACCTGAGACAGCGAGCACACAGCCAGTCGGTACAACTTCATCCACACTCCAAACAGTTTCAACAACACTTGACACCAGTACAGCACAAGGAACATCCCAAATACCAACACTGAGCACAACCTTGGAAACTGCTACATCATCACAGAGCAGTTCAACTTTGGCAGCCATTGCTACAACTTCACCATCAATTGAAACAACTTCAGGGCAGCAGACAACATTGTTGCAACCAGCTACGTCAACTCCTGATCTGACAACTTTACACATCTCAACATCTTCCTCCACCCCAGTTATCACATCGATTGGTCCAACCACCTCCCTGTCAGGCACATCTTCAGCAGCACCATCAGTTGCAGCATCTACTGCCTTAGAAACAACCACAACAATTGCCCCACAGCTTGAGCCAAAAATATCTTTGGTATTCAAAGTGCAGCAGAATTTTACCTCAGAGCTTGCAAATACATCCTCACCAGAGTTCAAGGCATTGGAAAGCCAAGTATCATCAGCGGTAAGCCTTTACATCCTTCATTGATTAATATGTAACTTTATCAACAAATTGACATCACATCCTGCAGTAACGCAACAATCATGTAATATACAAACAAATATATCACATTACAAAATGTCAAATTTAATGTTTTTAGAGGATCTCTAAGAATCACCTTGAAATGACACATAGGCTGGGAGCCAGTCAGGTGCCGACCTTGAATAATGCAGCTCATAGCAAGGTTGTTGTACTGAGAAGACAGTTGTAGTCATGGATACAGCTGGTATCAAGAATGTAAAGACTCCTCAATAGAACTTATTATTTAAATGCTGATTCTTCAGTTACAGATGAAAGAGCTTGCAAAATCTCTTACTAGTTTGCTCAGTCTCTTATTAATTTTGACACAAGTTGCTCTGATTCTCTGTACACTCATGCCCATTACAAAAACACAAAAAGACATCCAGGCTTTTTTTGTGATACTCTAAATTCTAAAGACACACACTCCTTTTCATAAATGTCAGAAATGTATTTTCTCTGACTTTTGCAATTGTTCTCCAAAATTTGTCTTTCACAGCTTGACCAAGTTTATTCGGCTCAATATGGATCTAGCTTCAACAAGACGGTGATCAAGGGTTTCAGGTACATTATGATGATACTGATGTAAAATTTTGCAGCCTTAGGTTCTTCCTGTTTAAATCTTTTCAAAACTACTTCATTTGTCATTTTTGGGTGGGAATCTTTTTTTTTTGCAAAGGCAATATGGTCAAATATGCAAAGTTCGGTCAGTGTAAAAGATGGCACTCCACATGGACTTCTGCAGTTCAAAAAGGGCATGGTCCCTTACAGCATGTCTTTGTTCATCTTTCTTTCTTCTCTTTCCCCCTATTTGGAATCAGTTCCATCTGTGATTCCTTAGCTGGTTAAATTGATCCCCCCAAACACTTTCATGACAAAATGATTGAATCAAATTGGATTACAACATTGAATGGTTATTTTTTTAATTATGTTTTCTTTACAGTCAAGGATCCATTGTAGTCGACGCTGAGCTGGTATTCAATGATGTCAGCTCTCTCCCAAATACCAGTTCAGTGGCTAACACTATGGTGGCTGCTGCTTCCAGCTCCAATTTCTCCCTCAGTGTTGACACATCATCCATTGTTGTCACAAGTAAGATCTTAATGCTAGCCATGAAGTCATTTGCTTCAAGCAATTTCTTTTTCATTTTTGTTTAAGCAGTATTTGTTTTCAAAAGACATATTTACATTAATGTAACTTGAGATGATGTCTCCTCTTTGCAGCTGTGTCAACACCAACACAAGCCCCCGCTCAGGTGACATTTTCAACAGCATTTACATCATCACAGAGCAGTTCAACTTTGGCAGCCATTGCTACAACCTCACCATCAATTGAAACAACTTCAGGGCAGCAGTCAACATTACTGCAACCAAGTACATCGACACCTGGTCTTACCACATCGCCACTCGAGACTTCAGCTTTGGTAACCACAACTGGAATTCCTGGAACATCACTTGCAACCCCAGTAGCAACCACTTCAGAGTCAGTCAGGACCACCTCAACACAAATCACTGCGACATCATCCTCAGCAACCCTAAGTTCAGCCCTCATCTCTACCAGTCAGTCACCTGAGACAGCAAGCACACAGCCAGTCGGTACAACTTCATCCACACTCCAAACAGTTTCAACAACACTTGACACCAGTACAGCACAAGGAACATCCCAAATACCAACACTGAGCACAACCTTGGAAACTGCTACATCATCACAGAGCAGTTCAACTTTGGCAGCCATTGCTACAACTTCACCATCAATTGAAACAACTTCAGGGCAGCAGACAACATTGTTGCAACCAGCTACGTCAACTCCTGATCTGACAACTTTACACATCTCAACATCTTCCTCCACCCCAGTTATCACATCGATTGGTCCAACCACCTCCCTGTCAGGCACAACTTCAGCAGCACCATCAGTTGCAGCATCTACTGCCTTAGAAACAACCACAACAATTGCCCCACAGCTTGAGCCAAAAATATCTTTGGTATTCAAAGTGCAGCAGAATTTTACCTCAGAGCTTGCAAATACATCCTCACCAGAGTTCAAGGCATTGGAAAGCCAAGTATCATCAGCGGTAAGCCTTTACATCCTTCATTGATTAATATGTAACTTTATCAACAAATTGACATCACATCCTGCAGTAACGCAACAATCATGTTATATACAAACAAATATATCACATTACAAAATGTCAAATTTAATGTTTTTAGAGGATCTCTAAGAATCACCTTGAAATGACACATAGGCTGGGAGCCAGTCAGGTGCCGACCTTGAATAATGCAGCTCATAGCAAGGTTGTTGTACTGAGAAGACAGTTGTAGTCATGGATACAGCTGGTATCAAGAATGTAAAGACTCCTCAATAGAACTTATTATTTAAATGCTGATTCTTCAGTTACAGATGAAAGAGCTTGCAAAATCTCTTACTAGTTTGCTCAGTCTCTTATTAATTTTGACACAAGTTGCTCTGATTCTCTGTACACTCATGCCCATTACAAAAACACAAAAAGACATCCAGGCTTTTTTTGTGATACTCTCAATTCTAAAGACACACACTCCTTTTCATAAATGTCAGAAATGTATTTTCTCTGACTTTTGCAATTGTTCTCCAAAATTTGTCTTTCACAGCTTGACCAAGTTTATTCGGCTCAATATGGATCTAGCTTCAACAAGACGGTGATCAAGGGTTTCAGGTACATTATGATGATACTGATGTAAAATTTTGCAGCCTTAGGTTCTTCCTGTTTAAATCTTTTCAAAACTACTTCATTTGTCATTTTTGGGTGGGAATCTTTTTTTTTTGCAAAGGCAATATGGTCAAATATGCAAAGTTCGGTCAGTGTAAAAGATGGCACTCCACATGGACTTCTGCAGTTCAAAAAGGGCATGGTCCCTTACAGCATGTCTTTGTTCATCTTTCTTTCTTCTCTTTCCCCCTATTTGGAATCAGTTCCATCTGTGATTCCTTAGCTGGTTAAATTGATCCCCCCAAACACTTTCATGACAAAATGATTGAATCAAATTGGATTACAACATTGAATGGTTATTTTTTTAATTATGTTTTCTTTACAGTCAAGGATCCATTGTAGTCGACGCTGAGCTGGTATTCAATGATGTCAGCTCTCTCCCAAATACCAGTTCAGTGGCTAACACTATGGTGGCTGCTGCTTCCAGCTCCAATTTCTCCCTCAGTGTTGACACATCATCCATTGTTGTCACAAGTAAGATCTTAATGCTAGCCATGAAGTCATTTGCTTCAAGCAATTTCTTTTTCATTTTTGTTTAAGCAGTATTTGTTTTCAAAAGACATATTTACATTAATGTAACTTGAGATGATGTCTCCTCTTTGCAGCTGTGTCAACACCAACACAAGCCCCCGCTCAGGTGACATTTTCAACAGCATTTACATCATCACAGAGCAGTTCAACTTTGGCAGCCATTGCTACAACCTCACCATCAATTGAAACAACTTCAGGGCAGCAGTCAACATTACTGCAACCAAGTACATCGACACCTGGTCTTACCACATCGCCACTCAGGACTTCAGCTTTGGTAACCACAACTGGAATTCCTGGAACATCACTTGCAACCCCAGTAGCAACCACTTCAGAGTCAGTCAGGACCACCTCAACAAAAGTCACTGCGACATCATCCTCAGCAACCCTAAGTTCAGCCCTCATCTCTACCAGTCAGTCACCTGAGACAGCGAGCACACAGCCAGTCGGTACAACTTCATCCACACTCCAAACAGTTTCAACAACACTTGACACCAGTACAGCACAAGGAACATCCCAAATACCAACACTGAGCACAACCTTGGAAACTGCTACATCATCACAGAGCAGTTCAACTTTGGCAGCCATTGCTACAACTTCACCATCAATTGAAACAACTTCAGGGCAGCAGACAACATTGTTGAAACCAGCTACATCGACACCTGATCTTACCACATCGCCACTCGGGACTTCAGCTTTGGTAACCACAACTGGAATTCCTGGAACATCACTTGCAACCCCAGTAGCAACCACTTCAGAGTCAGTCAGGACCACCTCAACACAAGTCACTGCGACATCATCCTCGGCAACCCTTAGTTCAGCCCTCATCTCTACCAGTCAGTCACCTGAGACAGCGAGCACACAGCCAGTAATTACAACTTCATCCACACTCCAAACAGTTTCAACAACACTTGACACCAGTACAGCACAAGGAACATCCCAAATACCAACCCTGAGCACAACCTTGGAAACTGCTACATCATCACAGAGCAGTTCAACTTTGGCAGCCATTGCTACAACTTCACCATCAATTGAAACAACTTCAGGGCAGCAGACAACATTGTTGCAACCAGCTACGTCAACTCCTGATCTGACAACTTTACACATCTCAACATCTTCCTCCACCCCAGTTATCACATCGATTGGTCCAACCACCTCCCTGTCAGGCACAACTTCAGCAGCACCATCAGTTGCAGCATCTACTGCCTTAGAAACAGCCACAACAATTGCCCCACAGCTTGAGCCAAAAATATCTTTGGTATTCAAAGTGCAGCAGAATTTTACCTCAGAGCTTGCAAATACATCCTCACCAGAGTTCAAGGCATTGGAAAGCCAAGTATCATCAGCGGTAAGCCTTTACATTCTTCATTGATTAATATGTAACTTTATCAACAAATTGACATCACATCCTGCAGTAACGCAACAATCATGTAATATACAAACAAATATATCACATTACAAAATGTCAAATTTAATGTTTTTAGAGGATCTCTAAGAATCACCTTGAAATGACACATAGGCTGGGAGCCAGTCAGGTGCCGACCTTGAATAATGCAGCTCATAGCAAGGTTGTTGTACTGAGAAGACAGTTGTAGTCATGGATACAGCTGGTATCAAGAATGTAAAGACTCCTCAATAGAACTTATTATTCAAATGCTGATTCTTCAGTTACAGATGAAAGAGCTTGCAAAATCTCTTACTAGTTTGCTCAGTCTCATTAATTTTGACACAAGTTGCTCTCATTCTCTGTACACTCATGCCCATTACAAAAACACAAAAAGACATCCAGGCTTTTTTTGTGATACTCTCAATTCTAAAGACACACACTTCTTTTCATAAACGTCAGAAATGTATTTTCTGACTTTTGCAATTGTTCTCCAAAATGTGTCTTTCACAGCTTGACCAAGTTTATTCGGCTCAATATGGATCTAGCTTCAACAAGACGGTGATCAAGGGTTTCAGGTACATGATGATGATGATGATGTAAAATTTTGCAGCCTTAGGTTCTTCCTGTTTAAATCTTTCCAAATATGCTTCATTTGTCATTTTTGGGGAGGGAACCAAATTTTCTTTTAGCAAAGGCAATATGGTCAAATATGCAAAGTTCAGTCACTATAAAAAGATCTCCACATGAACCCCCATGCAGTTAAAAAAGGGCATGGTCCCTAACTGCATGTCTTCATCTTTCATAACAAAATGATTTAATCCAATTGGGTTACAACATTGACTGGTTATCTTTTTGATGATATTTTCTTTACAGTCAAGGATCCGTTGTAGTCGACGCTGAGCTGGTATTCAATGATGTCAGCTCTCTCCCAAATACCAGTTCAGTGGCTGACACTTTGGTGTCTGCTGCTTCCAGCTCTAATTTCTCTCTCAGTGTTGACACATCATCCATTGTTGTCACAAGTAAGATCTTAATGCTAGCCATGAAGTAATTTGCTTCAAGCTATTTTTTTAAATTGTTGTTTAAGCAATGTTTGTTTTTAAAAGACACATATACATTAATGTAACTTGAGATATTGTCTCCTCTTTGCAGCTGTGTCAACACCAACACAAGCCCCCGCTCAGGTGACATTTTCAACAACATTTACATCATCACAGAGCAGTTCAACTTTGGCAGCCATCACTACAACTTCACCATCAATTGAAACAACTTCAGGGCAGCAGTCAACATTGCTGCAACCAGCTACATCGACACCTGATCTTACCACATCGCCACTCAGGACTTCGGCTTTGGTAACCACAACTGGAATTCCTGGAAAATCATCAGCAACCCCAGTAGCAACCACCTCAGAGTCAGTCAGGACCACCTCAACACAAGTCACTGCGACATCATCCTCGGCAACCCTAAGTTCAGCCCTCATCTCTACCAGTCAGTCACCTGAGACAGCAAGCACACAGCCAATTACAACTCCACTGACACTCCAAACAGTTTCAACAACACTTGACACCAGTACAGCACAAGGAACATCCCAAATACCAACCCTGAGCACAACCTTGGAAACTGCTACATCATCACAGAGCAGTTCAACTTTGGCAGCCATTGCTACAACTTCACCATCAATTGAAACAACTTCAGGGCAGCAGACAACATTGTTGCAACCAGCTACGTCAACTCCTGATCTGACAACTTTAAAAACCTCAACATCTTTCTCCACCCTAGTCATCACATCGATTGGACCAAGCACCTCCCTGTCAGGCACATCTTCAGCAGCACCATCAGTTGCAGCATCTACTGCCTTAGAAACAACCACAACAATTGCCCCACAGCTTGAGCCAAAAATATCTTTGGTATTCAAAGTGCAGCAGAATTTTACCTCAGAGCTTGCAAATACATCCTCACCAGAGTTCAAGGCATTGGAAAGCCAAGTATCATCAGCGGTAAGCCTTTACATTCTTCATTGATTAATATGTAACTTTATCAACAAATTGACATCACATCCTGCAGTAATGCAACAATCATGTAATATACTAACAAATATATCACATTACAAAACATCAAATTTAATGTTTTTAGAGCATCTTTAAGAATAACCTTGAAAACAGACATGGGCTGGGAGCCAGTCAGGTGCCAACCTTGAGTAATGCAGCTCATAGCAAGGTTGTTGTACTGAGAAGACAGTTGTAGTCATGGATACAGCTGGTATCATGAGTGTAAAGACTCCTCAATAGAACTTATTATTCAAATGCTGATTCTTCAGTTACAGATGAAAGAGCTTGCAAAATCTCTTACTCGTTAACTCAATCTCCTTCTGTTTTGACATAAGTTGATCTTATTCTCTCTACACACATATCCACTAAAAAAACACAAAAGGGAATCCAGGCTTTTTTGTGATACTCTTTATTTCCAAAAACACACACTTCTTTTCATCAATGTCAGAAATGTATTTTCTCTGACTTTTGCAATTGTTCTCCAAAATGTGTCTTTCACAGCTTGACCAAGTTTATTCGGCTCAATATGGATCTAGCTTCAACAAGACGGTGATCAAGGGTTTCAGGTACATTATGATGATACTGATGTAAAATTTTGCAGCCTTAGGTTCTTCCTGTTTAAATCTTTTCAAATATGCTTCATTTGTCATTTTTGGGTTGGATTTTTTTTTTTTTTGGCAAAGGCAATATGGTCAAATATGCAAAGTTCGGTCACTATAAAAGATGGCACTCCATATGGACCCCTGCAGTTCAAAAAGGGCATGGTCCCTAACTGCATGTCTTCATCTTTCATAACAAAATGATTTAATCCAATTGGGTTACAACATTGACTGGTTATCTTTTTGATGATATTTTCTTTACAGTCAAGGATCCGTTGTAGTCGACGCTGAGCTGGTATTCAATGATGTCAGCTCTCTCCCAAATACCAGTTCAGTGGCTGACACTTTGGTGTCTGCTGCTTCCAGCTCTAATTTCTCCCTCAGTGTTGACACATCATCCATTGTTGTCACAAGTAAGATCTTAATGCTAGCTATAGAGTCTGTTGCTTTAAGCAATTTCTTTTAATTGTTGTTTAAGCAATGTTTGTTTTCAAAAGACACATATGCATTAATGTAACTTGAGATGATGTCTCCTCTTTGCAGCTGTGTCAACACCAACACAAGCCCCTGCTCAGGTGACATTTTCAACAGCATTTACATCATCACAGAGCAGTTCAACTTTGGCAGCCATCACTACAGCCTCACCATCAATTAAAACAACTTCAGGGCAGCAGTCAACATTGCTGCAACCAACTACATTGACACCTGATCTCACCACATCGTCACTCGGGACTTCAGCTTTGGTAACCACAGCTGGAATTCCTGGAACATCATCTGCAACCCCATTAGCAATTACTTCAGAGTCAGTCAGGACCACCTCAACACAAGTCACTGCAACATCATCCTCGGCAACCCTAAGTTCAGCCCTTATCTCTACCAGTCAATCACCTGAGACAGCAAGCACACAGCCAGCCATTACAACTCCATTGACACTCCAAACTGATTCAACAACACTTGACACCAGTACAGCACAAGGAACATCCCAAATACCAACCCTAAGCACAACCTTGGAAACTGCCACATCATCACAGAGCAGTTCAACTTTGGCAGCCATTGCTACAACTTCACCATCAATTGATACAACTTCAGGGCAGCAGACAACATCGTTACAACCTACTACGTCAACTCCTGATCTGACAACTTTACACATCTCAACATCTTCCTCCACCCCAGTTATCACATCAGATGTTCCAACCACCTCCCTGCTCGGCACAACTATAGCAGCACCATCAGTTGCAACCCCTACTGCCTCAGAAACAACCAAAACAATTGCCCCACAGCTTGAGCCAAAAATATCTTTAGTATTCAAAGTGCAGCAGAATTTTACCTCAGAGCTTGCAAATACATCCTCACCAGAGTTCAAGGCATTGGAAAGCCAAGTATCATCAGCGGTAAGCCTTTACATTCTTCATTGATTAATATGTAACTTTATCAACAAATTGACATCACATCCTGCAGTAATGCAACAATCATGTAATATACTTACAAATATATCACATATGCCTTTTTCAAATTTTATTTTCTTAAGAGCATCTTTAAGAATAACCTTTTAATGAGACAGGCTTAGAGCCAGTCAGGTGCCAACCTTGAGTAATGCAGCTCATAGCAAGGTTGTTGTACTGAGAAGACAGTTGTAGTCATGGATACAGCTGGTATCATGAGTGTAAAAACTCATCAATTTAACTTAATATTCAAATGCTGATTCTTAAGTTACAGATGAAAGAGCTTGCAAAATCCTTTACTAGTTTACTCAATCTCCTATTATTTTGACACACAATCTTTCATTTTCTCTACACACATATCCATTAAAAAATACAAAAGGGAATCCAGGCTTTTTTGTGATACTCTTAATTCTAAAGACACACACTTCTGTTCATAAATGTCAGAAATGTATTTTCTCTGACTTTTAAAATCATTCTCCAAAATTTGTCTTTCACAGCTTGACCAAGTTTATTCGGCTCAATATGGATCTAGCTTCAACAGGACAGTGATCAAGGGTTTCAGGTACATGATGATGATACTGATATGACTTTTGCAGCCTCAGGTTCTTCCTGTTTGAATATCCTAAATGTACCTTAAAAACAAAAAAAAGTCAAAATAGTCAAACATGCAGAGTTCTGTCAGTGTAAAAGATTTCACTTTGCATGGACCCCTGCAGTTAAAAAAAGGTCATATCCCCTTGCTGCATTTTTTTCCTCATCTTTCAATCTTTTCTCTTCCAATCTGGAATCAGCCCCACCTCTGATTCCTTAGCTGGTCCCTAAGCATTGATCCCCCCAAACAATTTAATAACAAAATGATTGAATCAAAATTGTATAACAACATTAAATGGTTAACTTTTTGATGATATTTTCTTTACAGTCAAGGATCCATTGTAGTTGACGCTGAGCTGGTATTCAATGATGTCAGCTCTCTCCCAAATACCGGTTCTGTGGCTGACACTTTGGTGTCTGCTGCTTCCAACTCTAATTTCTCTCTCAGTGTCGACACATCATCCATTGTTGTCACAAGTAAGATCTGAATGCTAGCAATGAAGTAATTTGCTTTAAGCAATTTTTTTAAATTGTTGTTTAAGCAATGTTTGTTTTCAAAAGACACATTTACAGTAATGTAACTTGAGATAATGTCTCCTCTTTGCAGCTGTGTCAACACCGACACAAGCCCCTGCTCAGGTGACATTTTCAACAACATTTACATCATCACAGAGCAGTTCAACTTTGGCAGCCATCATTACAACCTCACCATCAATTGAAACAACTTCAGGGCAGCAGTCAACATTGCTGCAACCAACTACATTGACACCTGATCTCACCACATCGCCACTCGGGACTTCAGCTTTGGTAACCACAGCTGGAATTCCTGGAACATCATCTGCAACCCCAGTAGCAACCACTTCAGAGTCAGTAAGGACCACCTCAACACAAGTCACTGCGACATCATCCTCGGCAACCCTAAGTTCAGCCCTCATCTCTACCAGTCAATTAGCTGAAACAGCAAGCACACAGCCAGCCATTACAACTCCATCGACACTCCAAACTGTTTTAACAACACTTGACACCAGTACAGCACAAGGAACATCCCGAAAACCAACCCTGAGCACAACCTTGGAAACTGCTACATCCTCACAGAGCAGTTCAACTTTGGCAGCCATTGCTACAACTTCACCATCAATTGAAACAACTTCAGGGCAGCAGACAACATTGTTTCAACCTACTACGTCAACTCCTGATCTGACAACTTTACACATCTCAACATCTTCCTCCACCCCAGTTATCACATCAATTGTTCCAACCGACTCCCTGTTAGGCACAACTATAGCAGCACCATCAGTTGTAACCCCTACTGCCTCAGAAACAACAACAACAATTGCCTCGCAGCTTGAGCCAAAAATATCTTTGGTATTCAAAGTGCAGCAGAATTTTACTTCAGAGCTTACAAATACATCCTCACCAGAGTACAAGGCATTGGAAAGCCAAGTATCAACCGCGGTAAGCCTTTACATTCTTCATTGATTAATATGTAACTTTATCAACAAATTGACATCACATCCTGCAGTTTTGCAACAATCATGTAATATACTTACAAATATATCACATATGCCTTTTTCAAATTTTATTTTCTTAAGAGCATCTTTAAGAATAACCTTTTAATGAGACAGGCTTAGAGCCAGTCAGGTGCCAACCTTGAGTAATGCAGCTCATAGCAAGGTTGTTGTACTGAGAAGACAGTTGTTGTCATAGATACAGCTGGTATCATGAGTGTAAAAACTCCTCAGTAGAACTTATTATTCAAATGCTGATTCTTCAGTTACAGATGAAAGAGCTTGCAAAATCTTTTACTAGTTTACTCAATCTCCTATTATTTTGACACACAATCTTTCATTTTCTCTACACACATATCCATTAAAAAATACAAAAGGGAATCCAGGCTTTTTTGTGATGCTCTTAATTCTAAAGACACACACTTCTGTTCATAAATGTCAGAAATGTATTTTCTCTGACTTTTAAAATCATTCTCCAAAATTTGTCTTTCACAGCTTGACCAAGTTTATTCGGCTCAATATGGATCTAGCTTCAACAGGACAGTGATCAAGGGTTTCAGGTACATGATGATGATACTGATATGACTTTTGCAGCCTCAGGTTCTTCCTGTTTGAATATCCTAAATGTACCTTAAAAACAAAAAAAAGTCAAAATAGTCAAACATGCAGAGTTCTGTCAGTGTAAAAGATTTCACTTTGCATGGACCCCTGCAGTTAAAAAAAGGTCATATCCCCTTGCTGCATTTTTTTTCCTCATCTTTCAATCTTTTCTCTTCCCTCAATCTGGAATCAGCCCCACCTCTGATTCCTTAGCTGGTTAAGTTGATCCCCCCAAACAATTTAATAACAAAATGATTGAATCAAAATTGTATAACAACATTAAATGGTTAACTTTTTGATGATATTTTCTTTACAGTCAAGGATCCATTGTAGTTGACGCTGAGCTGGTATTTAATGATGTCAGCTCTCTCCCAAATACCAGTTCTGTGGCTGACACTTTGGTGTCTGCTGCTTCCAGCTCTAATTTCTCCCTCAGTGTCGACACATCATCCATTGTTGTCACAAGTAAGATCTTAATGCTAGCTATAGAGTCTGTTGCTTTAACCAATTTTTTTAAATTGTTGTTTAAGCAATATTTGTTTTCAAAAGACACATTTACATTAATGTAACTTGAGATGATGTCTCCTCTTTGCAGCTGTGTCAACACCAACACAAGCCCCCGCTCAGGTGACATTTTCAACAGCATTTACATCATCACAGAGCAGTTCAACTTTGGCAGCCATTACTACAACTTCTCCATCAATTGAAACAACTTCAGGGCAGCAGACAACATTGTTGCAACCAGCTACATCAACTCCTGATCTTACCACATTGCCACTTGGGACTTCAGCTTTGGTAACCACAGCTGGAATTCCTGGAACATCATCAGCAACCCCAGTAGCAACCACTTCAGAGTCAGTAAGGACCACCTCAACACAAGTCACTGCGACATCATCCTCGGCAACCCTAAGTTCAGCCCACATCTCTACCAGTCAATCACCTGAGACAGCAAGCACACAGCCAGCTATTACAACTCCATCGACACTCCAAACAGTTTCAACAACACTTGACACCAGTACAGCACAAGGAACATCCCAGATACCATCCCTAAGCACAACCTTGGAAACTGCTACATCATCACAGAGCAGTTCAACTTTGGCAGCCATTGCTACAACTTCACCATCAATTGAAACAACTTTAGGGCAGCAGACAACATCGTTACAACCTACTACGTCAACTCCTGATCTGACAACTTTACATATCTCAACATCTTCCTCCACCCCAGTTATCACATCAGATGTTCCAACCACCTCCCTGCTCGGCACAACTATAGCAGCAACATCAGTTCCAACCACTACTGCCTCAGAAACAACAACAATTGCCTCTCAGCTTGAGCAAAAAATATCTTTGGTATTCAACTTGCAGCAGAATTTTACTTCAGAGCTTACAAATACATCCTCACCAGAGTACAAGGCATTGGAAAGCCAAGTATCAACAGCGGTAAGCCTTCAAATTCTTCATTGATTAATATGTAACTTTATCAACAAATTGACATCACATCCTGCAGTAATGCAACAATTATGTAATATACCAACAAATATATCACATATGCCTTTTTCAAATTTTATTTTCTTAAGAGCATCTCTAAGAATCACCTTGAAATGAGATATAGGCTTAGAGCCAGTCAGGTGCCAACCTTGAGTAATGCAGCTCATAGCAAGGTTGTTGTACTGAGAAGACAGTTGTAGTCATGGATACAGCTGGTATCATGAGTGTAAAAACTCTTCAATAGAACTTATTATTAAAATGCTGATTCTTCAGTTACAGATGAAAGAGCTTGCGAAATCTCTCCCTATTTTACTCAGTTTCTTATCAATTTTGACATAAGTTGCTCTTATTCTCTCCACACACATCTATTAAAAAACACAAAGAGCAATCCAGGCTTTTTTGTGATACTCATTATTCTTAAGACACACACTTCTTTTCATAAATTGTAGAAATGTATTTTCTCTGACTTTTACAATCATGCTCTTAAATGTGCCTTTCACAGCTTGACCAAGTTTATTCGGCTCAATATGGATCCAGCTTCAAAAGGACCGATATCAAGGGTTTCAGGTACATGATAATTATTCTTCTATAATTTTTGCAGCCATTGGTTCTTCCTTTTTGAAAACCTCTCAAAATGTACCTATTTAGTCCTTTTTCAGGGCGACACAACTTTTTTTTTTCACAAAGACAAAATAGTAAAACGTTCTTTTTTCCCCCTATTTTGAATCAGTTCTTTCTGTGATTCCTTAGCTGGTTAAATTGATCCCCCCAAACAATTTCATGATAAAATGTTTAAATTTAATTGGATAACAACATTAAATGGTTAACTTTTTGGTGATATTTTCTTTACAGTCAAGGATCCATTGTCGTCGATGCGGAGCTGGTATTTAATGATGCCAGCTCACTTCCAAGTACCAGTTCTGTGGCTGACACTTTGGTGTCTGCTGCTTCCAGCTCTACTTTTTCCCTCAGTGTCGACACATCATCCATTGTTGTCTCAAGTAAGATTTCAGTAAAATTCTAGCCATGGAGTCAGTCGTTTCAAGCAATTCTTTTCAATTGTTGTTTAAACAATATTTGTTTTCAAAAGATATTTTCACAATAATGTAACTTGAGATAATGTCTCGTTTTTACAGCTGTGTCAACACCAACACAAGCCTCTTCTCAAACGACATTTTCAACAACATTTACATCATCACAGAGCAGTTCAACTTTGGCAGCCATTGCTACAACTTCACCATCAATTGAAACAACTTCAGGGCAACCACAACCTGCGACGTCAACTTCTGATCTGACAACTTTACACATCTTAACATCTTCTTCAACTCCAGTTATCACATCAACTCTTCCAACCACCTCCCTGTCAGGCACAACTTCAGCAGCACCATCAGTTGCAGCATCTACTGCCTTAGAAACAACCACAACAATTGCCTCGCAGCTTGAGCCAAAAATATCTTTGGTATTCAAAGTGCAGCAGAATTTTACCTCAGAGCTTACAAATACATCCTCACCAGAGTACAAGGCATTGGAAAGCCAAGTATCAACAGCGGTAAGCCTTTACATTCTTCATTGATTAATATGTAACTTAATAAACTGTCATCACATACTACAGTTATGCAACAATCATTTGATATACTAACAAATATATTGCATAACTAAACTTTTTAAATTTTATTTTTTTAGAGCATCTCTAACAATGACCTAGAAATGAGACATGGGCTTGGAGCTAGTCAGGTGCCAACCTTGAATAATGCAGCTCATAGCAAAGTTGTTGTACAGCGAAGACAGTTGTAGTCATGGATACACCTGGTATCATGAGTGTAAAAACTCCTCAAAATAACTAATTATTAAAATGCTGATTCTTCAGTAACAGATGAAAGACCCTGCGAAATGAAAAAGCTTGCAAAATGTCTCACAAGTTGACTTAGTTTCTTATTTATTTTGACACAAGTTGCTCTCATTTTCTGTACACGCATCTTTCAAGAAAACACAAAAACAAATCCAGGCTTTTTTATGATACTCATTATTCTTACGACACACATTTCTTTTCATAAATTGTAGAAATGTATTTTCTCTGACTTTTTACCTTAAATAAATTTACTTTCACAGCTTGACCAAGTTTATTCGGCTCAATATGGATCTAGCTTCAACAAGACGGTGATCAACGGTTTCAGGTACATGATGATGATACTTATATAATTTTTGCAGCCTCAAGTTCTTCCTGTTTAAATCTCTCAAAATGTACCTATTTAGTCCTTTTTTTTTGGGGGGGGGGGGGCAACTTAAAAAAAAGGCATATAGTCAAACATGCAGGGTTCAATCAGTGTAAAGATAGACCAAATGGACCTCTGAATTTTGAAATTGGCATGGTCCCTTACTGCATGTCTTTCCTCATCCTTTTTTGTCCTCTTTTCCCCCTATTTGGAATCAGTTCCATCTGTGATTCCATAGCTGGTTAAATTGATCCCCCCAAACACTTTAACATATATTTAATTATATTTTCATTACAGTCAAGGATCCATTGTAGTCGATGCGGAGCTGGTATTCAATGATGCCAGCTCACTTCCAAGTACCAGCTCTGTGGCTGACACTTTGGTGGCTGCTGCTTCCAGCTCTAATTTCTCCCTCAGTGTCGACACATCATCCATTGAAGCAACATGTAAGACTTTTACTTTTTAATGCTAGATGTTAAATCACTTTTTGTAAAAAAAAATTAAAAAAAGTCTCATAAATGAAATGTATTTAAAACAACATACATTTTTAAGATTACAAGACTTTGTTTAACATTAATCTCCTTGACTAAAGTCAAGTCATTTCCAAAATCTAAATAAATGACAAATGCATCAGAGCAACTTTTACCTCCAGTGAACATCATCCTACCAATGATACATCATCACAGCCAATAAAACTACTTCTCCGATAGTCACTCAAACTTTCATCAGTGATAGCACTATTCTCTAGTAACAAACTTCAACTCCGATTTCTTCAGGTCAAACACTACTAAATACAAGTTTGAAACCAGCCTGCATGACTTCATCATTACCTGTGACAATTCTTCCATCTTTTCAACCAAGTCCATCATCTGCAAGATTATGCATATCACCCATCAAAACAAGTTCATAAACAGCAGCAACTTCAGCAACAGTCCTCAAGACAATACCATCAACCAATGAATCTCTAGACCAATTGATGACATGAAATCCAGTGAATAACTCATCCACTCTAGGTCAGGCCTCTTTACCCCTTGCAACTTTACCAACAGGTGTCATGACTGAAAAATCAATAGGAACAACTTTTCCATCACCAAGACAACCCTATCAACAGCAACTACAATTCTATCCCCATCACTGCAATTCAGGCATCATACAACGGAAGACTGCTAACAGCTGGTTCAAAATCATCTGCACTCACTATAATTTTCCAAGTGTGGATTCAAGTCAAGCACCAGCAACATCAAATATGTTCCCTATCAGCACAAGTACTCTAACCATAGCAAAAAGCCCAAACCTTGCAGTACAACTTCTGCACCATTTTTCAAGACATTTTTGAAAGTCTTTAAAGCTTTCGCACAACCAATGGCATCACTTTTTGTCAGTACCATATCAACTCCAGATCATACTTCATCGCTTGCATCTTTGTCAACTGTGTACAACAGCACAAGTATTATCTTTAGTGTCGATAGAGACATCTTTAGTCTTTCCAGAAACTCAACCTTCATCTTCCATCTCTGCAAGTCAAGCATCACAAAACTCATGCCGACTCATCAGTATGACTTCATTATCATTCATTAAAAATGATACACCTCTTAATTCAATTCCTGCATCAACAGCATCGAGTGGGACATCCATCAAAAGGCAATGCAATGTCAGCCTCAATTGTGAACCCCTTGTTATTTATCAATGCATATTTTTTGATGTCAAAGACACCACTGTCAATGATTTACCCATCCATCCCAGATCCAATACTGTTTCCACTTTCTTCTAATCAAAACAGCTGTAAAACCATTAAAGCCATCTCTAACATCAGTGACCTAACCTGGTGATGCAGCTATATTACTGGAGACCAACACTTTGCCTGCAGGCACTCAAATTTTACCTCTCATCTCTGCAAGTCAGACACTACTGAAAACAAGCCTGGATCCTGTAAGTTTGACTTCATCATAATCAAAGCTTCCAGCTTGAGCAACATCCAAATGCTACTTATCAGTGCACATCTATAAACAGTCATAAAACGCAGTACAACTACAGCATATGTCAAAGAGACAAACTTCACCAGGAGTTCTGACATCATGGCTGGTCAACTATACAATAACTCCTGAGCAAACCTCTTCATCGCTTGTAGTGTTTTCCCTTGTTAGCACAGGTGTAATACAAATACAAATACTAACACTAGCCAGCCCAACATTTGAATCCACAAAGACCCCTTTGCAACTAGTCAGGAGTCAGGACAACTTAAGAAAAAAGAATATTTTTTCAGCATTAAACCCAGCTCCACCTTATCACCATTTATTTCCCCAGATGTTTCTTCCACTGTCACAATCAGTGGAACATCAGAGGCACCATCAGTTGCAACATCCACTGCCTTAGAAACAACCGCATCCCCAGCCTCAGAGCCCAAAATCTTGTTGGAATTCAAATTGTTGGAGAATTTCACCGCAGAGCTTACAAATAAATCCTCACCAGAGTTCAAGACATTGGAAAACCAAGTGTCAACAGTGGTAAGTTTGCTTTCATATATATATATATGTATATGTATATGTATATATATATATACCTTCATTTAAACTGCTTCCCACATAGACAGTACCTGGGAGATCAAGTTACATAGATATTTGCACACACATAGATTTAAATTCAATCTAGATAATGGTTGACAACAAAGAGAAAACACACACACACACAGGCTCTTTTAAAATTAACCAAAGTATGACATGCTTTTCTTTTAATCTTTTGATAACTTTACAGCTTAACCAAGTTTATTCTGGTGCATTTGGAGACCGCTTCAACCGAACTGTGATCACTGGATTCAGGTACAAGATAATGTCTCTTAATCTTTTAATTTTAATAATGCTAAATTAATAACAATTTTCTGTGATGATCAATTGAGTCAAAACACAACCCTAGACAAACAAGTCTTCAATATGTCATCCTAACAGCCAAGGATCCATTGTAGTCAACGCTGAGCTGATTTTTAGAGATGTCAGCTCTTTACCAAGTGCCAGTTCTGTGGCTGACACTTTGGTGTCTGCTGCATCCAGCTCTAATTTCTCCCTTAGTGTCAACACATCATCCATTGTCGCAACAGGTACAAATCAACGTAATTGCTAGACATAAAATCTCTTTGTTTTAGTTTGTATTTGGATCTTACACAATCTGTTTAAAATCAATAATAATATTAATAATAATAATGATGATAACGATGATGGCTTATGAATTAACAAAATGTCAATTTTACAGCTCTGTTGGCACCAACACAAACCTCTGCTACAACTTCCATTACCCCACTGATAAAGTCCACGTCAGCTGTCAAAGGGACCACTACTGCTTCATCTCTGACCCTGTCAAGTCAACTACCAACAACATCTTCCTTGTCAATTCCCACCACAAGTTTGAAGCCACTCACAAGTTCCTCAGGGGAACAAGATCAAACTACTATGACTACTTCAATCACAGAGACCACAACTACAGCTTCAACTAATCCTCCTTCATCAAGTGAGGGAACACTTGGTCTTCAGTTTAGTCTCAACCAAACATTTACATCGGATCTCTTAAACTCTTCATCTACAGCATTTAAGACTCTGTCCATGACAGTGGTTTCTCAGGTATAAACATTTCCTTATATTATTGTCTGTCAGCACCTTTTGACAAAGGTCCCAGGATGTGATATTTCAGAATATTCATTCACCTTTCAAAAATGTTTGTGGCCTACAGTGGATATAAGAAGTCTACACACCCCCTGTTCAAATGCCAGGTTTTCGTGATGTAAGAAAATGACGGCAAGATAAATAATTTCACAATTTTTTCCACCTTTAATATGACCTATAACCTGTACAATGCAATTGAAAAACAAACTGAAACATTAAACGGGAAAAATAGAAAATAAAACTAAAATAACCTGGTTGCATAAATATGCACACCTTTAAACTAATACTTTGTTGCAGCACCTTTGGCTTTTATTACAGCACTCAGTCGTTCGGGGTAGGAGCCTATCAGCGTGGCACATCCTGATGTGGCAATATTTGCCCACTTTTCTTTGCAAAACCGCTCCAAATCTGACAGATTGCGAGGGCATCTCCTATGCACAGCCCTCTTCAGATCACCCCACAATTGTTCGATGGGATTCAGGTCTGGGCTCTGGCTGGACCATTCCAGCGTCTCAATCTTATTCAGGTGAAGCCATTCTTTTGTTGATTTAGATGTGTGCTTTGGGTCATCTTCGAGCTGAAAGATGAAGTTCCTCTTTATCTTCAGCTTTCTAGCAGAAGGCCCAAGGTTTTGTGCCAGCACTGACTGGTATTTGGAACTGTTCATAATCACTCCACCCTGACTAAGGCACCAGTTCCAGCTGAAGAAAAACAGCCCCAAAGCATGATGCTGCCACGACCATGCTTCACTGTGGGTATGGTGCTCTTTTGGTGATGAGCAGTGTTGGTTTTGCGCCAAATATACAGTACCTTTTGCAATTATGTCCAAAAAGTTAAACTTTGATTTCATCAGACCATAACACATTTTCCCACATGTGTTGGGGAGATTTCAGATGTCTTTTTGCAAAATTAAGCCGGGCTTTGTTGTTTTTCTTTGTATGATAAGGCTTCGGTCTTGCCACCCTACCCCATAGCCCAGACATATAAAGACAGTGGGAGATTGTTGTCACATGTACTACACAGCCAGTACTTGCCAGAAATTCCTGCAGCTCCTTCATTGTAGCTGTCGACCTCTTGGCAGCCTCCCTGACCAGTTTTCTTCTTGTCTTCTCATCAATTTTGGACGGATGTCCTGTTCTTGGTAATGTCACTGTTGAGCCATATTTTCTCCACTTAATAATGATGGTCTTCACTGTGTTCCATGGTATATTTGATTCCTTGGTAATTCTTTTGTAGCATTCACCTGACTGATACCTTTGAATAATGAGATCCCTCTGATGCTTTGGAAGCTCTCTGCAGACCATGGCTTGTGCTGGAAGATGTGGCCACAAAAATATCAGGAAAAGCTACTAGAACAGTAGAACTTTATTTGGAGTTGATCAGACGCACTGTAATTGGTGGCTGACTCCAATTTAACACGAGTTTAAATGTAATTGGTTAAATATGAATGCAGCCACATCCCCAGTTTTAAAAAGGTGTGCACACTTTTGCAACCACATGATCTAAGTTTATTTTTATTTCACCTCCCTGAAAGATTTTGTTTTGTTTTTCAATTGTGTTGTACAGGTTATAGGTCAAATTAAAGGTGGAAGAAGTTGTGAAATTATTTATCTTGATTTAATTTTTTTACATGACAAAAACTTGGCAGTTGAACAGGGATGTGTAGACTTTTTATATCCACTGTATCTATCTGTCTGTCTGTCTGTCTGTCTGTAAACAGCAATTAATCCAGAAATATCCACTGAAATAGGCCTTTACAGCATTCATTCATAAATCTAAGAATTAAAGCCTTAATTGTTAACTCTCTGTTTGTGTCAATTTTGGGGGGCCCCTGTATGCAAATCTTATAAAAATGAAAAAAATTCCCCAAATTTATTTTTGTCATTTATGGTCTTGTTTTTGTAAAACATAAAGAGTAGTGTTTCCCACAAATAGAAGCTACTAGGGTGGGCTGTTTAAGCACATTTATGCCCGCCCAAGGATCATTTCTGACTACCTATCCATCATCCATGTGCATTTACTCTGTACCCCTTGGATACTTTTCTGAGTAGTGTCTCTATTCTCCATTTTGACATTTTTGTTACTCTGAAGAAGTATCATTGTTCATTTTGTTGTTTCTTTTTAGGTCAATCAAGTTTGTCAGAGTGTCTTTTCATCAAGTTTCAGTCGTTCAATTGTTGATATGTTCAGGTAAGAAAATAATTTCTTAAAACTCCACATTTGCTTTGATGCTCTTATTGAGAAGACTTTTTTTTCTTCACAATTTGCAGGAGAGGATCGGTGGTTGTTGACATGACTCTCGTCTTTAAAGATAAATCATCAGTTCCTTCAACAAGCAGTGCAACTGCCCAACTCAGCAGTGGACTTACCAGCAACTCAACGACTCTTAACATTATATCAGGCAGTGTTGTTGCATGTAAGTTCAGAGTCACTCATTTTGATCTGATAAGAAGATAGAGCTATCTTTTGTAATGTTTATAAATTTGTTGAAATAAATTACGCTACCTCTTATGTGGCACTGGCAGATATTGCACACAATGAACAGGAACAAAAAGTGTTCCTGTTCATTAGCAGTCCATTAGCAAAACTTAGCTTATAATTAGACTAAAGAACAAGGAACAGTTTTGAGTTCTGTTTATTCTTATTTGAGTGGACAGTGTGGGGACCTACATTACCACATTTTACATTGTTTATAAATTTATAAAATACAGCAATATAAAGATTTGTGTTGATCAACAATTGGCCATGTTGTTTCGTATGCAGGGGTTAAAAAAATGAAAGAACGAAGGAATCTATCCTAAACTTTGAGTGTTTTGTGTGATAATAACAGTGCATGTTTTGCCCATGATAGATGACTGGTAGATTTCAGAAACTACTCAAACAGTGCCACTGTGGAGTACTTTAAATATTTATATTTATATTCCTATTTTGTTAATATAGTGATTGATTCAACTTTATGTGTATGTCACAATTGAAGTGAATATAACCTAGACCATTTCACTTACCAATCCAGTGATCTTCCTTACATTACAGATACATCAACCTCAAGAAGTCCTCCTCGCCCTACAGTGGCCTTCCTGGCAGTCTTGTCCCTTTCTCTGGCAGCTGTGACACAAATGTTAACAGGTTTCTAGCTCTATCCCAGGACTGGCACTTAATGGATGATGGCTTTTGTAGTGGTATTAAGTGTTCCTACATTAATCTATATACATAGTTTATGAGGAACATATACAGTGCAGTGAAGATGCTGATACAAATTTACATCATATATTTTATTTCACAGAACATCCAGATTTTTCAATTTTTGGTATATGATCATCTTACAGTTGGTGCTTATTGATAGAACCTGAAATAAGAGAAGCCCCAACCTTTGTTTATGCTAATCCTGACAACAGTCATATTGAGAGGTCCTGGTACTAAGTTGTGTTTTTTGTAATGCATTATGAGAGATGGCCCACAAGTTAATTAAGAACACCTTCTTGACACAAGAAGCTTAGACATAAAACCAATATCAGATATCAAATCAAGACAACTCCATTTTGAACAGAAAAGAAATGCTCCTCAATACTTCAAAACACTACTACATCAAGAAAAACTCTTACTTTCAAAGATCACACTGTCAATGTAGGCAGATGGCATCTTACAGACTTCAATGTATCAATGAATGTAATGTCGGAGACAAAATGTAATGTGACACACAGCTGTGAGCCTTTAAACAAATACTAAAAGATATTGTTTCCCTCACTAAGTTTTAAAAATGACTTTTATTTTTACTATTTACCTTTAAAGCACTTTCTGGTTTTACTCCTGTCATAACACAATTGAATTGCTGCTGTGGTGCAAGACAGTGCTGAGGTACATATAATCAAGCAGATTTTCAAGACTAAAGGAGACAGCACATTTGCAGTAAAGACCCTTTACTCCTGAACTTCTTGTTACAGAATCAGATAAATCTTTAGGACATGCCTTATATGTTTCATCATTTTTATTTTTATTTTTCCTTTTTTTTTTTTTTATTCTTTCATGTTAATTTTTGGGTTCTAATTTCTACTCTGTTATGTTTTCAGTCTAGCAATTTTGTTTACAACTTTGAAGTCCTTGAATGTCTAATCCCAGTTAAGCCATGTTAAAACTTTGTATAACTTGTATATTTACGACTGTTGTCTACACGAAGGTCATCATGATATCAATATTTTTTGTTAAGTATGAAATATGTATAGTGTAATATTAATAAACAGCTGTAAGTTGCTGATGCATCATGTTACAAAATAAAACAGTATAATCCCATTTTTTGGTTTATTTTTCTGGTGTAATATGTATGAAAATAAGGTTTTCTCCTGAAATAGTTTATAAATTATTTTTGAATTAATTTGGGACATTTGATTCAGAGAACCCAAATCTATGCTGATTCAAATTCCCTTAGTTTATACTTTTCATCAACCTACCTAAATGAATTTATGGTAAAACATGAATGAATGTATAAATGAATACATACATACATATATATGTATGTGAGTGTGTGTATATATATATATATTACACAATATGTGCACACAGGTGAAAGGACCCCTTAAACCAATGTTACATTTTTCTATAGCTGACAATTGAAGATTCCTCAGCAAACAATTGTTGGGACTGATATACTTAGCACTGCTTTTGTTAAAAAAAATATCCACTTCTGTAACAGAAACATCAAGAACAGGCAGACTTGACATTAAAGGATTTGCTGTGCATCACTAGGATTGCAATGTGGGCACTGATGTGGACAATTTTAAAGTAGATGCTTTTATCAAAAGCGACGTACATTGTAGAACATGAACAACACAAGCAAAGATCTAGACAAGAGGAAACAAGATGCCACCAAGTGCTTCAAGATGCAGGAACTGCCAAGCAGTGTTAAAGAAATGCACAAAGTGAATAAAGGATTAGGTAAAGGATATCCAATTAGATATGTTGGACAATTAGGTACAAAGAAAGGTTTTGGTTTAAGTAAAAGAAGCCTGTCTGTAACCAAGACAATAGCAGCAGACAATAAGAAGTGTCTGTGACAGAAAGAAAATGGCCCAGTTTAAGGGGAGTGGAAAAAGGTAAGCAGGGAGGGTCAGATGAATGCAAGGATGACTGGAATTGGGAAGGGTGTGTACAGTAGACGTTGAAAGGAAGCATGAGTGTGGGAACCTCTGGTGGAGAGCTGGAGAATGGCAGACAGAACATATGTGGTCTGGAAGGAGGAGGCTGTGCTTGAAGATAGGAACTGAGATTCATGTGTAGACCACAGAAAAGAAAGTGTTAAAGAAATAGATGGCACAGTAGAACTGATTTTGTTGAATGGAATCTACTTGTAATACAGATAACCTGTATAAACACATAACAAATATGTGCTCACAGTGTGCAGAATCTAAGTCTGTAGCTAAATAACAATGAGAACTTCATTTTTTGGCATTGCTGCAGAGCTTGCAAATCAAAATAAAACCTTAAGTCTTGACCACTCTTGCAGTAAGAACCTAAATCTATGGAAAGAATGCTAAAGCTCTTCAGATAACACAAACTTGTTTCTGCAAAATGTTGGCAAACCTGATCTAGTGTTCAGGTGGCTTAAATTCCTATACTTCTCGAGTGGGAGTCTGAAGGGTGTGTCATACAGACAGGGGAGAAGAAGTGATAAAATGGTGGAACCAAGGTTTTCCCCAGCAGTTTTTTTTTTCAATGTATTCAGTCAAATAGGCAATAAAATGCAACACTTGGTACAATCTTTGCAAGTGTTGTTTCTATGATCTGGCAGTCTTTGCAATGTGATACTGCAGTCTTTTTCGTGATTTGACCATGAAAATAAAGTCTATCAATGTTGTCAATTATTTTGTATTTGATGTGCTCAGATGATTTGTTTGTTGGCTGCATCTTTTCCTATTTGATCCAGGCAAACCAGCAAAGTCGTCTTTAATGTTTGTTTTCTACCAATATGTAAAAATATTTCCACTGCTTCCCTTCATAACAGTAACCTGTGTTCTCTCACTGTGTTTTCCCTTTGTGATTTTGAAATGCCTCTGGGTATGAAGTGTGTCAGACAAATGTCATGACAGTTTCATGTGAAGTTCAGCCAGTATCCCCTTTGTCTATCTGTGTAACTACTGCTCTCTCTCTTTCTCTCAATCTTTTTGATCTTGCATATCTATTTCTCCATCTATTGCTGTCTTTCTTCATTTATCATAATCTTTGCACTCTCCATCAATCATGCCCAGTGTGTTTATAAGCACTCTTTCCCAGTAGCAACGCACATATTGTGGACTCATTAAACTGTGTGGCGTTGGTCTTTCCTCTGTGTCCTACAGTGTTGAGTAGTCAGAGCTCTGAAAGCTTCACAGGTAGAACATTCAACACAAATGGAGCGTTGCAGTACATCATGGTGGAGATTATTTTCATGTTGTTGATTTCTGGTAATTTTTGTCTAATATTGTGGGTGTTTTTTGTGATTGCTTTGTTTTAGGCTGAGAGAAGATCAGCCTTACTTATGATGTTGATAGTGCTTTTTTTAAAAGTTTTGTCAGAATAATTGATTATCATGCTTTTTACAAGAAATTCACAGTCTAATGTTTTGGCAATTCATGATTTATTTAAGATTTGCCTAGATGAGCATACGAGCGCATAGGGCAAAAGGTTTGGGTCTGGCTTCAGCAACCTCACTTGCAGTTACAAAAGCCTAAACTGAGTATTTCTTTACTAACTTCCAACGATGACCGAGGCTGTTCTAGAGAACTAAACAGTCTTTATCTGGTAATAATGACAGTATTGAGCTGCCTCCTTTTATTGCCCACCACTCTCAAATCATCACTGACCTTAATGCCTGACTTACTGAAGGAGCACGTCATTGCCACTGGGTCATCTTAACTCTTAACTGCATGATACTGCAGTATCATTTCTTAACACTGTCTTTTTTACACCATAAAGATCATATTATAGTCACCTATTTGATCATTATTCATCCATTCCTGGTATAGTGATATAATTAGACTTTTTATGAAGCATTTGTCAATAATTATATGTACATCACTACTAAACTTATTCTTTTATCATTGTTATCAAACCTGAAAAGAAAAAGGGTTTTGTTGATACCAACAATTATAGTCTAATCTGTCAAACTAATTCAATGGTTTTATAAAAAAGGACCTCAAGGGTTGTGTTTGTGGTGCCAGTGTAATTCAACCTGATTACTTCTAGCAAAATAAAGAAAAGTTTTGAACCCAGCAAGCATTCACAAGATTCAAGAATCAAAAAGTAGTACCAATGTCCCCTAAAGGCTATAAACACTGTGAAATAAAAACTGTCACTTAAACAGAACTTGTATTGATTAATGTCATGACGTTACATTTTTATACTCACAGGTCCTTTGCACAAGCTTATGTTTGGTATGAACTCTTTATGAGTGATCTGGAACATACTGGGTCTGTACAGAAAGCAAAAAGAGACTTCAATCATACCTGGTGATACAAGGAAACACAAGACTTACATTTAAACAATCTTACTCACTCTTACAACCCCTTGAGCGAGAAATGGGGGTGGGGGGGTGGGGTGGAGGTGGGAGGAGAGGGTGTTGTTCTGCCGGTTAAGCATGTGGTGTCTCTTCCTGTCATTCCTGTCATTTTTCTGTACCACTTGACAGCCCCCACCCATCTCTCCTGATTTGGTCACCTTCTTATTTCAGTGCACTGTATTCAAACAGGAACTTCTGAGGAAAGTTCTACAACAACCAGAAACTTTTTATCTACTGATAAGTAAATTTACAGACTGTCTGAATCCCTCAACAACAAAACTAATCTCTACTGACTTGAGTACAAATTTTAGTCAAATAGTATATATCTGTCGTCAAATGACTCAGTTAGATAGAGGTTGCCATCTTCGTTTAGGTCTGTTGACCAGTCAGAAGCTGTTTATGCTATCAGTTGACCTGTAAGGGTCTAGTTAGAGGCCAGTGAAGCCTGAAACATACACCACAGTCTGCTCACAGCAAAGAAATTACAAAAGATAGAGCTGTTATAAATGGATTTATACTAGAAAGTTAAGCTTACTCCATATTTATATATTTATTTCTTTAACTGTGATCATTTTAATTTAAACCATTGTTTCTGCAAAGGGTGTCTAAGGGATCAAGCGACCTTGTTTTATTATTTTCAATTTAAGTTCCTTTTTGAATAAAACAAGATTCAGTCTTCAAAACCTCTGACCCTAAAATTGTGTCTTTGAAGGGGGTTGTCTTATATTACGGCCGATATACAGTAGTAACTTACTGGTGGAGTTTATGTTTGTGTCATTTGGTAATTGCAGATTGAAGTTTTTGACACTGCATTTTTATCATTTTCATTGAAGTGTCTGCCTGGCGAATTTGTTCAGTGCTAGGTTCCTTTAGATGCTTAGTTTTTAGCATCTTACACTAACACAAAAAGTAGAGATATTCTAGAGGTATAGTTATTGAGGGTAGTTTAGCTTTAATTATTGTTTCTGTAGTTTAGTCTGTACTCTGTAATCATTATCATTCTCGCATGTTGGCAGATCAAAACTGAACAATGATAAAAGCTAAGAGAACAGAACGGATGATTGCTGTGTAAAATTGGACCAGCAGCTCTTAAGACAGGTTTAGCAAGCTCAATTATACCAACATATTATCCAACACAGTTTCAGCTTGGTACAGTGGTCAATGATATCTTATCTAAATCTTCTCTAAGTCTTGACAGATAAAGATAAAGATTTGGTTTTAAACTCCACCCTGCTTTAGATAGTTAAAAAATGTGATATGCCTGCAGTGCACACCTCCCCAACATGACGCTGAGGGTAACTTCGCAGAAACTGTATCAGCAGTAAAAACACTTATTACTCCCATGACGTCAAAGGAAAAGCTTTTTATAACATCTTTCCAAGACTGTTGTCAGAGTAAAAGCCATTCACACCTTTGTGGCTGACGCAGGTCTTTCAAAGACAAGGTGTATTCTTAGCAAAGACTTGTGTAATATCATGTTGTGCTGTCATGTTGGGAGATACATGTTGCAAAATAGACTAATAATTGAGGTGCCCATATAGCCACAAATACACAAAATACTTTAGAGATTAGAAGTAGATTATCTTGGCGATTTTTTGTAGATCAAAACTTTTTAAGACTATGTTGTTGTGTACACTCATCTCCAACCAAAGTCTGAATTAAGAAAATAAAATAAAAATAAAATAATTTGCCTTCTACGTCTGACATTTGCACTTTATTGGGACTTTAGTGATTTGGGTTTTACATGTTATGTAGAAACTACATTAAAGCTATTGTTTCTAGAAGCTGTCTCATAAACTGGCAGGTGTCCTACACAGGACAGAGCACAAATGACTCATTATAGAAGCTGCAAAGTTTTTCATAATCAGGATGCAAGCATTTATATTTGAAATCTATGTAACTACCTGCCTACTTCTTGAAATAGCAAGACTGCTCGGTCTTTTTTTCGAGAATGTTTTCCTCTATACACATAAATACAGAACACTGTATTTTATTGCCAAATAGGTTGTGCATGGGTTTATAAAACAGAATTTGTATTTTGATTTTTTGTATCCAAAAAGATTTTTCATTGGTAAACGTTGCAAAACAGAGCAGAGGAAGTGGCAGTTGAATACCTGAACTGGAGGCTTAACCTGTTGGTTAAGCCTTATAAAAACTGAACGATTGTTGCTCTCAGTCTGGCTGAGAAAAGGCAGAAAAAATAAATAAATAAAACTGCTTTTTAAAATAAAGAGGGAAAAATTCAGTTTGTGTTATGACTTACATGACTTAAAATATACTTCCCACAAGATTTCTGTAAAGGGGCAATCCTGAAGTGCAGTAGATGCAATCACGGACTGTAAAGTGATTTTTAATGACTGCTCATCATGTGTAATTATAACACAGATTGGTCAAAATATAATGTCCTCCTCATACAGTCTTGATGCTGTTGCAGATGAACCAATTTTTGCAGCACTGGACACGACAAGTATTACAGTAATGACAAGGCTGAGTTTTGGCACCAGAGGCTTTGACTTAATTGTGACACCTCATGCATGTTAGAAATAGCAAGGATGCTTTCATTGCTCACAATGTGTTCATCTCTCAACGCCCATTGTGCCTTGAGCTCTGCTCCATCCTTTCTGCATAGGAATGATGCAGAGCAAAACAAGTCCTTCAAGTTATGTCATATGTTAAAAAAAAACAAGCATTTCTAGTCCCTCTCAAAAACCTCACTCGCTGACAAATTCTCACTTCCATTTTTTGAAGCAGGTGAAGTGTCTAGAGCATCCTAAGTGACAGATCTTGGATCAATTGCTGTGAATATAACAAGGCTACAACAAAGTTGGATCTAGGATACCACTGGGGTAAGAGAAAAAATATAGATTTAAATTTAATTTTGTAAAACTGACCATTTGTAAGGTTTACCATGAGAATATATAACTGTGCATTACAAGATTTTACTCAGGTCCAGGGATTTGAAAATGATTTTTCAGTAAGCCACAGTTTTTGCATATTCTTTCTCTGCATAGTACCCATATGCAGACACTCTACTTTTGAATGGATAAATTTGCCAATATTTATAATTGGGTATCAAATTTTTGGACTTTAAATGCAAAACTTCAACTTAAGACTCAGTCTGTGATTGGATTCTGTTCAGTTTTTTCCTTCTTTTTGCTTTGCTTTAATATGTGTATCCATTTCACGCTAATTTGTTTACTCTCACTTTCTCTAGCACAAAAACAGTATTCACTCTCGCACACATTTGACTTCCATTGTGCCGTTGTACCAAACATGTCAAATAACAAAAAAAAAGTCCTTTACAACAAATCATAAGTAAAAGCGGTGCATTATTCTCTGATGGATGGAACTATTAAGCACACATTTCATTGTTAACACTGATGGATGGCAGGACTTTGCTTGTCAGGGTGTGGCTGCACCGTTAACATCTCAATGCCCTGCTTGCAGGCTTTAATTAACAAAAAGGAGCAGCATTTTTGCTCTAGAGGTACTACTTTGTCTAAAAATTGATTTTTACAAATGAAACAAGTTACTTAATGCAAAAAACTTAAGCATATCACAGTTGCATTACTACAAATGAAAGTATAATACATTCATGGATTAGTAGATCAGTTCTGCATCAGGAGTCTGAAGGATTAATCTTTTTGTCTGTAAAAGTATAATTTTGCCCTTGTTTGTTTGTGATTACATATGAATAACCTGACCAGGCACATTCACAGTACACATGAACTGTGATACCTGATCATGGTTTTAGTACCACTCTAAGATACAGTTTAGAAGGGTGTAACAAATCGGATCTTTCTTATGCCAGTAAAGGTCTGTTAAGCCGAGCTTTCAACCTTTATCTTTATTATAGGAATATTTGTGCAGTTTGAGTATTTCCTTTTGACTTTTAAACAGTCTATTCATGTGAATTACAGAGAAAAAAAAGACTACTAACGTGATAAATTGGTCAGTCATTATCACAATCCCTTGTAGATTTGGCAGTGTTTGCACAAGGTTTTTGCCCCAACCCACTTAATCTCGGGCCCCCCTCTCTTTCATCAACCTTCTTGGGTTTTCTGTAATGCAACATGTCTAAATAAAAGGTCACAACTGTTCAGCAATAGAAAAGTCTAAATCAACAACATTGTGGTTCCACAAAATGCATAGAAACTGAGCCTTGTAGGAATGAAATCCTTAGTAGTTGTCCAGGCATAGGAAATGACTGTGTGGAAAATCCTGAAAAAAAAACCCTGAAGCCATGACTCTACCTAATCAGACAACAGTATGTTACCCGTACTTGCCTGTCCAGAATGTTTGCATACTTTATTTAGTCCGTGTCACACTCACCCAAGATTGTTCACTCTATTTCAAGTATCTGCTAGATTTCAAGGATGAGTCTATCAGTGAACCACTGCCACACAGTGGACAAGGATGGTAAACCTGGGCAATAAGACTCAGAAAGCCAAAAGCCCTCTTTCTGTTATCATTTGACTAACTAGCTTTATATAAATAAATAAATATGCACATATGCACACACACACACACACACACACACACACACACACACACACACATAAATATATATATATTTATGTATAAGTGTGTGTGTGTGTGTGTGTGTGTGTGTGTGTGTGTGTGTGTGTGTATGACCACTTTACTGAGACTTGTATTTTGTTTTACACAGGGGTATTTCTAAGTTTCAGTGCCCAAATTAATTCATTAAAATTGCAAGCACAACATGTGTTTACAAAGTGGTAACAAGGTGCTGATATTTCACAGGACACAGACACAGGGAGGATGGATCCCCCCATTTTTCTTCTGCTGTTAGCAGGTATTGTGAAAGCATTCTCCTCACTTGTTTATGTGTATTTGTATCTACTGCTGTGCATCTGTGTGTATCTGTATTTTAATATTTATGACAGTAAGTGTATTTTGAGTTGTGCTGACTTAGGATTTGATCATCAAGGTATTTTTCCCCCACAGGACTGCTTGTAACGACATCAGCAACAACCAGCAACACAACACCAGGTAAGATTATTACAATAAGTTCTTTAAAACTAACAAAAAGGTAAACCTTGAAATGTTATATCTGATGGTGCAATTCAGACCTTTCTTTTTTTTAGACATGACATTAGGTGTAGCAGATTGTCAATTCTGTCAAAACAAAAATTTCGGAAGAAAAAATTCATGTCATCATCTGATCATGACCAGAAGGTGTCAGCAGTTCAACTTTTGAACCAACACAAAGACCCTTCAGTGTTTAATACAGGTTATACTACAATCATTTTTGATAATTCCACTAGATTTAACGACATATCTTCATATTGTTGATGGAGTTTGATTATGGCTGTGACTTAAACATTTGTTACTGCAGTTTTAAACTCTTGCTTGTGCCCACTTGATGTTAACGGATTACAAGAAGTACATTCTAATATAGTTTCTCAAGCTACATTCAGTTCTGGATTTTTTGCTTGATCAGCAAAAAAAGCTGTTTGCTTTGGCAGAGAAATTTTAGGCAAAAATGACTGGTAGGTAACCGATTTTACAACAAAAAGGTAATCAATACTTTTAAATGTGAATGTTTCAGTGTGCCAGTGACTGGCCGTAACCCACTATGATTGTGTCATTGTTACTAGAACATTATTTAGAAATATATAAAAATCTAGAAGTTGCAATAAATCAAGGTAAGTGTTCATGTGATCAGTTTGCATAATGGTTTATTATTTTCATATGGTTTTAATAAACAATGACAAAATAAAAATGAACGATAAAATGTACCTACTAACGACAATGTCTGTGTGCCTTGTGCCTGATATGTATTTCTTTTCACTTTCATTTGTACAAATTGAAATGCTTCTTAATTTTTTTTTTTTTTTTTAATTGGTAACAGATGAATACACTTAACTAAAATTTCCCAGAATTTCCAAAACACTTTTCTCTTTCATTAATACTGTGTGAAAAAATGTAAAAAGAGGCATTGGAAAAAGAAACTATTTTTGTCATTTAGAAAACATTTTTTAACATGACTGTCAATAATTTTGCACGTTTTTAAACTCGTACAGAATGCTTTAAAAATCACAACCAGCATTATCGGCCAATCATGGAAGTATTCCACACAAGGAATTCAACTCTAGTGAACGTTGCCCTAGATACACACATTGAGCATGAAATGTTACAAAAATTGTAACAAAAATCCAAAGTATGTACCAGCTCACACGAGACATTTAATTTATATATACTAGACAGTATTGCAGTAGGACAATTAGGAGGAGTACGGTGGAGTCAAGAGTAATTGAGAAAAAATATATACATGTCAATATGTTACAGGTGGCTTGTGTACATGAGGTAAAAATACATTATGTTTTACAGTAACAACTTAAAAAATAATAACAAATATAATAGATATAAATTTGGTTGATCATATTGTTTCTCTCCTTCAGTAAAAATCTACAATGAAATAGACAAACAGGATTGAGGCTGGATGCCATAAACAGGAAAACATAATTTACATACATAGACAGAGGGATATGCAATTAATAACCAACCTTTCAGCCTCCACATTTTGATTTTATTGACGTCTACATTCAACAAGATTTGAAATTCTTTGTGGGTAGTTCAATAATAATCCAAAACTTTATAGCTGTATTACAGCATACCAATAATCTTAATATACGACTGTTTAGGGTCAGAAACAAACTGATGTTTGAATAATTAAATTTCATTTGAGGGATAAAAGATCAAAACTAAACAGTACATAATGTACACCAGACACTGCAATTATTATTATTTAAACTCCACAACATACATTTTCTTCCTCCAAGTTATTGCATTTAGTTGGATGGAATCCATGATAAGTAGTCTACAAGAAGAGGGAAAAGGGCACACATTTATATACATAGAGTATCTCACTGATTCGTTTCAAAACTAATCTTTAAGTTGTACAAAAAACACATAGCAGTTGTATTGAAAAGATTTTAAGAAGCACTCAAAACAGTTTTTTGTACAAATTTAAACATAAAATCCCTTTTTAAAGATTACACTCTCTTTCCTATTCCTGCTTTAATTGGTAACTGCTATTTTACTTTGTCTTACCAGCCAACTCATCATCGTCACCAGTCATTACAACCTCATCACAAGAAACCATATCTGCAACAACAGTACATGATAGCTCAACACAACCCACTACACCAACATCATCAGTAACAACAGCAACATCAATAAGTGTGAACTCCCCTTCAAAAACTGTAACCTCAGCAACAGTACCTATCACCTCTTCTCCAATCAATGAAGCCTCAACAACAACGCACATGACCCCATCAACTGTCAATGCTTTATCATCATCTGCTGCAATGACCTCACCAACAGGCAGTGAAACCCCTTCAACATCCCACAAAACCTCAACAATAGTAAACCTGTCCTCAGCAGGAGTGACTATGGCTTCTCTTTCTACTGATATAACTACACTAACAGTCAATGCAACTTCACCAACCCTCAACATCACCTCACCACTAGCCACAACAAGTAACACATTCACCTCAAGTTCAGTCACTCAAACACTGTCAACTGTGACTGAAACTTTGCCTGTTACATCATCTCCAGACCAAATGACCTCTACATCACCTTATTTGACAACCCAAGCAGTAAGTTCAACCTCATTGGCAGATTCCATGTCCACCTCACCAGCACACAACATAACCTTTACTTCAGTAAATACGGCCTCACAGACAGAACATAATACCTCACCACTTGTCAGTGTAACTACTCCAACACTTCACATGACCTCATCAACAGTGGAACATGGAACTTCACCACCTGTTTCACCAACAGCTAACACAAGTCCATCAACAGACCAAAAAACCTCAGTAGAAGACACCACTGCAGGTGTGACCATGACTTCAACATCTGCTGAAACCACCTCACTATCAGCTACTGTCACTTCATCACAAGTCAAAATGACCTCAACAATTGCCAGCATGGCCTCCACACTGCTGACTACAAGTGAGGTATTATCTTCCAACCCACTTAAGTCAACCTCCTCACCAGTCCCTGAAACCTCCACAGTAACGTCTTCACAAGTCAAAATGACCTCAACTTCACTTCAGATGACCACAGCAGCAGTCAGTGCAACCTCTGCACAACAACAAACAACAACTGTTGCTCCACGCACTACGACAACACCTGCCCCACCAGCAGAGCCCAAAATTAAGTTAGAGTTTAAGATTCAGCAGACCTTTACAGAAGACCTTAAAAACGAATCCTCACCAGCATTCAAGAAATTAAAACAGGATGTATCCTCTGCGGTGAGTCCATGTATTTTCTTTTGCTGAGTCATTTTTTGTATAGCTTTTAACCAGTTATAGTTCTTAGTCAGGGTGAAGCTCAAAGGAAATGAAATGCTTCAGGAGTTCTGTTTAGGACTGATGCTCAATTTAGAGGATAGCAAAGGCATTTCAAACCATATCCTCATAATAATTGAAATCAAGACTTATCTTTGCTAAATGTAATTGTCATCCATTAGTTTAATAGGAGGAAGCAGGACTGAATGTGTAATACTACTCATATGTAGCTTTACAACTTTATTCTCAGCCTGTTTACTCATGTCTTTCAACATCATTTATTGACAGCTCGACACAGTCTATACTGAAAAATTTGGAGCTGCCTTCAATAAAACGATCGTCAAGGGTTTCAGGTAATACCAGGAAATACTTTATTTTTCCTCTCCCTTTTTTCTTTTCCTAAATTTTTTTCTTAATTATTACATTTATTTAAGTTCTTAATATTACCATCTTCATTTTTATACCTGAATTTTGCACTCTTTGTCTGTGATGCTGCTGTGACAAAAAAATTTCCCCCATGGGGATCACTGAAGGAATATTTTATTCTAGTATATTCTATTCAATTCTACTTCATGCTTTTACAGCTTGAAATATCTTTTACTCTTACACTCAAATTTAAATGAAAAAAAATAAATGAACATATATATAAACATATATATAATATATATATATATATATATATATATATATAGTTATATATGAAAGAACAGCAGAAGAAATTGTGGCTCCCAAACTGACTTTTCAAAACTTTTTGTCACAGTAAAGGATCCGTTAAAGTCGATGCTGACCTGCTATTCAATCAGGCAAAAACAATGCCTGATGCCAGCTCAACAGCTGACACTTTAAAGACAGCAGTCGCTGGCCCTAATTTCACTCTCCCCGTTGACCAATCATCCATTGTTTCAACTGGTAAGAAATTCCAAGATTTCAATCCTCTTTAATGACAAAATTTAAGGTCAAAAATTATGTTAATACTATGAAACTATGGCAAACCTTATTTTAATACAAAACCCAACTCTTACACTACAAACCTTACTTTCAGTTGTGTCAGCTCCAACTGAAGCTCCGGCCAAGGTTGCAACTTCAACTTTGATGGAAACAACTCCCACATCAGGTATTTTTCAAACACTGTCATCCCCAAAATTTCAAACATATAACGTTTTGCACTTACAAATAGGGGTTCAGCAATTGTATTGCTGTTGCTTAGGTTTAATCTTTAGAAACAACAAGGAATAAACATTTTGCAACTGGTTCTTACATACACTGTAAACACACTTCACAACAAAACAAGCCATGAATTCCAACCTTTCATAATCATTCTGCCTTGAACCTGGTCAACGTGGCATTGTAACTAGTTAAAAATGCATTTGTTGCACTGAACTAATCAAATCAAAACAATTGCACCAACAGTAAACCCAACCTCCTCACCAATCAGCACTTCCACACCACTCATTGAAATGACTTCAACACTGCTTTATTCAACCACACCACTAGTCAGTGCAACCTCCCAAACAGTACCCGCCACCTCTTCTCCAAACAATGAAGCCTCAACAACAACGCACATGACCCCATCAACTGTCAATGCTTTATCATCATCTGCTGCAATGACCTCACCAACAGGCAGTGAAACCCCTTCAACATCCCACAAAACCTCAACAATAGTAAACCTGTCCTCAGCAGGAGTGACTTTGGCTTCGCTTTCTACTGATATAACTACACTAACAGTCAATGCAACTTCACCAACCCTCAACATCACCTCACCACTAGCCACAAGTAACACATTCACCTCAAGTTCAGTCAATCAAAAACTGTCAACTGTGACTGAAACTTTGCCTGTTACATCATCTCCTGACCAAATGACCTCTTCATCACCTTATTTGACAACCCAAGCAGTCAGCTCAACCTCATTGGCCGATTCCATGTCCACCTCACCAGCACACAACATAACCTTTACTTCAGTAAATACGGCCTCACAGACAGAACATAATACCTCACCACTTGTCAGTGTAACTACTCCAACACTTCACATGACCTCATCAACAGTGGAACATGGAACTTCACCACCTGTTTCACCAACAGCTAACACAAGTCCATCAACAGACCAAAAAACCTCAGTAGAAGACACCACTGCAGGTGTGACCATAACTTCAACATCTGCTGAAACCACCTCACTATCAGCTACTGTCACTTCATCACAAGTCAAAATGACCTCAATAATTGCCAGCATGGCCTCCACACTGCTGACTACAAGTGAGGTATTATCTTCCAACCCACTTAAGTCAACCTCCTCACCAGTCCCCGAAACCTCCACAGTAACATCTTCACAAGTCAAAATGACCTCAACTTCACCTCAGATGACCACAGCAGCAGTCAGTGCAACCTCTGCACAACAACAAACAACAACTGTTGCTCCACGCACTACGACAACACCTGCCCCACCAGCAGAGCCCAAAATTAAGTTAGAGTTTAAGATTCAGCAGACCTTTACAGAAGACCTTAAAAACGAATCCTCACCAGCATTCAAGAAATTAAAACAGGATGTATCCTCTGCGGTGAGTCCATGTATTTTCTTTTGCTGAGTCATTTTTTGTATAGCTTTTAACCAGTTATAGTTCTTAGTCAGGGTGAAGCTCAAAGGAAATGAAATGCTTTAGGAGTTCTGTTTAGGACTGATGCTCAATTTAGAGGATAGCAAAGGCATTTCAAACCATATCCTCATAATAATTGAAATCAAGACTTATCTTTGCTAAATGTAATTGTCATCCATTGGTTTAATAGGAGGAAGCAGGACTGAATGTGTAATACTACTCATATGTAGCTTTACAATTTTATTCTCAGCCTGTTTACTCATGTCTTTCAACATCATTTATTGACAGCTCGACACAGTCTATACTGAAAAATTTGGAGCTGCCTTCAATAAAACGATCGTCAAGGGTTTCAGGTAATACCAGGAAATACTTCATGCTTTTACAGCTTGAAATATCTTTTAGTCTTACACTCATACTTATAAATATATAATACTTATATATATATATAAGTATGTATGTATATATATAATATATATATATAGTTATATATGAAAGAACAGCAGAAGAAATTGTGGCTCCCAAACTGACTTTTCAAAACTTTTTGTCACAGTAAAGGATCCGTTAAAGTCGATGCTGACCTGCTATTCAATCAGGCAAAAACAATGCCTGATGCCAGCTCAACAGCTGACACTTTAAAGACAGCAGTCGCTGGCCCTAATTTCACTCTCCCCGTTGACCAATCATCCATTGTTTCAACTGGTAAGAAATTCCAAGATTTCAATCCTCTTTAATGACAAAATTTAAGGTCAAAAATTCAGTTAATACTATGAAACTATGGCAAACCTTATTTTAATACAAAACCCAATCTCTTACACTACAAACCTTACTTTCAGTTGTGTCAGCTCCAACTGAAGCTCCGGCCAAGGTTGCAACTTCAACTTTGATGGAAACAACTCCCACATCAGGTATTTTTCAAACACTGTCATCCCCAAAATTTCAAACATATAACATTTTGCACTTACAAATAGGGGTTCAGCAATTGTATTGCTGTTGCTTAGGTTTAATCTTTAGAAACAACAAGGAATAAACATTTTGCAACTGGTTCTTACATATACTGTAAACATACTTCACAACAAAACAAGCCATGAATTCCAACCTCGCACAATCATTCTGCCTTGAACCTGGTAAATGTGGCATTGTAACTAGTTAAAAATGTATTTATTGCACTGAACTAATCAAATCAAAACAATTGCACCAACAGTAAACCCAACCTCCTCACCAATCAGCACTTCCACACCACTCATTGAAATGACTTCAACACTGCTTTATTCAACCACACCACTAGTCAGTGCAACCTCCCAAACAGTACCCGCCACCTCTTCTCCAAACAATGAAGCCTCAACAACAACGCACATGTCCCCATCAACTGTCAATGCTTTATCATCATCTGCTGCAATGACCTCACCAACAAGCAGTGAAACCCCTTCAACATCCCACAAAACCTCAACAATAGTAAACCTGTCCTCAGCAGGAGTGACTTTGGCTTCGCTTTCTACTGATATAACTACACTAACAGTCAATGCAACTTCACCAACCCTCAACATCACCTCACCACTAGCCACAACAAGTAACACAATTCACCTCAAGTTCAGTCACTCAAACACTGTCAACTGTGACTGAAACTTTGCCTGTTACATCATCTCCAGACCAAATGACCTCTACATCACCTTATTTGACAACCCTAGCAGTCAGCTCAACCTCATTGGCAGATTCCATGTCCACCTCACCAGCATACAACATAACCTTTACTTCAGTAAATACGGCCTCACAGACAGAACATAATACCTCACCACTTGTCAGTGTAACTACTCCAACACTTCACATGACCTCATCAACAGTGGAACATGGAACTTCACCACCTGTTTCACCAACAGCTAACACAAGTCCATCAACAGACCAAAAAACCTCAGTAGAAGACACCACTGCAGGTGTGACCATAACTTCAACATCTGCTGAAACCACCTCACTATCAGCTACTGTCACTTCACCACAAGTCAAAATGACCTCAACAATTGCCAGCATGGCCTCCACACTGCTGACTACAAGTGAGGTATTATCTTCCAACCCACTTAAGTCAACCTCCTCACCAGTCCCCGAAACCTCCACAGTAACATCTTCACAAGTCAAAATGACCTCAACTTCACTTCAGATGACCACAGCAGCAGTCAGTGCAACCTCTGAACAACAACAAACAACAACTGTTGCTCCACGCACTACGACAACACCTGCCCCACCAGCAGAGCCCAAAATTAAGTTAGAGTTTAAGATTCAGCAGACCTTTACAGAAGACCTTAAAAACGAATCCTCACCAGCATTCAAGAAATTAAAACAGGATGTATCCTCTGCGGTGAGTCCATGTATTTTCTTTTGCTGAGTCATTTTTTGTATAGCTTTTAACCAGTTATAGTTCTTAGTCAGGGTGAAGCTCAAAGGAAATGAAATGCTTCAGGAGTTCTGTTTAGGACTGATGCTCAATTTAGAGGATAGCAAAGGCATTTCAAACCATATCCTCATAATAATTGAAATCAAGACTTATCTTTGCTAAATGTAATTGTCATCCATTAGTTTAATAGGAGGAAGCAGGACTGAATGTGTAATACTTCTCATATGTAGCTTTACAACTTTATTCTCAGCCTGTTTACTCATGTCTTTCAACATCATTTATTGACAGCTCGACACAGTCTATACTGAAAAATTTGGAGCTGCCTTCAATAAAACGATCGTCAAGGGTTTCAGGTAATACCAGGAAATACTTCATGCTTTTACAGCTTGAAATATCTTTAAGTCTTACACTCATACTTATAAATATATAATATTTATATATATATATAAGTATGTATGTATATATATAATATATATATATAGTTATATATGAAAGAACAGCAGAAGAAATTGTGGCTCCCAAACTGACTTTTCAAAACTTTTTGTCACAGTAAAGGATCCGTTAAAGTCGACGCTGACCTGTTATTCAATCAGGCAAAAACAATGCCTGATGCCAGCTCAACAGCTGACACTTTAAAGACAGCAGTCGCTGGCCCTAATTTCACTCTCCCCGTTGACCAATCATCCATTGTTTCAACTGGTAAGAAATTCCAAGATTTCAATCCTCTTTGATGACAAAATTTAAGGTCAAAAATTCAGTTAATACTATGAAACTATGGCAAACCTTATTTTAATACAAAACCCAATCTCTTACACTACAAACCTTACTTTCAGTTGTGTCAGCTCCAACTGAAGCTCCGGCCAAGGTTGCAACTTCAACTTTGATGGAAACAACTCCCACATCAGGTATTTTTCAAACACTGTCATCCCCAAAATTTCAAACATATAACTTTTGCACTTACAAATAGGGGTTCAGCAATTGTATTGCTGTTGCTTAGGTTTAATCTTTAGAAACAACAAGGAATAAACATTTTGCAACTGGTTCTTACATATACTGTAAACACACTTCACAACAAAACAAGCCATGAATTCCAACCTTTCATAATCATTCTGCCTTGAACCTGGTCAACGTGGCATTGTAACTAGTTAAAAATGCATTTGTTGCACTGAACTAATCAAATCAAAACAATTGCACCAACAGTAAACCCAACCTCCTCACCAATCAGCACTTCCACACCACTCATTGAAATGACTTCAACACTGCTTTATTCAACCACACCACTAGTCAGTGCAACCTCCCAAACAGTACCCGCCACCTCTTCTCCAAACAATGAAGCCTCAACAACACCGCACATGACCCCATCAACTGTCAATGCTTTATCATCATCTGCTGCAATGACCTCACCAACAGGCAGTGAAACCCCTTCAACATCCCACAAAACCTCAACAATAGTAAACCTGTCCTCAGCAGGAGTGACTTTGGCTTCGCTTTCTACTGATATAACTACACTAACAGTCAATGCAACTTCACCAACCCTCAACGTCACCTCGGCACTAGCCTCAAGTAACACATTCACCTCAAGTTCAGTCAATCAAAAACTGTCAACTGTGACTGAAACTTTAACTGTTACATCATCTCCTGACCAAATGACCTCTACATCACCTTATTTGACAACCCTAGCAGTCAGCTCAACCTCATTGGCAGATTCCATGTCCACCTCACCAGCATACAACATAACCTTTACTTCAGTAAATACGGCCTCACAGACAGAACATAATACCTCACCACTTGTCAGTGTAACTACTCCAACACTTCACATGACCTCATCAACAGTGGAACATGGAACTTCACCACCTGTTTCACCAACAGCTAACACAAGTCCATCAACAGACCAAAAAACCTCAGTAGAAGACACCACTGCAGGTGTGACCATAACTTCAACATCTGCTGAAACCACCTCACTATCAGCTACTGTCACTTCACCACAAGTCAAAATGACCTCAACAATTGCCAGCATGGCCTCCACACTGCTGACTACAAGTGAGGTATTATCTTCCAACCCACTCAAGTCAACCTCCTCACCAGTCCCCGAAACCTCCACAGTAACCTCTTCACAAGTCAAAATGACCTCAACTTCACTTCAGATGACCACAGCAGCAGTCAGTGCAACCTCTGCACAACAACAAACAACAACTGTTGCTCCACGCACTACGACAACACCTGCCCCACCAGCAGAGCCCAAAATTAAGTTAGAGTTTAAGATTCAGCAGACCTTTACAGAAGACCTTAAAAACGAATCCTCACCAGCATTCAAGAAATTAAAACAGGATGTATCCTCTGCGGTGAGTCCATGTATTTTCTTTTGCTGAGTCATTTTTTGTATAGCTTTTAACCAGTTATAGTTCTTAGTCAGGGTGAAGCTCAAAGGAAATGAAATGCTTCAGGAGTTCTGTTTAGGACTGATGCTCAATTTAGAGGATAGCAAAGGCATTTCAAACCATATCCTCATAATAATTGAAATCAAGACTTATCTTTGCTAAATGTAATTGTCATCCATTGGTTTAATAGGAGGAAGCAGGACTGAATGTGTAATACTACTCATATGTAGCTTTACAATTTTATTCTCAGCCTGTTTACTCATGTCTTTCAACATCATTTATTGACAGCTCGACACAGTCTATACTGAAAAATTTGGAGCTGCCTTCAATAAAACGATCGTCAAGGGTTTCAGGTAATACCAGGAAATACTTCATGCTTTTACAGCTTGAAATATCTTTTAGTCTTACACTCATACTTATAAATATATAATACTTATATATATATAAGTATGTATGTATATATATAATATATATATATAGTTATATATGAAAGAACAGCAGAAGAAATTGTGGCTCCCAAACTGACTTTTCAAAACTTTTTGTCACAGTAAAGGATCCGTTAAAGTCGATGCTGACCTGCTATTCAATCAGGCAAAAACAATGCCTGATGCCAGCTCAACAGCTGACACTTTAAAGACAGCAGTCGCTGGCCCTAATTTCACTCTCCCCGTTGACCAATCATCCATTGTTTCAACTGGTAAGAAATTCCAAGATTTCAATCCTCTTTAATGACAAAATTTAAGGTCAAAAATTCAGTTAATACTATGAAACTATGGCAAACCTTATTTTAATACAAAACCCAATCTCTTACACTACAAACCTTACTTTCAGTTGTGTCAGCTCCAACTGAAGCTCCGGCCAAGGTTGCAACTTCAACTTTGATGGAAACAACTCCCACATCAGGTATTTTTCAAACTGTCATCCCCAAAATTTCAAACATATAACATTTTGCACTTACAAATAGGGGTTCAGCAATTGTATTGCTGTTGCTTAGGTTTAATCTTTAGAAACAACAAGGAATAAACATTTTGCAACTGGTTCTTACATATACTGTAAACACACTTCACAACAAAACAAGCCATGAATTCCAACCTCGCACAATCATTCTGCCTTGAACCTGGTAAATGTGGCATTGTAACTAGTTAAAAATGTATTTATTGCACTGAACTAATCAAATCAAAACAATTGCACCAACAGTAAACCCAACCTCCTCACCAATCAGCACTTCCACACCACTCATTGAAATGACTTCAACACTGCTTTATTCAACCACACCACTAGTCAGTGCAACCTCCCAAACAGTACCCGCCACCTCTTCTCCAAACAATGAAGCCTCAACAACAACGCACATGACCCCATCAACTGTCAATGCTTTATCATCATCTGCTGCAATGACCTCACCAACAAGCAGTGAAACCCCTTCAACATCCCACAAAACCTCAACAATAGTAAACCTGTCCTCAGCAGGAGTGACTTTGGCTTCGCTTTCTACTGATATAACTACACTAACAGTCAATGCAACTTCACCAACCCTCAACATCACCTCACCACTAGCCACAACAAGTAACACAATTACCTCAAGTTCAGTCACTCAAACACTGTCAACTGTGACTGAAACTTTGCCTGTTACATCATCTCCAGACCAAATGACCTCTACATCACCTTATTTGACAACCCTAGCAGTCAGCTCAACCTCATTGGCAGATTCCATGTCCACCTCACCAGCATACAACATAACCTTTACTTCAGTAAATACGGCCTCACAGACAGAACATAATACCTCACCACTTGTCAGTGTAACTACTCCAACACTTCACATGACCTCATCAACAGTGGAACATGGAACTTCACCACCTGTTTCACCAACAGCTAACACAAGTCCATCAACAGACCAAAAAACCTCAGTAGAAGACACCACTGCAGGTGTGACCATAACTTCAACATCTGCTGAAACCACCTCACTATCAGCTACTGTCACTTCATCACAAGTCAAAATGACCTCAACAATTGCCAGCATGGCCTCCACACTGCTGACTACAAGTGAGGTATTATCTTCCAACCCACTCAAGTCAACCTCCTCACCAGTCCCCGAAACCTCCACAGTAACATCTTCACAAGTCAAAATGACCTCAACTTCACTTCAGATGACCACAGCAGCAGTCAGTGCAACCTCTGCACAACAACAAACAACAACTGTTGCTCCACGCACTACGACAACACCTGCCCCACCAGCAGAGCCCAAAATTAAGTTAGAGTTTAAGATTCAGCAGACCTTTACAGAAGACCTTAAAAACGAATCCTCACCAGCATTCAAGAAATTAAAACAGGATGTATCCTCTGCGGTGAGTCCATGTATTTTCTTTTGCTGTGTAATTTTTTGTACAGCTTTTAACCAGATACAGTTTTTAGTCAGGGTGAAGCTCAAAGGAAATGAAATGCTTCAGGAGTTCTGTTTAGGATTGATGCTCAATTTAGAGGATAGCAAAGGCATTTCAAACCATACCCTCATAATAATTGAAATCAAGATTTATCTTTGCTAAATGTAATTGGCATCCATTAGTTTAATAGGAGGAAGCAGGACTGAATGTGTAATACTACTCAAATGTAGCTTTACAACTTTATTCTCAGCCTGTTTACTCATGTCTTTCAACATCATTTATTGACAGCTCGACACAGTCTATACTGAAAAATTTGGAGCTGCCTTCAATAAAACGATCGTCAAGGGTTTCAGGTAATACCAGGAAATACTTCATGCTTTTACAGCTTGAAATATCTTTTAGTCTTACACTCATACTTATAAATATATAATACTTATATATATATATATAAGTATGTATGTATATATATAATATATATATATAGTTATATATGAAAGAACAGCAGAAGAAATTGTGGCTCCCAAGCTGACTTTTCAAAACTTTTTGTCACAGTAAAGGATCCGTTAAAGTCGATGCTGAGCTGCTATTCAATCAGGCAAAAACAATGCCAAATGCCAGCTCAACAGCTGACACTTTAAAGACAGCAGTCGCTGGCCCTAATTTCACTCTCCCCGTTGACCAATCATCCATTGTTTCAACTGGTAAGAAATTCCAAGATTTCAATCCTCTTTAATGACAAGATTTAAGGTCAAAAATTCAGTTAATACTATGAAACTATGGCAAACCTTATTTTAATACAAAACCCAATCTCTTACACTACAAACCTTACTTTCAGTTGTGTCAGCTCCAACTGAAGCTCCGGCCAAGGTTGCAACTTCAACTTTGATGGAAACAACTCCCACATCAGGTATTTTTCAAACACTGTCATCCCCAAAATTTCAAACATATAACATTTTGCACTTACAAATAGGGGTTCAGCAATTGTATTGCTGTTGCTTAGGTTTAATCTTTAGAAACAACAAGGAATAAACATTTTGCAACTGGTTCTTACATATACTGTAAACATACTTCACAACAAACGGGCCATGAATTCCAACCTTTCACAATCATTCTGCCTTGAACCTGTTCGATGTGACACTGTGACTAGTTAAAAATGTGTTTGTTGCACTGAACTAATCAAATCAAAACAATTGCACCAACAGTAAACCCAACCTCCTCACCAATCAGCACTTCCACACCACTCATTGAAATGACTTCAACACTGCTTTATTCAACCACACCACTAGTCAGTGCAACCTCCCAAACAGTACCCGCCACCTCTTCTCCAAACAATGAAGCCTCAACAACAACGCACATGACCCCATCAACTGTCAATGCTTTATCATCATCTGCTGCAATGACCTCACCAACAAGCAGTGAAACCCCTTCAACATCCCACAAAACCTCAACAATAGTAAACCTGTCCTCAGCAGGAGTGACTTTGGCTTCGCTTTCTACTGATATAACTACACTAACAGTCAATGCAACTTCACCAACCCTCAACGTCACCTCACCACTAGCCACAACAAGTAAAACAATTACCTCAAGTTCAGTCACTCAAACACTGTCAACTGTGACTGAAACTTTGCCTGTTACATCATCTCCAGACCAATTGACCTCTACATCACCTTATTTGACAACCCTAGCAGTCAGCTCAACCTCATTGGCAGATTCCATGTCCACCTCACCAGCATACAACATAACCTTTACTTCAGTAAATACGGCCTCACAGACAGAACATAATACCTCACCACTTGTCAGTGTAACTACTCCAACACTTCACATGACCTCATCAACAGTGGAACATGGAACTTCACCACCTGTTTCACCAACAGCTAACACAAGTCCATCAACAGACCAAAAAACCTCAGTAGAAGACACCACTGCAGGTGTGACCATAACTTCAACATCTGCTGAAACCACCTCACTATCAGCTACTGTCACTTCACCACAAGTCAAAATGACCTCAACAATTGCCAGCATGGCCTCCACACTGCTGACTACAAGTGAGGTATTATCTTCCAACCCACTCAAGTCAACCTCCTCACCAGTCCCCGAAACCTCCACAGTAACATCTTCACAAGTCAAAATGACCTCAACTTCACTTCAGATGACCACAGCAGCAGTCAGTGCAACCTCTGCACAACAACAAACAACAACTGTTGCTCCACGCACTACGACAACACCTGCCCCACCAGCAGAGCCCAAAATTAAGTTAGAGTTTAAGATTCAGCAGACCTTTACAGAAGACCTTAAAAACGAATCCTCACCAGCATTCAAGAAATTAAAACAGGATGTATCCTCTGCGGTGAGTCCATGTATTTTCTTTTGCTGTGTAATTTTTTGTACAGCTTTTAACCAGATACAGTTTTTAGTCAGGGTGAAGCTCAAAGGAAATGAAATGCTTCAGGAGTTCTGTTTAGGATTGATGCTCAATTTAGAGGATAGCAAAGGCATTTCAAACCATACCCTCATAATAATTGAAATCAAGATTTATCTTTGCTAAATGTAATTGGCATCCATTAGTTTAATAGGAGGAAGCAGGACTGAATGTGTAATACTACTCAAATGTAGCTTTACAACTTTATTCTCAGCCTGTTTACTCATGTCTTTCAACATCATTTATTGACAGCTCGACACAGTCTATACTGAAAAATTTGGAGCTGCCTTCAATAAAACGATCGTCAAGGGTTTCAGGTAATACCAGGAAATACTTCATGCTTTTACAGCTTGAAATATCTTTTAGTCTTACACTCATACTTATAAATATATAATACTTATATATATATAAGTATGTATGTATATATATAATATATATATATATAGTTATATATGAAAGAACAGCAGAAGAAATTGTGGCTCCCAAACTGACTTTTCAAAACTTTTTGTCACAGTAAAGGATCCGTTAAAGTCGATGCTGAGCTGCTATTCAATCAGGCAAAAACAATGCCAAATGCCAGCTCAACAGCTGACACTTTAAAGACAGCAGTCGCTGGCCCTAATTTCACTCTCCCCGTTGACCAATCATCCATTGTTTCAACTGGTGAGAAATTCCAAGATTTCAATCCTCTTTAATGACAAAATTTAAGGTCAAAAATTCAGTTAATACTATGAAACTATGGCAAACCTTATTTTAATACAAAACCCAATCTCTTACACTACAAACCTTACTTTCAGTTGTGTCAGCTCCAACTGAAGCTCCGGCCAAGGTTGCAACTTCAACTTTGATGGAAACAACTCCCACATCAGGTATTTTTCAAACACTGTCATCCCCAAAATTTCAAACATAACGTTTTGCACTTACAAATAGGGGTTCAGCAATTGTATTGCTGTTGCTTAGGTTTAATCTTTAGAAACAACAAGGAATAAACATTTTGCAACTGGTTCAAACATATACTGTTAACACACAACAAAACGAGCCATGAATTCCAACCTTTCACAATCATTCTGCCTTGAACCTGTTCGATGTGACACTGTGACTAGTTAAAAATGTGTTTGTTGCACTGAACTAATCAAATCAAAACAATTGCACCAACAGTAAACCCAACCTCCTCACCAATCAGCACTTCCACACCACTCATTGAAATGACTTCAACACTGCTTTATTCAACCACACCACTAGTCAGTGCAACCTCCCAAACAGTACCCACCACCTCTTCTCCAAACAATGAATCTTCAACAACACCGCACATGACCCCATCAACTGTCAATGCTTCATCATCATCTGCTGTAATGACCTCACCAACAGGTAGTGAATCCCCTTCAACATCCCACAAAACCTCAACAATAGTCAATGAATTCCAATATTTTACATTTACTGATGGAAAGCACTCTTACATTGGTTATTTTCAGGGCACGGTTACAAAGAAATGTTAAGAAATTTAATTTCAATATGAAATATACTTTTTCTGTCATGACCTAATTGAAATTATCATTTTCATAATTATTCTCAAAATCTGTTTACTCTCACTCTCAACAGTGGTGAGGTAAAAAGTCTTAGGTACCTTATCAAAACAAATGCACTATGCATGAGCACACGTCAGCGTAGACTTGACCAACAGTCTACAATTTCTTACCACCAATCAATACAGGTTCACCTCACAATCACCTCATAAGAGAAAGCTAACCATCAGCTCACCATTCAGCAGTTAAATGCAACCCTAACAATGCCCATGTGACATCACTCTTCGTCACTGCAACCTTCCATCCCAATCTCCTCATGACTTAACCAATCCTTTCCAACAGTCTCTGACATCAAACTGACATCACAAGGCAGCTTCACCTCCAGTTAGGGTGGAGTTTTAGCTACTCAGTGACACTTCAACAATAGTCTTCAAAGTTTAACCGCAAGTAGACCTAGCCTTGCTAATAACAAAGTCTGTTACAGCAAAATGCAACTGCACCAAAGCCAGTTCACATCTCCCAGTTCTCAGGTAAAACCACTCTCTACTTTTGTATTTTTAACTGTTTTGTAGAAATGATCCTAAATGTTTCTTCAGATATAACTTTTATTGAATTTTTTATCTTATTCTTTTTTTTTTGCAGTTTTACTGGCACTGACTCATCTACAACCACTGCTTCTGCAGTTATATTAGTAATGAGTGAGCTGTTTTTAACTACTACCACATCAAGTTTATTATATGTTACTGTTTCACTGCTCAGTTTCTCTGACGTCTTAATCAACATGATTCAAACCAGCAGGTAAAGGGTAGCTTCATCATGCTAACGTTGCTCATGGGAAATTATATTCCCGTGAACAGTCTTACTGTATTGTACCTTACCCTTTTCTTAAAACTGTAAAACTTAAGACTTCTATTGTGAAATGTGTGACACAAATAAATAAAGTAAATTTGCCCTGGCTTGTCTTCAGAGTTTGTGTGTTTGTGAGAGTGTTATGTATATATATATATATATAAAATTAAATCAAATGTTTTTTTAAGCTGTGATATGCGATTGTTGTTTTGTCTGTGATCAATTCTGATAAAGTCCTTGGCTGTATTCTATATGTATAGATTCTAATTCTTTAATCATTCTTGCATTTGCAGTTCACACCACCCAGTCATCAGCAAGCCAAACTTCAGCACACATCAATTCAACCTCTCCACAAAGTATGACATCATCACAAGGTAAAGTATTCAAATTTTTTTTCAAATTACTGTTTATGTGTGTGTGTGTGTGTGTGTGTGTGTGTGTGTGTGTGTGTGTGTGTGTGTGTATATATATAAATATAAAGATAGACAAATAAATAGATGGATAAATGTGTGTGTGCGTGTGTGTGTGTGTACTATAAATGAATTGTGTAGACTTTGTTGTTTAAACAGTTCATTATTTCAATCTCTTAAAGATGTGATTGATTTACCAATATAAATGATTTCCCTACCAGTGAACATTACCTCACAGCCACTCAACATGACTTCCCAAAACCTCAACACAACACCACAACCTGTCAATGCAACTTCACTTCCAGTAAATGTGACATCACAACCATTCACCTATTCGCCTATCAACATGACCTCACCACTGTTATTTAACATGACCGCAACTCCAATAAAAGCAACTTCATCACCACTGAACTTCACTTCACCACCGGATCACATGACCTCCTCACCACTGTTATTTAACATGACCACAACTCCAATAAACGCAACTTCATCACCACTGAACTTCACTTCACCACCGGATCACATGACCTCCTCACCACTGTTATTTAACATGACCGCAACTCCAATAAAAGCAACTTCATCACCACTGAACTTCACTTCACCACCGGATCACATGACCTCCTCACCGCTACCAAACATGACCTCCCCACAAGCAAATGCAACCTCTGCCAAGCCTTTGTCGACAATGTCACCCCCAGGTATTTTGCATGCTTGGTTACTTAGGGCAGCTATACACTCAAGGTTTTTTTTATCCATTAGACTGAACCCAGTGTTTTAAGCTACTTTTTTAACAGTATTTGAACATGTACTTAAATCCTCTAGGCCCTCTTCAACTTTGGAATATTCAAAAGGTGTTTGCTCTTTTTGTGCATCTAGGAATTGCAACCTCCTCTGCAGTAATTGGAACAACAGAGAAACAACTACAAACAACTGGTTCTCCATCCATGACAACCACACCTGCCCCAGCAAGTGAACCAAAAATAAAGTTGGGTTTTAAGCTGCAGCAGGAATTTAAGCCAGAATTTGCCAACAAATCCTCACCAGAGTTCAAGGCCTTAGAGAAAACTGTAACAGAAGCGGTAAGAGTTTGCATTTCTCTTGAATTATAAACTACAGTCAGCATTGCAAATATCAGTGACAGAGCTTCAAAATATTATTTTTTAAGGTATCTTGCAAATATTCTCGAGTTTAACCAATAGAATTTGAGGCAGATAACAGACTGTCCAGTGTAATCACAAATGAAGGGGAACAAAAAGATTTATTTTTAACAAACTAAAATTATCCTTTGTAATATATAGAAATATGTACCTGAGTAGGATCTCAAATCTTCGCATGACCCCTCACGTAAAGCTCCCATGAGGAACTTATTGACTTTCAGTCTATCTCATAAAATTAAAATACTCCTCACAGGAGCTCACAGCTGTTTGAAAAGTGAATGGAAATGACAAACAAATGCATTAGTTGTTTTCATATGTTTTACTCCTTTAATTCTGTTTTTCTAATACTTTCCTCTTTGAATTAATCAACAGCTTGACAGTGTATTTAAGGACAAATATGGATCTGCGTTCAACCGAACTGTAATCACAGGCTTCAGGTAATTAAAACAACTCACTTATCTGACTCCAAATTTTGCAACACAGATATAAAAACCCTTCTTGAAATAAAATTGGATGAAACAATGTATGTTGTTTTCTGTTTTGGTTTCCTGACAAAAAAAAGAGGGTTTTGGCATTTGATTAGATTTATTGTACAAATGAACAAGCTTATCTGAAAAATTCAATACATGTTTGTCTTAGGAGTACAAAAGTGCTTGAAAAACTAACTTTCTTCAAACACTCTCTGTCACAGTCAAGGCTCTGTTAAGGCTGATGTCGAACTCATATTCAATAATAAAGACACAAAGCCAGATCCCAGCTCTGTGACTGAAACTTTGACGACTGCTGCTTCAAGCTCTAACTTTTCACTCTCTGTAAACGTATCATCTATCTCTTCAACAGGTAGGAGTTTATGTCGTGTTAAAAATGAGCATCCAGTTTTTCTTTGATTAATCGAAGTATTAGCTTAACTAAAGTAATGAGAACATCTTTGCAGACTTTATTTGTTTTGTAATTCTCATTTCCAGATGTGTCATCACCAACTGAAGACCAAGTCACGGAGGCCCCCACAACACATTTGAGCCCCACATCTTCATCAGGTAAAGAAATTTCTTCCAATAGTACAAAGTGTGTTTTCTTAAGCTATTTAGTGCAAAGAATTGGTTTTGGTTATCAACACTAATATACAACACGATTATCGAAATTGTAATGACTTTGTTGTTTAAACAGTTCATTATTTCAATATCTTAAAGATATGATTGATTTACCAATATAAATGATTTCCCTACCAGTGAACATTACCTCACAGCCAATCAACATGACTTCCCAAAACCTCAACACAACACCACAACCTGTCAATGCAACTTCACTTCCAGTAAATGTGACATCACAACCATTCACCTATTCGCCTATCAACATGACCTCACCACTGTTATTTAACATGACCGCTACTCCAATAAACCCAACTTCATCACCACTGAACTTCACTTCACCACCGGATCACATGACCTCCTCACCACTGTTATTTAACATGACCGCAACTCCAATAAACGCAACTTCATCACCACTGAACTTCACTTCACCACCGGATCACATGACCTCCTCACCGCTACCAAACATGACCTCCCCACAAGCAAATGCAACCTCTGCCAAGCCTTTGTCGACAATGTCACCCCCAGGTATTTTGCATGCTTGATTACTTAGGGCAGCTATACACTCAAAGTTTTTATATATTTGACTGACCCAGGGTTTTCAGCTTGTGTTTTGCCCTGTGTTGATTTTAATCATATAAAACTTTAATCATTTGTTCATTATGATATTTCATGTGTCCCAGGCAACACAACTTCCCCACCAATAAATGGAACATCAGCACCCGTTATTACAACTGGGGCTCCATCTATTACAACAGCTGCACCATCAAAAGATTCCAAGGTCGCACTGTCGTTTAGCCTAAAGCAGAATTTTACATCACAACTTGCAAATCAATCATCACCAGAGTTTAAGGAGCTAAAGGACAAAATTGAAAACAATGTAAGTACAAAGTATTTTTATTTCAGTTCATGTACTTGCACTTTTGCAAAATGTTAAAATTTGTAAATCTTTCATAACGTCATACTCCAATCTTAATATGTGGGATAACAATATGCCACACACACACACACACACACACACACACACACACACACACACACTTACCTTGTCTTTCCTTGCCTACTCACATCTTGTTTAAAAATATATTTCTCCAGCTGAATAACATCTATAAACAAAAATTTGGAAGCGGATTTTCTCATGCAAAGGTCAACTCTTTCAGGTATGTGGTATCTCTAAATACCTCGATTTATTAAGTGCCTTAAGACACACACAAAAAGGTGTAAATTATTCACAAAACTAACTAAAGAAGTTGTTTGATAGTTTGCAGATTTTTTTAAGTCCTAGATGAATGCAATTAAAGATGAAGATATTTACCATAGTCCTGCTCTCTAAACCTCTTATTGTGATTAGCATCTGTTGGGTATCAGCACAAGTTAAAAAAGGTTTTCTCTTACAGTTCAGGCTCAGTTGTGGTGGACTCCGAGCTTATATTTAAGAATGCAAGCTCAGTACCAGAAACAAGTTCTGTGGCAAATACCCTGGTTGAGGCATCCAACTCTGGCAACTTCTCCCTTCCGGTTGATGCGTCAAGTGTTGTTGTAACAAGTAAAAGAAGTTTGATATAAATTTTCATATTTAGTCTTATGCAATAAAAAATATTTTAAAACTTCCAAAGTTTCTCCAAATGCCACAGGTGTCTGACATTGTTCTTGTTGTTTTCTAGGGACAAGTACATCAACACCTATACCTACAGCAACGATGCCTGTCACCTCAGTTGCCGACAATGTTACATCCAATCCAACTGCAGCTCCTAATGTAACAGCTGCGCAGACAGCAGCTCCCAATGCAACAGCTGCACAGACTGCAGCTCCCAATGTAACAACTGCAGCTCCTAATGTAACAGCTGCGCAGACAGCAGCTCCCAATGCAACAGCTGCACAGACTGCAGCCCCCAATGTAACAACTGCAGCTCCCAATGTAACAACTGCAACTCCCAATGTAACAGCTGCGCAGACTCCTGCACCTACTGGGGCTCCATCTATTACAACAGCTGCACCATCAAAAGATTCCAAGGTCGCACTGTCGTTTAGCCTAAAGCAGAATTTTACATCACAACTTGCAAATCAATCATCACCAGAGTTTAAGGAGCTAAAGGACAAAATTGAAAACAATGTAAGTACAATGTATTTTTATTCCAGTTCATGTTCTTGCACTTTTGCAAAATGTTAAAATTTGTAAACCTTTCATAACATCGTACTCCAATCTTAATATGTGGGATAACAATATGCCACACACACACACACACACTTACCTTGTCTTTCCTTGCCTACTCACATCTTGTTTAATAATATATTTCTCCAGCTGAATAACATCTATAAACAAAAATTTGGAAGCGGATTTTCTCATGCAAAGGTCAACTCTTTCAGGTATGTGGTATCTCTAAATACCTCGATTTATTAAGTGCCTTAAGACACACAAAAAAAAGGTGTAAATTATTCATAAAACTAACTAAAGAAGTTGTTTGATAGTTTGCAGATTTATTTTAAGTCCTAGATGAATGCAATTAAAGATGAAGATATTTACCATAGTCCTGCTCTCTAAACCTCTTATTGTGATTAGCATCTGTTGGGTATCAGCACAAGTTAAAAAAGGTTTTCTCTTACAGTTCAGGCTCAGTTGTGGTGGACTCCGAGCTAATATTTAAGAATGCAAGCTCAGTACCAGAAACAAGTTCTGTGGCAAATACCCTGGTTGAGGCATCCAACTCTGGCAACTTCTCCCTTCCGGTTGATGCGTCAAGTGTTGTTGTAACAAGTAAAAGAAGTTTGATATAAATTTTCATATTTAGTCTTATGCAATAAAAAATATTTTTAAAACTTCCAAAGTTTCTCCAAATGCCACAGGTGTCTGACATTGTTCTTGTTGTTTTCTAGGGACAAGTACATCAACACCTATACCTACAGCAACGATGCCTGTCACCTCAGTTGCCGACAATGTTACATCCAATCCAACTGCAGCTCCAAATGTAACAGCTGCGCAGACAGCTGCTCCCAATGCAACAGCTGCACAGACTGCAGCTCCCAATGTAACAACTGCAGCTCCTAATGTAACAACTGCGCAGACAGCAGCTCCCAATGTAACAACTGCAACTCCCAATGTAACAGCTGCGCAGACTCCTGCACCTACTGGGGCTCCATCTATTACAACAGCTGCACCATCAAAAGATTCCAAGGTCGCACTGTCGTTTAGCCTAAAGCAGAATTTTACATCACAACTTGCAAATCAATCATCACCAGAGTTTAAGGAGCTAAAGGACAAAATTGAAAACAATGTAAGTACAATGTATTTTTATTCCAGTTCATGTTCTTGCACTTTTGCAAAATGTTAAAATTTGTAAATCTTTCATAACGTCATACTCCAATCTTAATATGTGGGATAACAATACGCCACACACACACACACACACACACACACACACACACACACACACACACACACACACACACACATACCTTGTCTTTCCTTGCCTAATCACATCTTGTTTAATAATATATTTCTCCAGCTGAATAACATCTATAAACAAAAATTTGGAAGCGGATTTTCTCATGCCAAGGTCAACTCTTTCAGGTATGTGGTATCTCTAAATACCTCGATTTATTAAGTGCCTTAAGACACACAAAAAAAAGGTGTAAATTATTCACAAAACTAACTAAAGAAGTTGTTTGATAGTTTGCAGATTTTTTTAAGTCCTAGATGAATGCAATTAAAGATGAAGATATTTACCATAGTCCTGCTCTCTAAACCTCTTATTGTGATTAGCATCTGTTGGGTATCAGCACAAGATAAAAAAGGTTTTCTCTTACAGTTCAGGCTCAGTTGTGGTGGACTCCGAGCTAATATTTAAGAATGCAAGCTCAGTACCAGAAACAAGTTCTGTGGCAAATACCCTGGTTGAGGCATCCAACTCTGGCAACTTCTCCCTTCCGGTTGATGCGTCAAGTGTTGTTGCAACAAGTAAAAGAAGTTTGATATAAATTTTCATATTCAGTCTTATGCAATAAAAAATATTTTTAAAACTTCCAAAGTTTCTCCAAATGCCACAGGTGTCTGACATTGTTCTTGTTGTTTTTTAGGGATAAGTACATCAACACCTATACCTACAGCAACGATGCCTGTCACCTCAGTTGCCGACAATGTTACATCCAATCCAACTGCAGCTCCTAATGTAACAGCTGCGCAGACAGCAGCTCCCAATGCAACAGCTGCACAGACTGCAGCCCCCAATGTAACAACTGCAGCTCCCAATGTAACAGCTGCGCAGACTCCTGCACCTACTGGGGCTCCTAATGTCACAGCTGCACAGACTGCAGCTCCTAATGCAACAAAGGCACCCACTGCTGCTGCACCAACAACAACAACAAATTCACCTTCATCCAGTGAGGGAACTCTGGCTTTAACGTTTAGTCTCAACCAAACATTCACATCAGATCTCTCCAACTCTTCCTCAACAGCCTTCAAAACCTTGGCTGCAACAGTGGAATCAGAGGTAAAATATATAAGAAATAAAAAATTAGGTTTTAAATTTTAATTTAACTTTTCTCTCCGAGCCATATCAAATTCTGAGTAAATGACTGTACTTTTTTTTATTACAGTTAACAAGAGTGGGCGAAAAGCTTTATGGAACAGCTTTCAGTCGTGCAGTGGTCAACTCTTTCACGTAATTCTCAATTTCCTTAACCATTTTTCAATTGCCTTGCAAATGTGAGTTATTTATACTGATTTGCTTTCTGTCCTTGTTACATCAGGAGTGGATCAGTGGTTGTCGACTCAACCCTTGTGTTCACTAATCAATCTTCAGTTCCTTCAGCCAGCTCTGCAACCTCACAACTCAGCACAGAACTTAACAACAACTCAAGCCTGAATGTCGTCAAGGGCAGTGTTAGTGCAAGTAAGTCAATAAAGGACACTAAATAAATTGTAAGTCATTATAATAATCTTTTCCACAGACAAGATGTTTTGGTGAGAACTTTCATTCTAATCTTTTTAATGTTGGTACAGCTTCTCCAGCTTCTTCAACTGCAGCACCTATTGTTACAGCAGCTGCAACTGCCGCTCCAACTGCTGCACAGACTGCAGCTCCCAATGCAACAGCTGCACAGACTGCAGCTCCCAATGTAACAGCTGCGCAGACTGCAGCTCCCAATGTAACAGCTGCGAAGACTCCTGCACCTACTGGGGCTCCTAATGTCACAGCTGCTCCAACTGCAGCTCCGACTGCAACAAAGGCACCCACTGCTGCACCAACAACAACAACAAATTCACCTTCATCCAGTGAGGGAACTCTGGCTTTAACGTTCAGTCTCAACCAAACATTCACATCAGATCTCTCCAACTCTTCCTCAACAGCCTTCAAAACCTTGGCTGCAACAGTGGAATCAGAGGTAGAATATATAAGAAATAAAACAAAGTTTTAAATTTGAATTTAACTTTTCTTTCTGAGCCATATCAAATTCTGAGTAAATGACTGTACTTTTTTTTATTACAGTTAACAAGAGTGGGCGAAAAGCTATATGGAACAGCTTTCAGTCGTGCAGTGGTCAACTCTTTCACGTAATTCTCAATTTCCTCAACCATTTTTCAATTGCCTTGCAAATGTGAGTTATTTATACTGATTTGTTTTCTGTCTTTGTTACATCAGGAGTGGATCAGTGGTTGTCGACTCAACCCTTGTGTTCACTAATCAATCTTCAGTTCCTTCAGCAAGCTCTGCAACCTCACAACTCAGCACAGAACTTAACAACAACTCAAGCCTGAATGTCATCGAGGGCAGTGTTAGTGCAAGTAAGAAAATAAAGGAAATTAAAAAAATAATAGGTCGTCATAAAAATCTTTTCCACAGACAAGATGTTTTGGTGCGAACTTTCAAACTAATCTTTTTAATGTTGGTACAGCTTCTTCAGCGTCTTCAACTGCAGCACCTGTTGTTACAGCAGCTGCAACTGCCGCTCCAACTGCTGCTCCAACTGCTGCACCAACTGCAGCACCAACTGCAGCTCCAAACGCCACAGCTGCGCAGACTGCAGCTCCCAATGTAACAGCTGCGAAGACTCCTGCACCTACTGGGGCTCCTAATGTCACAGCTGCTCCAACTGCAGCTCCGACTGCAACAAAGGCACCCACTGCTGCACCAACAACAACAACAAATTCACCTTCATCCAGTGAGGGAACTCTGGCTTTAACGTTCAGTCTCAACCAAACATTCACATCAGATCTCTCCAACTCTTCCTCAACAGCCTTCAAAACCTTGGCTGCAACAGTGGAATCAGAGGTAGAATATATAAGAAATATAAGGTTTTTTTTGTCTGAAACATATCAAAATCTATGTAAATGACTCTACTTTCTTATTTCAGTTGAAAAGAGTGGGAGAAAAGCTTTATGGAACAACTTTCAGTCGTGCAGTGGTCAACTCTTTCACGTAATTCTCAATTTCCTTAACCATTTTTCAATTGCCTTGCAAATGTGAGTTATTTATACTGATTTGCTTTCTGTCTTTGTTACATCAGGAGTGGATCAGTGGTTGTCGACTCAACCCTTGTATTCACTAATCAATCTTCAGTTCCTTCAGCCAGCTCTGCAACCTCACAAATCAGCACAGAACTTACCAGCAATTCAAGCCTGAATGTCGTCAAAGGCAGTGTTACTGCAGGTAAGTTTATTCACAACTTTCATGTTAAATGTTTGTATAGATGGTTGAATTAGCATTGGCTTACTAATTTTATTTCATTAAATTATAAAATATGTTTGTTTTATGTTAAGGTTCATCTGCTGCTACTACTGCTGCACCTATTGTTACAGCAGCTCCAACTGCAGTTCCTACTGCAGCTGCAACGGCAGCCTCTAATGCCACAGCAGCCCCAACTGCAGCTCCAACAGTAGCCCCAACTGCAGCTCCTACTGCAGCCTCTAATGCCACAGCAGCCCCAACAGCAGCTCCAACTGCAGCTCCTACAGTAGCCCCAACTGCAGCTCCTACTGCAGCCTCTAATGCCACAGCAGCCCCAACAGCAGCCCCAACTGCAGCCCCAACAGCAGCCCCAACTGCAGCTCCAACAGCAGCTCCCACTGCAGCTCCAACAGCAGCTCCAACTGCAGCTCCAACAGCAGCTCCCACTGCAGCTCCAACAGCAGCTCCAACTGCAGCTCCTACAGTAGCCCCAACTGCAGCTCCTACAGCAGCTCCCACTGCAGCTCCAACAGCAGCTCCCACTGCAGCCCCTACTGCTGCTGCAACTACTGCTGCTGCCACCACTGCAGCTCCAGTAGCAACAACTGCGGCCTCAAGCACATCAACTGATCCCCCTACAGCAAGTGAAGGCACCTTGGGTCTAACGTTCAGTCTCAACGAAACATTTACATCAGATCTCTCCAACTCCTCTTCCACAGTCTTCAAAACTTTGGCTTCAACAGTGGTCACAGAGGTAAAATAGATGCAAACTCAGTTTATTTGGACAAGGCAGAAATGCAAGAGTTAGTTTAGTAAATTTGAAATAATCCCAAGCAATACTTTTTCCCCTCATTTTCAAACATAAGCAATGCATCTAGGTATCTTGCAAAATACCTGGTAGCATTTGTTCTTCATTGGTGCTTACAGCCATTTGTTGTATTTCTAATGGTAAAAACAATTATGCTGTTTTTCAGGTAAACAAAGCATGTACTAATGCTTTTGGATCATCCTACAGCCGGTCCATAGTGAACTCATTCACGTAAGACAAAGTGTTTCAAACACTTTCCTCAAAAAATGCTTTTCATGTGCTCATGAGGGTTTTATTTTCCTATTTTTTTCACTATAGGAATGGATCAGTGGTTGTCAACTCAACCCTGGTGTTCAAGGATAAAAGCTCAGTTCCTTCAGCAGACAGTGCAACCACACAACTCAGCAGTGAACTCACGAGCACATCCCTGAATGTTATTGCAGGCAGTGTTTCTGCAGGTAAGTTTTCTGTTAACCGAAAATCACACTTGATCTATTTAGGCTCTACATTCAGCAGTGTTTGATAGTAGAATTGCACGTCAGTTTGATTTTTTTTTTTTTTTTCTACCTAGGGTAAAACCACTGTTTTCCACTATTTGTTATTATTTCTCTTATCTTTGTTTGTCGTTGCATTAACTCCAGCCAATTTTGCTGATCAATGTCTTTATTTTTTTTTCTTATATTTCAGAGTCAACATCAACATCAAACAGCCCTAGGCCCACAGCAGAATCACTAATATTGTTTTTAGTAGCACTGCTGACCTTGGCACAGACACTGATGGACTCGTAACCAGCACCTATGTAACATTAACTGGTATGGGCAATGGCTCTATGCTATCAAGTTGGGAGAGAGGAGCAGCACTATGTTTAAACAGACAAGAGCCAAAAGCCATAAGTGTACATTATGAAAGTTACCACTACAATTAGATTTGGTAAAAAGATGTGTACTGTTTGCCAAAAGTTTTAGCAGTCATTGGAGATAATTACCCGACTTTCTGAACACCCGACTGTGTTCAATACTTGATTATGATTTGTTAAAACTCCTTGACAATAGTCTGCATGGCAAAGGCAGCGCCAGAAGCTGATAAGAATATCGTTGCCATGGAAGCACAACTGACTGTTAAAACTGAGGGACTACTTTTTAGCTGTTGAATAAATCACTTTTAAATCAGTAAAATGATCTTAATATCAATATTTATTGTCAACTTATTGTCAACTTGATTCATCTCAGTCGGTAGCCGGGTAATAAGCAGGATAACGTATAGTTAAAACACTATGCATCAGGGTTTTGTCCCATCCTGTGGGGATTCTGTCGTGTAAAACCACTTGGTAACTATACATTACTCCTCCCCCATGAACTGTTATGTTCCATTTTGATGTAATGAACCTGTACTTCTCAACTGCAACTTATTTAAAAATTAATCTTTAAGGATGTAACATCACAACTACTATGATCACTTTTGGTGTTTTGCAGAAATTGCCATTCATTGTTTTTGTTTTGTAAAAGCTTCTTTGTTTCCTATATTTCATGTGTGAGGAAATGTAGTACAAAGTACTAACTATTTATTTTCAGTTTAAAGCATGGTACCAACAAAACATCATTTATATCCACCAAACAAAGGAAGGAAGGATGGAAGGGAGAAAGAAAGAAAGAAAGAACTGTGTAGTATGATGCCAGAATGTTTAAATGGGGAACTTTAGTGTTGAAAAATACCAAAGTTCTCTTTTAATTAGAGGTTTCATAAGCTTAAAGCTCATATATATATATATATATATATATACACACACAATTAACACTATGTCTGAGACAATCCTTTAGTATCAGACTTTTGAAGCATAGTTAAACACATGGAGCTTCTCTCTCCCAGACCATAGGGATTGTTTAGGTAGCCATGGCTGATGACAAGCAGTTGAGTGAGTCTAAAAAAGTGTTTCCATTGAATCTGATGTTTAGTTTTGCACTCTTAAGTCAAGGATTTGCCAAATGGGTTGCTGTGAACTTGTTCTAAGTATTCAAGTACTGCCATACAACTTTAATTCCGTGTTAGAATAGAATACTACTTCTTATTGTGTTTTCAAATGGGCTATGAACATAATTGCAGTTTTGTTAATCATTTAAGTATTAAACGTTACCTTCAAGAATCACCAAGTTGTATTTTTTTTCAAGTTGCTTCTTGTTGCTTTTTCTTTGAACAGACAGAAAAAAATTGATATATTTTAATGTTACTATGTCAAAATAAGAGCTGTTTTAAATATTAGTGTGTAACTGATAAAATCAAGCATCATGTGACAGCTGTTGAAAATGAACCATTAAAACCTGTCTGAGTTTGAAACAGTTAGGGCTCCATTTTCATGCCCGTCAGCACATACATTTAGATCTATATATACATATATTCTGATCTATATCTGAAATCTGAAAATAAGGACCTGAATAAGAAAAGAAATTTCATTCACTCACAGAAGTGTGGCTGAATTGCTATTGGAGAGCCAAGCTCAAGTCTGCCTCCTTGGCGCGAGTTAGTGAGATGCACAGTGATACCATAGACTGTGCATACTGTGGACAACTTGGTTCCGCCTTCCGCGAGTATACGGATTTGAAGCCAAATAGCTCTCGGTAATTCCATGTTTTCTCTCCATTTCCTGAAACCACCACTTGCACAGTAGCATTGTGCGTATTCGAAGGGAGAGTCGCTGAGAGTCGCTGTGATGACACTCAGCTCAAATAGCGTATCCCCTGGGTGAGCTATGTAATCCTTGTACGCCCACAGGCTGTATCAAGTGTCAATCATAGAAAACTTGAAGTCCCTAATAAGTTTTAAAAATTGAGCTACACATAAAAAAGGACTTGAACACAAACCAGCCTGACAATAAATACATGTCAACAGTGCAAGCAGGGGGGAGAGGAAAATTTATGACCTATACTGCAGCCCGTCACCAGAGGGTGCTGTTCTCATGGTGGCTTCCCCAAGTGAGGAGGCAAATGGCGTCCATTCTGTATACAGTCTATGAGTGATACACACACAGAGCACCGAGTGGCGGCAGGACGAGAAAAAATACTTGATAATGTACTTACTGAGAAACTGTGGAATAAGAGGAACTGCTCCGGCCTCAGAGTCTTGTGGACCATGGAGAAGTGACCCTGGGAACTTTGGCTGTATTCATTCTTTTCCTGGTGAGTGCTTTGAAGTGGGGGTAGTTAGCGGTTAGCGCCGCGAGTTAGCATATCTTCGTGGTGTGTTAGCCGCCTAGCCGAAGTATTAGCTCAAGTTGATCACTTTTTGTGACAAACCGCGTGTGCGCATGTGTCTGTGCGCATGCATGTGTGTGTAAAAGGAGTATGTGCGACTGTAAATGTCATTGCTTGAATGGACAGAGACATCAGTAAGTAAGGCTGGGCATAGAGTCTCGAGCATAGATGGGGACCGGGACTATCATCAGTGGAAAGACCCATCTAATATGGCGGCGACGCCGGATTACGCTGCAGCAAGAAATGGTGCGTCTGCGTGAAGAATATCTATGGCCGGAGTCCGCCGACCGGAAGAAATTACCGCTGAACACCAACGAGGAAGACGTCAATAAACACCAACGAAAAAGAAGCCGCCAAACACCAAGGAGGACCAAGCTTATGAGAGGAAGCTACACAGAGAGAGAAGAGAGACAGAGAGAGATAGAGAGCATTGCAACCCACAGCGGTTGCGGTCAAAAGTTTGGCTAACTTTAGCAGGAAGGATGAACGCTTATCTCTAGCGTATATCCTTACTTATATCCCTAACATGATGAAACACCTCAGGATTCATGGAGGAGAAATACCTGAGTGCTCGTCTTTGACGTGCTTCGCCGGTTGTCCGCTAATCAGATAAGTGAAACAATAAATTTCTTTTGTTTTCTGTTAACATTGAAGCGGCAAACAAATTGTACTGTGTACGGTGTGTCAACTTAAACTAATATTAGCCCTTGTACTTTTTCATAGACCAACGACCTGACAACAAAAAATGATATTTATATAGGCTTCTGGTTGAAAATAGCCCTGTGAGAAACTCATAGTAAAGTTCTTAAAAAGTTAATATGATTTAAAAATTCAGGGAAAAGTTCCAAAATTTCATCCAAAAAGAAGAACTCCTGTTAGCATCCTTATTCAAACCATGCAATTTCTTTTTAATATCCTGCCTTTTAAAAAATCGAAATAGAGAATCGTTAGGAACCGGAATTGAAACAAGGAATCGGAATCAGAACCGGAATCGTTCAGAATCAAACGATACCCAACCCTGTCATTAAGTGTCATGGGTTATGAGACTGCTTAATCCTTCTGTAGTACAGTGCTGTTGCACACATGTACAGAATATCACAAGATTACTAATTTTACTGACCATAATCCAATTAATGTTGTCATTTACATGTGGGTTTTTGATTGTTTATCAGTCATTTCATGATTTTGTTTCCATTAAGAGAAAAGAACAGTGAAGTTGACATTTTATTTGCTAACACTGTAATGCAGCAGTTATTCTGAAAAAAGTTAACAGTGAAAAGTTACATTACACATTGAAATTGATTTTATTTTGAAACTACAAACTGTACGGTTAAAAAAAGATGTGGATAGCTTTAATTGAGCCATGTTGTGCTATACAGGCTTGGTTTTTTGGATACCCTGGATTTTGGATTCCCTCTCCAGAAGGGAGATGGCGAGCCAACCAAATGAACATCTGGATTTAAGCTGAAGAGGACCCTATCTTCCTATCGTCTGTCGTCCTGTCGGTGTGGTAGGATTGAGAAAGACTCAGAAAGCTATAAAGGGACAGTCTTTATTTTTTTCCTTCCTTGGAAAGCAAGAGACATTATATTTTTTAAAGGGTGCAACCAATTTGAAAGAAAACAAACTGAAGACTAGCCATATTGTAAGAGTGTTTATTTTTCACGTGTGTTACTGTTAATATAGTTATAGATCAAAAACTTACCTCTGTGTGTTTTCCTCTTACTCAGGCAGTGTCTAATCTTAGTCTGTTAGACTTGTAACTTTGTAAGATTTTTGTAAGATGACGGTATCAGTACACAAATTATGTAAGTTTATTTCAAGCAGTAAAGAGTCTTTCAAAAACTGACATGACAAAAGGTCTGGCCTCAAGCAAGGGAGTCTGCTTTTCTATTTGAATGTACATGATGGTATCAATGTGCTGTCCAGTAAGGGGATAGTGGGGGGTAGATTTTGTTAGAGTTAAACAGTTCTCAAATCACTCTAAGTCATGGCTGTTACTCAGTTTTGATTGACAAGCAATTGGGATTGAAGGAACAATGTATGAACAAAAATTGTAAAAGCATAATGACATATTAGTAGTAACATTTTTTTAGCTTACTGATCAGTGGTAATCACTTATTAAACACAATCACCTCAATAAACGTACAGTGCTCTTTTGTCAGTTACACACAGTAAAGCCAGCTGACCAATACTGAAAAAGTTAATGAAGTTTAATAAAATTGCAGTGTTTTGCCTCGGACTCTCACTTTAGATTCATAACGGTCGTGACATAATGGACATAATGGACTGAGGGGCAGATTTCTGCCACAGAACCATCAGCAGGGATCCTCTTTTGAATCTAATCAAATTCAAGGGTTAAGACATATTAAATTATAACCTGCTAATATTATTAACAGATAAAAAAGCTAATTTTTCACTTGTGGGTCTGGGATTTACACATAAAATCTGAGTGTACTTGACAGTAGAAGAGAGTCTATCATCCCATTACAGAGCCTTGAGCAAGCACTCCATGTATTACCCACTATCATTCTTAAATGTTGTCTGAAGATTGAATTACTTCATCCAGGGAAGAGACTAAAAACTAATGTGAAAATTTACCAAACAGAATAGGGCACATTTGGGGTTGTGAAACCTTATTAAGCACTAAGATGTGGTGAATAGGTATGATCAATTGGGTTGGAAAAATATCAAATCTATTCATTGAGCGAGTTTTCAGCCTAGTCACAGATTTCTCTTTAAAATCAAAGGCACACTGTCAGAAAAATTAGCTCCCAAAATTAAAAAAAAAGGTAATCCCACTGCTGTTACCTCTATTGAGAGTATGTTGAGGTCAATGGTAATGACTCCAAAAAGTCACTAGATGTCACTATTCAACAAATTCTACTCACAGCTGTGAGTGTCCCTACACAATATGTTTCTAATAATACTACAAAGGAGGGGTCAGTGGTTTGTTGGTTGGTCATCATGCATATTCAAACCTCAGTCATTTTAGCTTTTCCTACATTGGTCAAGTTTAAGTGTTTCACCTATGGTTGAAATGTGTTGACTTAATGCACTTATGTCATATATTATTTACTAATAATATATTTTGATGAAATTACCAATTTTAACTTTTAAAAAAGTATTCAAAGAGTAATTCTACAGCTCCAGCTTTGAACAAAATATCAGACAATTTTTACATTTGCTCTATGCAAATGTATCATTGTTACCATTGCATGTTAAGCTTCATTGTGACTTTACTTACCACAACTCTGCTTAGACTGGAAAGACTGGCTTCTGATTGGCCCTGACATTTCAGGTAATTGCAGATACAACCTCTGATTTGTCTACGTTGCAAAAAAGATGGCATCCTCCATGTATCCGGTATCACTTAAAGGTATAACATCTGTCATCATAAATTACCTTCATTTTTGAGGGACTAGATCCGGACAGTCTCAAACAACACATTTCTCTGTGGGATAGGAAAGTCCCTGGATGTTGTAGACACATCATCCACACATACATACTGAAACACAAACCTTCACAGAGCTGCTGGGGTCTCATATAATAACATAAAGAGCAAAATAAACTATGATTTTGTGGAGAGAACCAGGGCTTTAAAACTGAAATCCCCAGTCAAAGACACATACTTATCTGTTTCTGCTCAGTGTTACTCCATTCACAACTGCAGAGTCACTAGCAGCATTAGCATTAGCCCAGCATAGCAGGTTAACATCAGAAATTTACAGACATCAAGATGAGGGTGTTCACATCGCAGTATATTCTACTGAAATTATCCTCAACCATACAAAACCAGGTCTCTATGGTGCTATATTCACCACTCATACGTGGGCACAGATATAAATCACAGATAAATAACCTGCACCAAGTCTTCTCTCAGTCAAGGCCCCAGCCTCGGGTGAAAACAAATGCTAACAATACAGAGAGCAGCCCCTATTTCATGGCATCAGTTTGTATTGCCATCATAAAGTGTCTAATGTACTTTGTCCAGTGTACAACCCAAACGCATGAGCATGCAGCTTGTAAAGTTTGAGGGAAAAAAAGGCTGGATAATACATGGCAGTATGATGTGCTTTTGAAGGACCCTTGTTGACATACTATTCATACTCATACTTCCATATGTTATTTAATGTGTGTTGAGAAATTTGTGGCATTGATAGGAATTTACATTAACGGGTAACTAACAAATTATTTATATATACACTTGTGTGACTGACAGATTATCATATACTGTAAATAAACAACTACATTACTCTTTCTTTCAGGCCTAATTGGCAGTTTGCAAACCAGCTTGCCGTGAGATTACATAGAGGGGCACGATTTCTGCCTGCTCATTTGGGGATAAACAGGAGATGATCAAGTCTGATTGTTAAATTTTGTGCTCTGTGAGGAAAAGTATCAACTGTTAAATGATCATGTACAGTTAAAGCTTTTTCAGTGTGATATCCAGATGCGTAATAATATTAAACTGGTCACTTCATTTGCTGTGCAACAAATCCTTGGACTCGGCATCTGTTCACTTCAAAAACAAACAAACAGGCAGCATTACATTGCGTTACACATATGGGTGACTGGTCTGAAAAATACTGTCATTACTGGGCCAATGGGTCTTTTATTGCCCCCTTCATTGAAAATTCCCCTAGGTTTAATTAGAACACATCAGCCACACTTGAGTTGCATCTGTGACTGCTGAGGCCCAAGGTATTCAAGCTCAGATGATCGGCTTTGCTCTGTGGCCACACAAACACATGAGAGAGGTAATGTTAGCTATTTTAGGAGACTGTGCAAATAGAAGTAGCAGTTACAGTGTATTACGTTTCATTTTATTTTGTATACAGTCAAAATGAAGTGTGTTGTTGTTCCTCTTATTCAACTCCATTTGTAATGTTTTCTTTCTACCTACCGTTAATTCTCTTTTCTTTACCAGATAAAATTTTGCTGGGTTGAAACACTGAAAAGCTGCAAAAGAGAGACGGAGGAAGAGATTTTTAACTGTTAAATTATTTGGAAACATGATAATTGTTAACTCAAATAAAGATAAGTACACTTTGAAGACCCTTTTAACTGAGTGAAACCCACCTCCATTCTTTCAAAAACATTGACATTGGATCCAATTGCAGCTGTATATTCGATGTGAAATATTCATGATAAGAATGTTGATTTAGATAGACATGTAACGTTTAGACCAAGCAAAATGATATACAAAAAAGATATTTTGGGTTTGAAATGTCATTTCAATTGATTAAAAAAACAAACAGCCCTTCAGTGAGCTATTTCCTACCTACAAGGTGCAATGATGAGTTGCGGCATCAATGGCATTGACGGACAACCCCCAACCAAAAGCTGTAGTGTTTACAGTCTAACTAGGCGCATTGTAACTGGGGATTTGACAAAAATGTTGTGTACACTTTCTGAATATGTGGATATGGATGTATGGAAAGTAGAACTTAGTTCCACCATGGCCGAAATTCACCTGTGCTGATTCATGTGGGCTTAGTACAACGGCAGTTTTGTGCGAGTGGCCTCAGGCAGCTCAGGCAATCCCTGACTGGTTGTTCATTTAGCCTATCAGCACAAAAGAATCAATAGAATCAAAAGTCAGTCATTTATGACAGTTTAAGGGATGTAGATAACTTAAGCTGAAAACTCATTTACAAACCATCACTCAGTATCCAACAATTAGGTTATCAGTATTATCAGAAAATCGCGAGCATCATTGTAGCTGTTTATGTGCTCCTTGAAATTGGGCTGGGGAGGGATTCAGCTGCAGTTTGTATTTTGTGCCTGAGATTATTGTTGCATGTATTCCTTACAGAGCCGTCCCTCCCATTTCTCTCATCAGTGAGTAAAAGCCTGTCTTGGCAGACATGCTATATGCTAGAGACAAAGACAGAGGATCATCTGTTTCACAGGTAAGTGGTTGTTTGCATTGTTTTCCTGTGTTGTGCGGTATAGATACCTGCTACTAAGACTGCCACAAAAAAAAATATTTAGCTCTAGTTTTTAGTTAGCAAAGTTTAAAAGACCTAGTTTGAATTATTTTGCTATGTCTAAACAAGCCATTGGAGATTACGTCATAATGTAATTTGTAAAATCATCCTAAAATGTAGAAGCTAAGTAAAGTCTTTCAAGCGTTGTAGTCATTTTTCTTTTAAATTAAAAACCCTACCTGTTCAGATATTTTATACTTAACTGAATATTATTTAGGCAACCTATCCTTTTTCTAAAGATTTGCTGCAATTCACAAACTGTTTCATAAACAGAGAAACCCTGAACACCAAAGAATGTATTATTTGTTTAAAAAAAACTCAAGTAAACTCAATAACTGATAAATTGTTTAGTTTGTACTGAAATTGTTGTGTTTGCACTGACACTGTAGGGATATTGCTGTCTCTTTTTGACACCTGCAATTCATAACTCTTGCAACTTGAATTTTGAAGCGCTTTTCAAATAAAGGTCTAATTGAAATAGACTTTATAACCCTTTCTTTCCCCACACATCATCACTCTGACATCAATGCTGTGTTGTCCCTAAGGTGTTCATTACATCCTTTTATAGGCAGCTTGAACAGCTGTTCCCTGTACACACCACTGTGTTCAGAGATTTATTACATGTTATCCATGTATGTTCTGCTTTGTGGTTTCGGCATTTACTGTCATGAATAATTCAGAAGACTAAAATTAAAATGAATTGTAATTGTTGCCATTTGTGTTCACTTGTGGTAACAATAAATAAAGTGCTAATACTCGTGCAGAATTTCAATTATCTGGTACATACACATACTTAGTAAAGATTAAATTAACATCACTTTATAACAATAAAATATAAATGTATGAGTTGTGCATCAACCAGTCTCTATAAGCAGATTGTGAGTGTAAACATTGGCTCTATTTTGACTACATTTCTGGTGTCTAAAGTACTGTGCCTTGCATTCGTCATCAGAGTAGTCTAGACTTTCTATGTTTCTCTGAATGTTGTTATAAAAAATGGAAAAGGCATAAAATTGTAGCATTTATGTAAAACATACATCATCCATTTGTAAGTCAATATATCAGTTCAATGAAATTACATCCAATGCAAATCTGCACTTACATGCAGCATACAATGTGGTCAAAGAGCTCATTGATGGCTACTGCAGTGTCTAGTCGAGCCATAAACGAGCACAGATAAAGCATTCTTGGCCATGAAATATTGAACCACTTACCTTAATAACCAATGGCTACTCCAGATGAATTATCTGTTGCTATAAGAGGCTAAATCAGTGAAACAGGCTGCTTTAAAATGACTTCTGCATAAAATTGATCAAAACGTCTTCTATATCTGTGTGATATTTCAGGTTTGAGTAGACCATGGACAACAGAAGCTTGGGATTGCTTGAAGATGTCAACGCTACACTCCAGGATGGACTTCACTCCTGTAATACACTGAGAAACCAGGCCTCCCGAATTTTCCTGTATGCCTTCCTCTCTGTTGGCATCATCTGCACTGTAGTGGGAAACTTCCTGGTGGTCTTGTCCATTGCCTACTTCAAGCAGTTGCAGTCGCCCACCAACTCTTTCGTCATGTCTCTTGCTGTGGCTGACTGCCTTGTTGGACTAATAGTGATGCCATATAGTATGATTCGGACCGTGGAGGGATGCTGGTTCTTTGGCATGGTTTTTTGTCGGCTTCATTCGAGCTTGGATGTCATGCTCTGCACCGCCTCCATATTTCATCTCAGCTGCATTGCCTTTGACCGATACTACGCTGTCTGCAACCCGCTTGTGTACTCTTTAAAGATGTCCCAGAGTCGAGTAGCTCTCCTTATTGTTGTGTGTTGGGCTGTTCCCATGCTTATTTCCTTTGGCCCTATAATGCTAAATCTCCATATTGCTGGTGTTAACATCCTGCTCCCTGAAGATGTATGTGTGTTTTTGGTTAACCGTATTTACGCTGTCATGGCTTCCTTGGTAGCCTTCTACTTGCCAATGGCTACCATGCTAGTAGCCTACTGGAAGATCTTCAAAGCTGCCAAAAGGCAGGCCATGCAGATCAGTGCCATGGAGAGTCAGATGGCTGCTGGAGTGGGCAAAGACTCAAGCAAGAAACAAAGGCACCGTAACGCTATGAGGAGGGAAAAGAAGGCAGCTAAAACTTTGGGTATCATCATGGGAGTTTTCCTCCTCTTTTGGATGCCCTTCTTTACTGTCAACATTGTAGATCCCTTCATTGACTACAGTACAGAGGTGGTCATCTGGGACATATTCTTGTGGCTTGGATATATCAACTCATCTCTTAATCCCTTCCTGTATGGCTTCTTCAATCGTTCCTTCCGTAGGGCGTTTCTCATGTTTATAGGTTGCAGGGTCTGCCTGCACAGGTCCTCTCCCGGGATGGAGCTGTCGCACACTAAGAAAGAGGCAAATGATAGAGAAGATAAGCGCTAAACTAAGAATTGGATTTGTGCTTTTGAGTAGGCACAGGATTGCTATGGGGTGGTAAGAGCCATATACTGTATATAAACCTACTTTCATTCCTTGGCTTTTAACCCAGCATGAATGGATTGGATATCTGTGTGTAACAGGACAGGACTTAAAAAATGAATGAGGTGGTCTGGACTTTCAAGGAAACTTCCCCAGTGAAGCAAGTTTGACAGTGATTTGTTTGACATAAAGTCACTGGCTCATGCATATAAGTCTCATGTGTATTTACGTTATTCGAAAGTAGTTTCATGGATCTTTTTCTAATAACACTAAAGTATCCAAGGGGATGTCAGAGCAAGTCTGTCCAGGAAATTTCAGCATCTGGAAGAAAAAGTTTCAAGTGTTAAAGGGGACCAACCACCGCCAACTATTTGATGTGAGACTCAAACAAGAAGTGGGAGGTTTGGAAGGACTGAAGAAGCCATTTCAAGGGTGAATTTGGTGCTCCAGAGGATTAAACTCAGGTACAGATCTCATGTTTACCTTTGATTCTGCTCATCTTTATGACTTTGACTCAGTGGACCATATCAAACTTGACAGTTATGATTTACACACGACCTGATCTGGCTGTATCAACCAGCTGTTTTCAAGGGCATATCTAACCCTCATTAGTAAAACTGAAAGTCTGACAGGTTTTTTGACTCTTCCATTGGGCAGTAAAATGACTGAGGAGGAGTTGCCAGATGTAAGATGCCAAACTCGAGGCAAACTATGCAGTATATATAGTCTGTATTGGTTTGTGTCAGTATGTACACTAACAATCTTTCAATTATTTGAGGAGGAATGCACCAACTCTGATTTCATTTTAGAAATGCTTGTTAAAGTAGCTCATTTGTCACTCATATGACCCCTTAAGCAGATGAATGATTAACTCTTTGTGTTGTTTCTTGGATCCATTCATGTTTGTTAGTATCTAAAAACTTCTTTATCCCCACATATACATGGCTTAAAACTTTGGTTTTTCCCTCAAATTTGATTAATAGTGATAGATCTGTCTACATAACCCCAGGCTATCTTATAACAAGCTGAGGATTGTGTGTCCATGGTACCGTTCCAATCATTTTTTTCTGTACAAAACAAAACAAAAAGATTCAGTTTGGTTGAGCATTGCTCTCCAGTTTGCTATAAGATTTGAGAACGTACGAGAGGAACCTTGAAACTCTGTATACTGTATTTTCTTATGTTGCTTCACTCTTGAACCTCTTGTACACTCCTTAGAGTAATTATAGAGATATCCACTGCCCACAGCTCTGAGCAAACTTGTCTTTATCAAGATATTCAAGATCTGGACATTAATCTGCAGTCTCTTCATAAACTCCAAGATATGGATAGATGTGATCAAGAAGGTAACAATTAAACACAATTAGGAGTTTAAGGATGAGGCTGTGTCTTTGGATGTTTTTAAATTTCTGAAAGTGAAAACGTTGAAGAATTTGATGGCTTCAGTTTCTCAAAAGCTGAGTAAATGGTCAGTTTTCTTCTTCATAGAGCAACCTGGAAGAAATATGAAGAAATGTCTCAAAGTGTTATTTTTCAGGCCTTAAAGGGGGCATTTGAACCAGGACAACAAGCTACTCTCTCTTTTTCTTTTATTCTTTCTTTTCCTGTTCTGGACATGGTCACAAAATGAATTTCAATCATTTATTTTTAGCTTGTTTTAACCTTGATAGGAAAGATAGGAAAGTACCAGTATAACAATAATACATACATACTTAATTTGTGTTTGCCTCTTTCTTTGAATGCAAGTTTTCTCTTCTTGCTACTGAATGCATGTATTCATTTGTTTCCATTTAGGGAGTGTGTCGGGTACAATACCTGAATCAGTGGTGACATCTGCTGGACAGTTTTTGGCTACAAATCCAATTTCAGTTTTGCTGCCTGTGATTAAACTTAGTTATAAGTTCAACTTGGTTTTACTCCATTTTATTTAAATTTTTTTATTATTTTTTTTTACATTTACATTAACAAACAAACATAACATTAAAAATACAAAGAAAAAAAAACATGTTTATTTCACATCAACTCACCTGGCAATGCAACCCACAGAATGTTGAGCCAGTACAGGCTCAAGGACTTATATTCATACAAGTTTTTTTTCTTTTTTTTATATATATCAGTGCCAAGTTATACTGGTATATCCAACAGTTTAAATAAATAATATGCAGCATCTTGATTACAAGCTGGCCCGTGTCTTTTCAATGCATTGTCAAAATAGATAAAAGACAAATAATTTTAAAAAGTCAAAATTCATTCTGCAAAGTAGCATTTCCTTCAACCCAGACATCTCACGAGTGGAAAAACTTTGCTTAAGGTTTTCAGACATTTTGTACCATTCATTACAACTGTTTTTTTTGTTGTTGTTTTTTGTCTATTTCACTTTATATTAGATGAAGATTGAAAAAGGAAGTATCTAACACCCGAGTTATCCCCCAGGCATCATTAGGCTTAGGCTATCCAAAAGTCATGGCCACCTCGTTGATGCAAATTTTAAAGCAATAAGTAAAGGGCTTTAAACCATGGATGCATTAAATGACAGCACTAAAAGTCAATCCCAGGAATTGTGTCCTCAGCCAAAATGTGACTTTATGCAGCTCATAAGATGCTTGATCTAAACAAGCATAGTGCGAATAAATGATCACGAAAAAGTTTGTTTTGTTTGCGCTGGGATCAAGAGATACTTCTGGGACCGCCGCTTTTATTCAGCTTTGATTCAGAGATATTTTATGAGCACAAAATCCCTTCTGATCATAGTTAGTCTTGAATTGTGTTTCAGTACAATCCTTCAAAATAAATAGAAGATGGTTTCTTAGTGCTCTAAATGTCAGTCTCTTTTAGGCCATAGCAGTCTGCCAGATCATAGAACTGATAACCACTCTGCTCACAGGAGTTGTAAATCCCCATAGAGACCGTGTCTACTACATCAATCCGTCCCACTGCAGGTGTGCTGCTTTTTCCTGCCCTTCCTTTGATTTTATTTGACAGGTTGTTAACTTTCTCTTTCAACTGAAAAGAGGACTTTTGTAGAGGTGGAAAGAGACTCCATCTTTTGAAACCCAGTGAGCGCCCTTTCCCCTTGTGAAACAAAGGGCTGCCGAAGGATTCGTGCACGGTGTAGCTGGGTTTGTAGTCTCCTGTCTGATCCGTTGTCATTCCTTTGACAGCTGTCCGCCACCTCTGGTCATAAAAGCGCCGCAGGACTCTCTGTCTTCTGTGGCACTGGCACTTGAGGAGTCGGGTGAAAGCACGCTGGAACTCTTTGCTGGAGCAGGGGTAGATCATGGGGTTGATGCAGCTGTTAAAGTAGCCGAGCCAGAAGATCACCTTAAAGACAGTTTCAGATGGCTTCAGCGCTGGGAAGAAGGCACCTGGAGGAAGATAAAGATGGTCAGTGAGTAAACTTTTATGAACTTTTAGGACAGGAGTATGCTCAATTTGGTTATTCATGGTCGTTTTTACACATTAAACTTGTAAAATTATAGCAGGGGTAACACTCTTTCATAACAGTGTATATGTGTTTTTTCAGCCATGATGTAAATTAAGTTTGGATACTAATGAGTTATTAATTTGAAATCATAAAAAAACAACATGAAACTCTAGATCTTCATCTTTTCTCCCAACAGCTTGGTAAATACATTAAAAAACTGTGCATGTACTGCTGTGTTAAGACATTAGCAATAGTGACACATTTTTCATCCCTCAGCATCCACAGTACTGTTTTTGTGATGATAAATTGTTCTGTAGTAGCTGTTTGGTTGTGTTTATTTATGAGAAAATGAGAGTTTCTGACATTTTGTAGACTTTTATTTATGAGGCAGTTTATTGGGGAAACAATATCTCCATGCACAAAACTTGTTTCAGTCCTTGCAAGTGGAGTATGTGATGTTTAAAATGGTGCTAAGAGTTAAATGATACTCTGAGGGGTTGTTAATGACACACAAATCAACATATAAACACATACTTGAAATTACCATTAGATTTAACATAGTGGATGGATTATGACCTTGGTCTCGTTCAGGGATTGCCAGATTTAAGTAAAGCAGCTCTTTGGGGTGTGGCTTAAAGCCTCCTCTTTGTTATTAGTATTGGTAAAATGGAGACCCAGCCTTAAACACCTTTTGCCAGTTTTTTAGGATTATGGCGTCCTAAGATTGAGCATTTAACCCTTTTTTGTAGGACTTTGTTTTGGCTATTTAGAAAGTGAAATAAAACCTGTTGAAGGCTTTTTATATTTACAGATTAGTAAAAACTTATATCTGAGTTAAAATACTTATTTCTTCTGATTTCATGAAAGTTTTAATATTGCCTTAAGTGTTTTTTTTTTCCATGGATATTGCCTCATAACTTTTTATGTGTCTTTGTGTCCACAGGCTTGGATTTAACAGTGTTGACCCTGGACACAGAGGCAACATATCACAGTGCTAATGTCAGTCCCTGGGCTCAGAAGTGTATTTTAACTTGATTTGGTTTGTATATTGTAGAGAGCTGTAGAAAATGGCCTGTTTGTGACTCTAGAGGTGCTTTTATGTAGTTTTGGCATAAATCCTTCTCACTGATGCAAGCAGCAGATTTGTGCTGTCCATCAACTCTGTGACAAAATCGAATGATAAGCAGAATTCTCAATTTACTTTTGACTTTTCTTCTTTATTCTCATAAAGAACAACATTACTCATCCCTTTTTGTTGAAATGACTCATAAACTCACCAGCTCTGGTTCAACTCGTTAATGATTAATAAAGGGTAGATTAAAGGCAGTGATAGTTTCCATTGATTCTTCCTACCGAAATGACATCATTTAGAAATTGAACTGAGATGGTGAAGTGAAATGATTCACCTCTCTGACGCAGTCCAACAACACCATGGCAACAAGTCATATCATTAAGCAGGGTTGCTGTTCCTTTGAGATAACAGTCTCCTTTTAGGCCTGAGTTCAGCGAGATGATTGTCGTTTTAATATTTTCTTGGTTTTTCTAAATTTACATTGGCTCATGTACAAGTCCTTGAGCCAAGACTATGAGGACTTGTCCAATTTCTCAGACTAAATTTTGTAATGGCTCTTTGGTGAGAGCCGAGAGAACCCTGATCAGTTCTCAGCATTTAACTTTACATGCGAAGGTTATCATGTGATATCCTGCCACAAAGGAACAAAGTGAAGCTCTGTTTGCTCAGTGTGTTTGCTTTGGTGGCACAAAGTTTTATATTGAATACAAATAAAAACGATGAACTAGAACATCGCTGGTTTTTGCCTAAGAAAATGGGATATATTAACATTTAGAAAGTAAGACTTCTATTTCCATGAAAGTATGAAACACCTAAAACTCAATATCATATTAAGTTCACATGAGATTGAAAAAGGTTGATTATCCAGAAAAAAGGAAGAAAAAAAAACACTTTTCTGCAGTATGTTTCCATGCAAACATGGTTGCTCTTGATGTTGTATCAGTTAAACTGAATGTCAGACAGTCATCAAGTGCATTTTGAAAAAGCCACCTCTGTTTATTCCATCATTTTCTGGCAATAAAAAACACATTCATGAGTCTGATGCACTAATTTAGGTGAACGGTGTTAGAGCGCTCTCAGTGGAGCTTGAAATGAGTCAGACTACTCTGTCTAAATATGCATCATCACACAGAAAGGGTCTAAATGGCACAAAAGGCGCAAAGAGTACATCTGCCTCTCAACAAAAGGTTACTCATTAATGATGTCTGCAATGTGCCAACATCTATCTATCTTACTAAATGGAAATGGCTGAGTAGCAGTAAAAATTGGGGGTTCAGACTGCGCCACACTCTACAAACAAACATGGAAGAAACAAGGATAAACACAAAAAGAATGAGCTTCAGTCCAGTGACGTTTAGAGGTCTATAACTTAAGATAAGGCTAAATAATAAAACAGCAGTACATAAACCTGCAATTGTCAGTGTTCTAACAACTCAAGAGGAGATGTAACCACAATAGTTACTGAGATAAGTGTAGGCAAAAATTGAAGTGATGGCCTGTTCCAACATAGCTCAACAGTTTAGTTGGAAAAACAAGTAGCCTGCTCCTTCTAACCAAGCAAAGGGCCAATCAGGTGTAAGTTATTATAGGGGGCCCTCAGGAGGGCCAATCAATTTTCAGCGAGGGACCCACACCCACTCCACCACCATGTGTGTTGAGTGTTTTGAATTGTTCTGATGAACTGCGTTTGTTTAACCCCTTCAAAGGAACTCAGAGTTTCGTACTGTAGACTTCTGGTATCAAATAAACTTGCCCTTTCTCCTTCCATCCAGTGAATGAAACAACCAGCAGCCCTCAGTTAATTATTTTCTTGAACTTACACTCTCTCCCCCTCAGGTCCTATTCCAATAATGTGATTGACTTCATTTGGAGGTGCAACAGATTATTTATAGAGTGCTGTGTCCTCTACCTGACAAAGATTAGTCATATTTTCATTGTGACTTTGGAGTTAAATCATGAGAAATACATGTAGATTACATTCATGTGGTGTATTGTGAATACAGTTCCTTTTATGTACATGCAGCTTTATATGCAAATTGCACTCCTCAGTTTGATTTATGTCCAGGCATAATGTCCTCCCCACTGAAAGGCCTTTCAACCAAAGGATTTCCTCAGTCATTACTCATCTACACTCTTACATCTAATCCCTTTAGTGATCGGGTAAAAACTATCTTCAACATACTCCAACATTTTCCATCTGAAGAGAGCTTGTTTATCCAGACTTACAGGTAGCTCATTGTCATGTAGCAGGTCTAATGAGGGCTTGTTTGCCAATTAACATTTAAGGGAGTAGCCTTGATAAACAAAATACACTGTCTTTGCACCTTTTCTTAATGAAATGTGAGACAAGTCCACCAAGAACAGGTAGCCCAGCTCATATTTGTAACAGGCAGTTGTTTTTTAAGAGCTCATTAGTGGAGAATGTCAGAGTATTATGACTCCTCTATGAGAAATCTGATACAAGCCATCTGAACAAATAGACTCTCAGGAAAAAAATGGCAGACATGAAAACAAGCCATGTTAGTAGTCACGTTGCAGCTTTGACCTTTTCTGACCAAATGAAAATGTTTTATTAAATTCTCACAGCCTCAGTTGGGATCCATTTCCTGTTCAGCCCTTAATATAATCAATTAATCAAATCGAGTAGTGTTAATTTCAGCGGTTTCCTGCAATGCTTTAATGACTGTGCAGGTTTTTTCATGATGCAAGTTATCTCAAGTTGTGTTATTATGTATTGAATGCTGTGCTTTCCCTGAAGCCTGTCTGTTGTAATGTGAAATCTATGGCGTTGAGCTGGTGCTGCAGGCTGTTCAAGGCTCACTTGTTGTGACGCAAATGCATAAAACCCAATTACTTAAATAAATAATAAATCTACTGGCAAACATTAATAAAAACACTTAGCCTCCCACGCACGACTTAATTTAAACGTTATAACTTCACGTGTGCAATCCCACATATAAACTGGTTTCTATGAGGCTTTAGTATTTGCAGAAAAAATTGGAATATACTTTGACGGGGAGCATTTTGTTCAAAAAAGGGAACAGAAATAAGACATACCCATTGGCAGAAAGAAGAAAAAAGGCAGCCAACACAAGATGAACATCCCCACAACGATAGCGAGGGTTTTTGCAGCTTTTTTCTCCTTGGAGAACTTGAGTAGCCGCACAGACAGTGAACTTCTAAACGGGTGGTTTTTGCTACTTTTCGCGCTGGCCGTGCGCGCATCCTCCAACACGCTACGGCAGTGAATCCGGAGCACCACCTCCATTGACTTATTCCTCTCCCGTTTTACGCCCGCTTCCAGGCTTTTAGTAGTCCTACGTGCCACCACATAGACTCTAAAGTACATGAAGAGAATGACCATGAGCGGGAGGTAGAAAGAGAAGAGGGAGGAGAAGAGCGCATAGCCTGGCTCCTCCGTGATCATGCAGATGCTGTCGTCCACAGGCGGGGGTTCTTTCCATCCAAGGAGCGGACCGACAGAAATAACCGTGGATAACACCCAAACAAGGAGCAGAATAGCCACAGCTTTCTTCTCTGTCATAATACTTGGGTATTTCAGACAGTATTTGACCCCTATGTACCGGTCCACGGAGATGATGCAGAGGCTGAGGATGGATGCGGTGCAGCAGAGCACATCCACGGCTGCCCAGATGTTGCAGAAAACCCGGCCAAACACCCAGCATCCCAGCACCTCCAGAGAGGCAGAGAAAGGCAGCACGATTATGCTCAACAGCAAGTCTGCCATGGCTAGGTTCACAATGAAGAAGTTTGTCACAGTCTGCAAATGCTTATTGCACACCACAGACAGGATGACCAAAATGTTCCCAACAATTGCAACCAAAATAAAAACAGAAAGAAAGACCCCGACCCCGACAGCATGTGTGTCCATAGTGAAGTTCTTGCAGGTCGTGATACTGTCGTTTGGAGATGTTTGGTCCAAGACAGATCCGTTGAAAGCTTCAGTAAAATAGATCCCATAGTTGCTTTCGTTCCTCAAGTTAGAGTCTGTCATTTTGAAACGCCATAAAGAGAACTTTAGAGTTTTATTTCTGAACAAAGCAGCGATTCCGGCATTGTTTTCCGTTTCTTTCAGCCTGTCTTTGCGGGAAGAGAGTCAGGCGCGCACGCTCGCTGACAGACCTGTCACACTTTGAACGAGGGATACTTGAAGGAGGAGAAAAAAAGTCCATAACCTACAGAGAGAGCATGTAAGATTAGGAAGCTGCTCGCTGAAATACAAACATTTTCCCGGTGAGTTTGCCTCAGTATGGGCTAAAATGATCTGTTGAAGAGGAAAACAATTTTTGAGAAATTTGGATTCATGTAGCTCCATTTTCACGCATTTCTTCCCTGCTGTGGCTGTCCATTGACGGCATCCTTAGTAGCTACGTGATCACAGAGTGAGCTGGAACAGCAGGTCTGAACCCACAGCTCCACCCCCATTTCATAGATGTACTGTTGTGTACATCAGCTGCACATGAGAGTTCTACTTCCAGTCATGTCCCCACTTTTACAAAAAAGAAAAACTTAATTCAATCGAAACAAGAATTCAACAAAAAAAAGGAGAGGTATTCTTTTATAGCTGTGCGTCCTGGTTGGACATGTGAGTTTTGAAAACAGTTTTGACAGTTCATAAGTTGTCAAGACACAGACAGGGACAAGAAACAGCAAACTTGAAGTAAAATGGAAACTTGTAACTAGAAAATTAATGCCTCCAAAGAGGTGAACTGAATAATATCCTATTTTGTTTTCAAACTTTGTGCATCAAACTCCAATAATGTGTCCAACAGAGTACCTAAAATCTAAAAAAACGCAATTTCTTTGAGTTTTAAGTCATTCTGAACCATCTATGTCCCCCTGTTTTTAATGTATTCCTGTGTCTTTGTTTTATTGTTCGCGTTAATCGTCTGTTTTTTATCGTTGTTTCATTATTTCTGTACAGCACTTTGGTCAGCGTTTTGTTGTTTTTTAATGTGCTTTACACATAAACCTGGATTGGATTGGATTCTGTTATAAATTGGCACTTTCTGCGTGATAAAAACACAAAGACGGTGTTAATCGTACAGCCAAACATTGTATATCTGGACAGAGGTGCTGGAAAACTTATTGCAGCAACAATCAAAAAGGACCTTATGAGGGAATACCAGCTCCTAAAATAAAATGTTACTGTATAATAGTATATAATGGGAAAACAGCATGACATAATATGATAGAACCCAAAACAATACAATATCATACAATTAGGTGCAATATGATACACTTTGGACCTAAGTGCTGCAAACAACAATCCACATGTACCACTCCATTAAAACCCACAAAGGCCATACATTGCACATTACATTTATTGCAACCATAATCTGCTGAACTTTCCATTCATGCATGCTGCTTTACGATAATGGAAGCAACACAGAAAATCAGAAGGAAGAAAGAGAGGTCTAAATTGGCTACCCCAAACGACCCCTGATCCATCTTACTAAGATAACACAAAGCAGCATCAGTCAGATTATCCAAACAGCCTGGGGTGACAACAACAAGCCAGCTCAGACTACCACAGTAAACTACTGAGTGCCTTGGGGCAAGGCTGTGAAGTTTCCCAGGGACACTGCAGCTGCCATCCCCAGGCTGTGTGTGCATAGCTTCAGTGGAGGGACAGGCCTGTGCAAACCACTAGGGAGCCCAGAGGAGAGGAGAGGTCAAGGGGCAGAGTCACAGAGCGGACAAACAAGGCCTGCATGGGAAAACATCAATCAAGTTAGGAAAATTACCACTCCATCTGCACATAAAGAAGGGAAAAGTACTCTGAAATATTATGGCAGCTATAATGGTCTCTCTTCTTTATGGAAAAGCATCACTTCTGCTGAGATGAGTCCAATGTTGTACGTATTTCACTGATAGTTCCCTTCTTATTATGGTTTGCTCTTTATTTTTGATTGTTTGAATTTTAATGAGCTTGTGAAAAAAAGAAAAAAAAATCTTAGTAACACTTTGCAGTTCTTGCAAATTGACCTGATCATTATTCTGTGTCTGAAGTTAGTTTAAAAAAATTATATGCAGTCTTGATGGGTTGCCATCCATATTTTAAAGACATAACAGTCTGGACTGAAAAGTTCACCTCAGCATCAGCATGAGAGAACTGAACTAACAAATAATCTAATTAATGAAAAACATTACAATTCATGTGAGTGCACATGACAGATTGATTTCTACTATCAGCATTTGTCCAGGCAGTTTGTAAAACAGTAAAGCCTATCTTAACTCAATTCAACTTTAACCATACAGCACCCTGATCTCACGATGATGCTGATGACACTTGAGAAAAAATGAGAAAACTTCACCTTTCCTAGAAATTAAATGTTGATCTGAGAACACTAATACTGAACTATTTGCGAAAGCATTCTTCAATGCTTTCTTTTTTCTAAAAGAGCTCTCGTGTAGTGTTGACTTTGGCAGTCCCTGTGTATAAAAGAGACTCCACTTCTTTTTCAGTATCAATTTTCTGTTTAAACTCTGCTCTTTGCAGGATCTGTGCCCATACTTGTTTTTAAGATAACATCTATTCTGACGGCACACAGACTTTTTGTGGCTCTTAAACGTCAACTTTATCTTACAGCTGACAGATTGCTAGGTTGGAAAGATTGACAGGTTGCTCAGTAAGAGTAATTTTGTTGATAAAACTTGGGTCATAGTTGTGTCTTTATAAGAGACAGATATTTTAAGTATGGATTCTGCATCCCTCTGTCACAGGCCATAATGAGCAACTCACTGCTTCGTTTCAGTTGTACTTGGAAGTTGGAAATTCCAAGCTCCTAGGCGAAAATTAATCTGCAAAGCCACCTGTAGTCGGATTTTAGACTCGGAAAGTCGGACGAGATTAATCAACAGTAAAGAGTAACAGTAAAAGTTCTTGTAATGTATTATTTATTAGCACTTGTACTGCCCAATGTCCAACTGTGAACACAGTGCTATAGTGTTTGTATAGTAAAGTACTGTGTTGTGCGTTGTTTACGACTGGTATAGCTTACAACAACTGGCAATGGCTAACAATTCTAACAACGACTGACAACGGCTAATGACAATTGACATTTCTGCGCTCAGCTTCAATCGATAATGTTAAAAAGCACAAACCAAGCCAGAAACCTTGGTGTTGTCATGGACTCAGACCTGAATCTTAACAGCCACATAAAGACAATTACAAAGTCAGCCTACTATCACCTGAAGAATATATCAAGGGTCAAAGGACTGATGACCCAGCAGGATTTGGAAAAGCTTGTCCATGCATTTATCTTCAGCAGACTTGACTACTGTAACAGTGTCTTCACAGGTCTCCCCAAAAAATCCATCAGACAGCTCCAACTGATTCAGAATGCTGCTGCTCGAGTCCTCACTAAGACCAAGAAAGTAGATCATATCACCCCAGTTCTCAGATCCTTACACTGGCTTCCCGTCTGTCAAAGAATTGATTTTAAGATACTATTGCTGGTTTATAAAGCACTGAATGGATCAGGACCAAAATACATTTCTGATATGCTGATACGTTACGAACCATCCAGACCGCTCAGATCATCAGGAGCAGGTCTGCTCTCTGTCCCCAGAGTCAGAACTAAACGTGGAGAAGCAGCTTTTAGTTTTTATGCTCCTCATATCTGGAACAAACTCCCTGAAAACTGTAGGTCTGCTGAAACTCTCAGCTCTTTTAAATCACAGCTGAAAACGCATATGTTTGCTGTGGCCTATCATTAAATCAAACCTGAGGCCATTAAACCACAATCTTCATCATCTGCCTGTCTTGATCTTTTTTTTTTTTTCTATCTCTCCAATCTAACCTTTGTTTTCTTTTATTTCCAATCTTATTTTAGCTTTGAATGTAACTTTTAATCTGTTAAATGTCTTTTACGCTGTTTTTACTTTTTAAATTGTGTTGAATGTTTTGCCTGCTTGTTTCATGTAAAGCACCTTGAATTGCCCTGCTGCTGAAATGTGCTATACAAATAAACTTGACTTGACTTGACAATTGACATTTGTAAACAGCGGCAAACTGTAGTTGGCCATCTTGGTTTTCCAACTTGTTAACTGGACCACCATCAACTCAGGTGTAACATCATTCCCAGCTCTGACTTCCAAGGTAACTGGAACGCATTTACCTATCTTTCATGTACTATACACATCCATATTGCCTATTTGAGTTTTAAAAATCCTATACCATACCTCCTGAGAAGGGGAGAGGACAAACATAGGTTATTTTCCTACTGATTGTCTGGTTTCCTTTGCTGGGTTATATACAGGAATCGTTATTTAACTGACACTTTTTCATGACCAGTAGCCGACCAGGAAGCAAGTCAACTAAGGATGGAAGCAGAACAAATGCAACCATGGCTACGACAGTAAATATGAAGCATGAGTTCAGACTGACATTGAAAAGATAAAACCTATCATACATGGTGAAACCCACAAGTGTTTTTACGCATCTTCAGTAAGATATACCACAACCAAAACAACAAGGGAAGGAATTTAAGTCTTCTTGTGTGTGGTGTGCAGTGTTAACTACATTATCTCACACTACAGACTAAGGAACTATAGCATTTAACCTGTCACCACATGTGTGGGGTCTCTGACGTTTTCATGACAAGTTGAGATTTTTTTAAATCTCTTAGTTGTTTGCCAGGCTGCAGTTGGTTGACATGGCCTCTTTTTTCCCTGCGAGAAGCTAATCAGACCCAAGACTGTTTTTTAACCTGTCTGTAAACACGTTTACTGTTTATGTAATGATAGTTTTTGTCAATATGAGTGTGTATGGGACTTTTTGAGACTGTCTCAAGTGGGCATTTGAAGATCTTCAGTTTTCAGCTCTTGTGGATTAGCTCTGTGAGTATCCTTTTATGGACTTTTTGTGAGTTTAAACTTCCAGGATACCTGTTGGTGTTCTTGTCTAAATAACACAACTGACAGCCTCTATTCACAGAAAGAGAACTGACACTCAAAAGTAAAATCTTACAAAATGTCTGACTGCCAAACAGGACTTTAGTGTAAGCAAACATGAAGGATGACAGGCAGGAAGAATTGGTGACAGTCAACAAAGTGCTTGCTCGGCTGTCTTCAGGGTTACCTCGGCACAGCAGGATATTAGATTGTAAATATTGAAGGTGTTTATCATCAGAGTGGCAAAAACACCCTTCAGAGCAAATAGGGGAAAGTAAAAACTCTCTTAAAATACCTCACACCACAAAGGAACCTTTGAATAATCTGGACTTGGCTTACTTTTGAAAAGGGGGAGTCGAGCCCAAAATGGACTTGGAACATCTTGTTGTGTTTACCACCCATAAATCAGAGGCTTAATAACTCTATTTGAATTTATTCCTCAGGACTTATAAATATCCATCCCCACAGAACAAATGACAGAAAGACAGATAGAGTTTAGCT